GAAATCTCGGGATTTCGAGCCCAATTTTTCAAGAGAGAAACCAACCGGGAATACAAAAGGCAAATTCTCTCCGTTTATAAAATATGGACAGAGATGCGAATTAAGCGGACGTTAATTGAAGTCGATTACCGTGGGATCGGAATCACGAGATCTCTCTTGCTCTTGTTAATGCGTCTTTTACGTTTCTTACCTGATTCAGTGTCAATCGGAAAGCGTACAGCGCGGCAGAGGTCGAATGCATCTCGTTACCCCAGTTTCCTTGTGTATCCTGAAAGAATAGATTAATTCGTGTATCTTCATTAGGCAAGAAATTATTTTAATCAACGATTGATGATTTTCGCTTAAATGTCCCCGAGTTAGAGACTCGCGTATCTCGCGTTTGATTTCCGAAAGTAAGTAACGGATGAATCTCAGCGAATCTCGGGGAGGAAACGCACCGTACCTTCTTTTTGACACGACACGTGAGAGAGAACACGCGCTTCGATTAGCTCGGCTGCGCGACAACTGCGTCGAATGAGAGACGCGAATTACGACGGACGGGTGAGAAGTACATCGCGAAACTCCCGCCGAGGCCGCGAGATACTGCATAGAGGACAAAAAATCCCCAGTCTTGCGTAAAACCCACTCTTATCGCTCGCGACAATAAATTCGCGGCGTCGCGTCGTAACGTTCGTCTGAATCGCAAAACGAAATACTCTTTACAGGTGGAGACAGTGACGTTGTTAGATAGATATGTTTTTTCTCTACCTATATAGCACAAAACGTTGCGACACTGACGTGTTTACATCAACAGCGCCGTGATTAATAGTAAGATATATATATAAAAAGTGAAGCTTTTTAAGTTGCTGCGCGACTGAAATCTTTGTGAATGATTACGGTAATCTTTTTATTTAATGCGAATTACATATAGATCTCGATAATAAGTCACTAAAGGTTTAACCTTTTCCAAATTATCTCTCGCGAATAAAATTCAACTATCTCGTCCTCGATTTTATTTAAACGGTAAATGTAATCAAAGAATTATTATTTGATGGAATTTATAGAGATTTTTTAAAAATACAGTTAATAATTTGATTTAAATACTTGTAAAGTAACGTGATAAGACTATCGCAAAACGTAAGACTGGAAAGAGTTAAGGATCAATGCCAACGCATGGCGCCAAAATTATTATTAACGAAGGCGTTGCATTGAATATTGAGATTTGTAATCTACGTACAAAACTCGAGAAATATTATTCGACAGCGTACAAAGAACAGCCCGTTGGGTAGCGAAATGATTCAGATTTAGTCGTATTATGAAAAGTTATTATTTGATGGAATTTATAGAGATTTTTCAAAATACAGTTAATGATTTAATTTAAATATTTGTAAAGTAACGTGACAGACTGCCGCAAAACGTAGACTGCAAAGAGTTAAGGATCAATGCCAAACGCATGGCGCCAAAATTATTATTAAATATTAACGAAGGCGTAACATACATTGAATATTGTGATTTGTAATCTACGTACAAAAACTCGGAGAAACATTATTCGATAGCGTATACAAAGAACAATCCGTTAGGTGGCGAAATGATTCGGAGTTAATCGAACTATGAAAAGCGGGTATTTACTTAAATATAAAAAGAATGCTTTCTCGCGTCACGAGATATCAGAACCGATGGGCTACATCGCGCGGGGAAAAATAATGTGGATCAAACGACGAACCCTGCTCTTTAGCGTCTCGCGCGTCATCGCGAGTTATCGCGAGTGTGACGCGAAGAGACGCGCGACGGAGATTCAGATTGCGGCGGATACTTCCGATAAATACACCCTCCGGCGCGCGGTATTATTGATGCAATTGTCGGGAGCTGCCACGCAATCGGGCGCCGAATCGTTTCCCTCCCACCGATCTTGTTCCGATGTGCGTTTTTTTGTTTCGACAAAAGTCGCCTTATCGTTAATAATAACGGCAAGAACAGGAAGCGGCGCGATTCGAAAGATAACGAGCACCCCTCGCGGGACGTCGTTATCAATAAGCAGCTGTCCATCATGCGTACACCCGATATCGCGGTACTTGAATCGCGCACAAAAGTTCTATCGCCATGTACGTCCTGCAATCATAAAAGTGATACGGATATATTTGAACCGTATGCGGAGAGTTCAAGAGGCTCTTCGTGGAGGGATCGCGAAAACAAGGCACGCAAACAGGCTTAAATGAGGATAAATGAGTGAAATCGATCAAGCAAAAGAATAAATCGGTTATCTACAGTTATTTGAAATTATTATAAGTTTCATATTATAGTGACTTTTACATGCGTAATAAAATTATCACGTTATAAATTTTGTTATATAACTATTGATTATATAACTTTTATCAATTCTTTTCTATGCAATAATTAAATCATATAATAAATCTTATTACGTAATTATTTATATCTATTGTCGGTTAAAATAAAATTTAATTCAAGGCCGCGACAGGCTCGAATTAGATCGCCCAACTTTCGTCCTGCACGAGGGACTGACCTCTCCTCTCCGCTCGATCGTTACGCAATAATTTCCGCCCGAAATAAAATTATTTACGAATTATCAACGGCGATCACGTAACCGTGCTGGCGGTCCTCCGCGTCCAAAGTATCGTGCCGATCGTATGCGAGATGCGTACGAATTACGGAACAGATGATGTATATACATGCATCCGCGCGCGGTGCGGTCCACGTACTTACGGGGTCACGAAGGAGACGCGAAGGTCTTACATAAACGCAACGAGCTCTGCCCCGCCTACGCCGTGCGCACCCTAAATCCGGAACCTGATCTCGACGCGACTCAGGGACTTGGCATCGAGCCCCTCGGCCGCGTGTCCCCCGAGGTCGACCTTCGCGACCCCTCTCATTACGGCAGCCGTGAAAAGTCGGGGAATCACGATAAATTCCAGGAGCACGCACATGCGTGAACCTCAATAATTCGATTAAGGATACTTTGGCTATACAGTCCCGGACAAGTTACTGAAATATGAAATTGATACTCTAGGCTTTTATAGGTTAAGATACGCACCATATCGTGCTCGTATCGCGTAAAGGACTCTAATGTCAGTTAATGTATTTGGCAACTACAAATGATATATATTTGTATATTTTACAAGTTTTATCGGTAGAAAAAACTTTTGGACGAATTTCACGTCCAAAAGTTTTTTGCCAGCAATTATACTGTATAGCCAGAACATTCTTAAAATATTAATCCTCGGTTTCCCCGAAATTTTCAATGTAAGACCAGCGACGCGGAGGAAAAGGTAGCGTCAAATCGTGTCCCTCCCGCGGACGATATCTTTCCTCAAGAACTCGTCCGCGGAAGATCGAATCTCGGGCATGATCTCGCGGCTCATCGCGTAGCTCGCGCGAGGCCAGGCGAGGAATCCAACCTCAAAATCGATTCTTTCGGTACGAAGCCGCTCTTGATCTGCTCACAAGGGAAAGATTCCCGACGACGACAGCTGATCTTCTTTCGCGGAGGGCGAAGGGAGAGGTGCAGCCGCGGCCGCGCGGAACTTGCGGTCGACGCGGAGGGGAAGTGACACGCCGGGATTTATCAATGCCGAACCTAACCTGTACGTCTCGCCGCCCTCGACGCCTCTCGGCGAATTTGCGACGAATCGTGCCGGAGATCTCATTGGACTCGAACACCGCGCGTATTCTCTCCCGTTACGTCGAAGATAACTTCTCGTTCGTCGCCGTCGCACGAACGAGAAACGATTTGCTGGAGTGGTTCCTCGTCGTTCCTCCCCTATTTTTCGCCTCGCGAGATCTTTCCTCGAGAACCGCACTCTCTTTCGCGACGAGAGTCGCTACTTTTTTTTTCGGTTCGTTGCGTAATACGAGCGATTACGTGACGAAGGGCGACTGACAACAGTCGACTGATTTATACATGTATTTATAGGAAAATATAGTAATCCCCACGGGAGGAGGTTTGCGCAGCAAGTGCGAGAATAAGATTCGTCGATTCTCTTCCCTGGATCTGCACACGATCCTCGATAGGCTAGAGAAGGAAAATATAATTACTGCAATACAATTGGAGGAAGTGTCTCTTCTGTAAGCTGTTCTCTCGAATCTTAATCGCGCTTGAAGCGCGAAACTCCGTTGTTTTTGTCTCACTGATATTACACCCATTATTAGAAGAGAATCGAACTGCCGATGTGGAAATGTACACCCCACGCTCATTGATTCTGTCCCTCGGAAATCTTCATAAACTCCGAGGGACAGAATCAATGACCGTGGATGTATCTCGTCGTTGCCGCGCGAGAACGTTCGTGAGAAACGTCGCAGGAAGACGGAAAAACGTAGGAAGTTTAATAACCGGCGTCGAAACGCGAAGCGGAACGTGCCACTCACCTGCCTGTGTCGAAAACCAGCTGATAAAAGAGACCGGAAGAAACGCGCTCCGTCGCGAGCAGGCGTACACTCGCTCACTAAAAGGTTGCGACACTTTTTTTTTATAGGTTTCTAATTTATATTTAATATACGTAATATATACTTTATAGATAACTAATATTTTGCAAATGCAAACCACGATGTACTATCTTTAGTCCAAAGGCAGTATAACACCAATCGTGGTCCGCATTTGCAAAATATTAATGCGTTTTGAAACCTATAAAAAAGAAAGTGTCGCAACCTTTTAGTGAGCGAGTGTACGTCGTGAACGCCACGCCAGAAATGCGGACCGTGAACCAACCATGAACTGAGCGATTATCAAGAGAGCGAGCGCGAGCGGCATCTAGAAGGAGAAGGAGAAAAGTTGAAGTCGCACCGTTTCTCTCTAACAGGAGGCATGATGGACGGAAAAACGAGGAAGAGAAAGGAGAGACAATGTCCGATAAGCTTGGTATTGGTAAGGAGAGCTCTAGTTGAACGAAGATCTATCATATATAAATGACATTCCGTAGAATGGTCTGTTGCATTCAAGAGAAAGAAAAAGAGGATATTCAACAATGGCAAGGAAATGTTCCTTAAGTGAAAATTTCTCCCATCCGAGTCCCGCGATTCTTTAGTCTACTCGGATTAACAGCTTTGAATTAATTAACAGCAATTAATTAAAAGTACAATAACACATATGTGTAAGTATTCAATATACTACTTTATAATTTATCCTACTAATTTGGAATTATTCATTTTTTGTTAGTCATCACAAAAAGAATTATATGATTGAAAAATTATTATATCGCACATATTCTTGTCGATTGAATTCATTAATTATTGATTTCTGCGGAGATGTCTCGGAAAATGCATCTTGTTTGAATCTGAACGCGAATGATCGTACAAGTCATGGAAATTTAGACTTGAGGATATAAGTGATCGAATGCCAGGTGTTTTTTGGAGCAGAATTTTTTAAAATATTTATCTCCCCTCTTCTCTCTCTTTCCCTTCGGTGTTTAATTTTCATTATTATTTAAATGTAGAAAAAGAGATAACAAGTGCAGTCATAAAAACTACATAGCTACGACTTGGATAGAATAGTTAGAATCATATATCATCCTACACAGCATAACCGGTCTGTGAATGACGACCGGCTGTGACAATCCATATATTGTATGTTTTGCACTTGTCGCAGTAGTCAGAGTAATCGTGAGTTATTTCGACGTGTGGTCGTTTCGACTTCAGCAATTCTTGAGAGTTTCTACGAAAACTAATAATTGTTATCTGATATATTTTATATGGATAATATATACACACACGTCTCGCTTAGTAGATAAGGAGCTTATGGTGTCTGATTTCTCGTTCCTATCAGGAAGGAATTCTCAAGGAGAAGAAGAAGGCTGTGATAATCTAGAAATGTGAATCATACGCGCGCGCCAGAGAGAGAGAGAGAGAGAGAGAGAGAAACGAGACGGTGGGACCAGGTGGGACGTGGGACAATTCCGATTATCGCAGACCTAACCCGGCCCGGAGCTGGTCGAGCGCGTCGCGTCTCCCCACCTCGCCGCTCCGATATAGGTGACGTATGTACATGATGATACCCGGCGCGGTGGCGGCGGCGGCGGCGACGACGACGGCCGTCTCCCGACCGCCCGACGTTCGTGCTCGTTCCCGATCGGACCAGTACGCGTAGTCGGCACGGTGCGTGCGGTTCGGGGTTGCTCGATCGCGCATGAGTGCACGCGTATCTCCACCGTTCTCGCTCTCTGTCTCACTCCCTGTCGCTCCTCGCGTCGTCGTCACTCTCCCTCCTCCGCACGACGGGACGGACGATCGGCACCGCGGAGGTTATATACTCGTGCGGCAGGATGACCGACCCCGAAATCGAGATGCATTACACCCCGCCGACGTCGGACACCATCCAGACGAAGCCGTTCCCGATCCGAGGTAATATTTTGAGGAGAGTCGCTATCTCTCGCTGTCTCTCTCGTACCTAGAAGATACCCAGCCATACCTCTCTCTGTCTCACTCTCTCTCCTCTGTACCCTTTCCCCGTCTTCCCCCGCCCCACGCACTCGTAAGATCGAACACGTGCGAGGAGCGTGCAAAGCTTCGCGGTTGCGTTTCGGAGGAAGTTCAAGGTCTCCAATCTCGCGGTCAATGTCTTCTCCCCGGTATTTTTGCGACCATCGCGCACCGGTTTGCCCGGTATCTCGATCGGTGTATATCAGCGGTCGATCTCTCTCCCGTCGTCGCCAAAGAAAGCGCGAGGCGGGAAAACGCGTGTACCTTCAACTCCGTACGCGAGGGAAAAGCGCGAAGGGAAATTTTCGTTTGAGAACTAGTTATATGTGTGTGTGTGTGTGTGTGTGTGTGTATGTTTTTTCAGAAACGACGGAAGACCTGTATCTCATTTGTTTACCCAACACCTCCGTCTCACCTCCAGCTCCGACGTTCAAAAACGATAAAATTTAACGATCCTGTCCACTCGAGACTGCCGTCCGGGACCTTTTTAATTGCGTCGTTTTGCGGTATACTTTTTCAATTATCCTGCATTATTATGCAACCTTTTTTCGCCGATACGTTCATTAGTATGCGTTTATTTTTAACAGATAAAAAATCACAAGGTGACAAAAAAACCGAATAATTATTCTCTTCTTATCTCTTATTAGTCACTGTATAGTCACTCCCGAAGGAAAAATTTTGACAAGCGAAACGTACTTATTGACGCGTGCATATCGCGCGTTGGAGCTGCAAGATAAATTATATAAACTTTTTGTCCGACTAAAAATCATCGAGCAGTCAAGGAACTCGAAGCACAAAAAAGTCTCTCTTGCGATTCCAAGTATAATGACGGAATTAAATATAGCGTTTCATTTCCTCCGCGCGCGAGGATAAACAATTCGATACGGCGATATGCATATTATCGCCTTTCAAGGAAGCAAACTCGTTAGATAAATTATTTCCAGTGAGAGAGAGAAAGAGAGAGAGAGAGAGAGAGAGAGAGAGAGAGAGAGAGAGAGAGGAAGATAATGCGCCGAGCGCATTAAATATATCCGAGGAGGAAGGCCGATCAAGGTATTAAAAAAAGTCCGCAGGTATTTTCGCATATAAAAATAGATCGTATATTTACCTTTAACCCGAGTCGATAAAAGACTTAATTGGCTACTCAAAATTATCTCAACTTTATTTTAGTATTATTTTAACTGATGATATGCGCAAATGCGAAATTGGAAATGCACTGCAGACTTTATACTCTTCAGGTATCATATAATCATTATTTGCGGACGGATTGATGATTAACAACAACAGATCTAACGGAACAATAATTTATGAGAGTTAAGAAAGCGTTCGAAAGCGGATGAATTCCTTCACTTCGGACGAATTCCAAAGTGTCTTATCGTTCTTCAAGTATATCTCGATGTCACATTTATATCTCGATATCTCAGCCATACTCGATCGTCGACGAGAGAATTCGGGATTCGCGATTAGAAGATTAAACGATAGAACATCGGGCCGCGTATTAAGTATGTACGTTCTTAATTGTCACGTCCAAGAGGTGCCAGATTTCGACGAAAAATAGTTTTCCAAGTGTGCCTCGTCGCGTTTTGCTGTACGATTAGATCGAGTTTCGTAAGAGAGTTAAGAGAGACGTCGCACATTTAAGCCATTTACCGCGTGATGTAACGACGAAGGTCTTTGATAAAATTTGACATACACGCATCCGTAAACACGTAGATAAAAAAGAATTCGTCAAATCAGATACATATGTAAACCACAATTTTTTTTAGCGAAATTACAGCTGATAATATCAACAAACATCTGTTGCATGTGGAAGCATGGAATTTGGAATATCCCGATACTGCAATATTAAAATGAATTTTGGGTTATCGTATTGACATTGAAATCAATATAACATTATTCAATCCAGTCTAAACAAACGAAACAGAAATAGCTCTATCAATTCAGGGATTAATGATCTCTCTTGTATTTAATTTCCCGTCCTTTATCGTCCAATATCCTTCCCTATATATATATTTTTTTAATTTTCGTCTCCTTTTTTAATCTCCTTCACAGGTGAACGTGCGAATTTCGTGAACAAGCCTCATGTGATCGCGATGGTCGGTCTGCCGGCTCGCGGCAAGACCTACATATCCAAGAAGTTGTGCCGATACCTCAATTGGATCGGCATCAGCACGAAGGTCTTCAACCTGGGCGAGTACAGGCGGCACGCCACCACGGCCTACCAGTGCCACGAGTTCTTCCGTCCCGACAACATAAAGGCCATGGCGATACGCACGCAGTGCGCGAAGGACGCCCTGAACGACGTGTGCCAGTGGCTGGAGAGCGGCGACGGCGAGGTGGCCGTCTTCGACGCCACCAACTCCACGGTCGAGAGGCGCCAGCTCATACGCGACATCGTCGTGCGCAAGATGGGCTTCAAGCTCTTCTTCGTCGAGTCGGTGTGCAATGATCCCGAGATCGTCGAGCAGAACATCATGGAAGTACGTACTTGAGAAACGGTCAGAGGTAGCGACTGGATTAGAATTAGAATTAGAGATTAGACTGAAAAAACTTAGAATTAGACTGGATTAAAATTATATTCTACGTACATGGGAATTAATATATCAACTATATAATTTAACGTGACTTTTGAATATTTAATAAGATCGATATTGAGGAACGTTGAGCAGACTAATGTAGAAGTACGATTGGTTGTTATGTTATAATTTCTTTTGTATATTAATATTAATAATAATACTTGATTTAATAGAAATATGATGATAAACGTAAATATATATATATATAAACGTTCTGTTGTCCAGGTGAAAGTCAGTAGTCCGGATTACGCGAATATGAAGAAGGAGGACGTGCTCGCGGACTTCATGCTGCGAATCGAGCACTATCAGGAGCGATATGAGCCGCTGGACGAGGAGCGCGAGAGCGACCTGTCGTTCATGAAAATATACAACACCGGCGAGAAGGTGCTGGTTCATAAGCACGAAGGCCATATACAAAGTAGAATAGTTTACTATCTTATGAACATTCATATTGTGCCACGCACGATTTACTTGACCAGGCACGGTGAGAGCCTGATGAACCTCGAGGGCAGGATAGGCGGTGATTCGGACTTGAGCGAGCGGGGACATGAATACGGCAAGGCGTTGGCAGACTACATCAGCAGCCAGAACATACAGGTAATCTTCCTTTTCACAACGCATATTTTGTCAATTTTAATAAATTGATAGGTCGATTTAAAAAATTAATTACATGCTTATATACACATATATCGCGACAAAAATTTTTATATTTTGATTCCAATCATTATCGTTTCTTAGTTTTTATAATAATACGAGGATAAATAAATAGATAGATATAATCATTTAAATTCATCATTTAAGTAATAATTCAATCATTCAATCATTTAAATAACTATTTTAATTTAAAAAAATGTATATATAATTTATAATACAGTATGCTATATATATATATGTATTCAATGATTATAGTATGCACACTTCATATGTATTATATAAGCGCCATATTATTCTCCGCACTTTGGTCGCACACTTGACTTTCGAAGCAGTCTCATCCCGTGTGTTATGTTAAATAACGTTACATCTGCATACATAGGGTTTGAGAGTTTGGACTAGCTGGCTGAAGAGAACCATTCAGACCGCGGCTGACGTAAAGGCACCGCAGGAAAGGTGGAAGGCTCTCAACGAAATTGACGCTGTAAGTTAAAGCTATTAGACAGATTAATATATAGCTAATTAATAATCAACTTCTCTCACCTATGTCTTCCTCTTTGTGACTCATCCTAGGGTATTTGCGAAGAGATGACCTATGAAGAAATTGCCTCAAAGTATCCCACGGATTTTGCCGCGCGCGATCAGAACAAGTTCTCGTATCGTTATCCGAGGGGCGAAAGTTACGAGGATCTCGTTGCACGCTTGGAGCCTGTGATAATGGAATTGGAACGTCAGGGTAACGTTTTAGTCGTCAGCCATCAAGCGGTTCTACGATGCTTACTCGCTTACTTTCTGGACAAGAGTGCGGGTCAGTATATATCTCTACAAGGCATTTATTATCGTTCAATATCTCGATAGGACAGATTGAAGTTTGTTCTCGATTCGGCTTGCACGCGCAAATAGAATGATCCGAGTACAGTCGCCGGCGATACGTAACATGTCTGAGCACGCGATGACGTCTATAAGAATATGGAGAGATTGGAAGTGTCGAGGCGGCTAAGCGCAACTTTTGACCTTCGACGTATTAAAATGCGTCGGGAAAACATGATAAACTGTCGTGCACGCAAAAGCGGATTATAGTGACGTAATTGTTCATTCGATCATTCAGTCGAGTAGCACATTCTCGCTGGGCGATTTCTCCTTCCAACGCGACATTATGCATACCGAAAGCATATATGTATATATGTGTATATATATATATATATATATATATACATATATATGTGTGTGTATATAGAGACGCCCATTCTTTTTATTTCTGTGCAGTTGGTTCCAGTCGTTTTCTTCCTATTTCAGATGAATTACCGTATTTAGAAGTACCTTTGCACACCATCATGAAATTAACACCGGTCGCCTACGGCTGCAAGGTGGAGCACATTCGACTGCCCATAGAAGCGGTGGACACTCATCGGCCGAAACCAAAGGTAGAAATTATCATAATAAAGTCGTAACAGCTGTGTTCTTCCTCCCTCCGAGCGTGCTTATCTTGCTGAAAAATAGAGATAGTAAAAAGCAAGTACCTTCCTGTTTGCTTGCTAATCTTCCGACGCCGATTACTCTATACCAATAAAATATTTAATTCCTGTTGCGTTGCTCATGTTTTAATGTTCCCAGAATGCCTGAGCACTGTTAGCTGTAGTGGAAAAAAAACGGACTATTTTCTTGTACGTACCTAATCAAAACCTCATCCTAAAATCATCTGCAAAAAAAAAATCACTTTCATGAACTAAGAAATTCGTCGCATGCATTTTTCCTACGGACCTGGGACAAACGTGTCACTTGTGTGTGCTTTACTATAAATTTTATATGTTTACATTATATAAAATTATGTTGTTATATATATAATGTCACATGACAATTAGTCTTGTGCGAAATTGTAAAACGATTATTATTTGTAATCGTATTCTCGCTGGCAAATTATTAATCTGTATTTATATTTATCTGTATCATATTCTTTCAGATAGTATAAGTGTAAGCATCGATATTGCGGAATCGTGATGGTACCAAACGTTAATATGTAACTCATATTAAGTTTGTTCACAGCGATATGATGACGACAATTTTTAAAATTTATATTTATCAATGTAATATAGTTGGATGATTATAGTAATTAAACGTATTTATGATTTCGATCGCTTAGAAAGAGGTAACGAATTCAATTATATAATAGAATTAAATAATATATTCTTGAAGATTGTATCTTCTAGTTAAAAGCATAATATAAAAGTAATTATATCCGGTTAAATTAATTATAGAGTGTTAGCAGAATGCGAATGTAAATGAAAGAGGTAAATGAATTGTATATTTTACATAAGGTATTCCTTACAAATTGTACTTACACATGTGCAATTATATATTCTTGCGTAAGGTGACGATAACACATACGCGAAATGCAAAAGGCTTATCCATTAAAGGCTCAAAGATCGCGAAGCTACGGCATAACAGCTGATCTCAAGTGTTTTTCAATATGCTAATAAAGTCTCTTTGTTGCAAAAAAAAACCTGCTGTAAAGCATGTATCCTCGATTAAAGACACACACGCATCCTGCTCAGCCGCGTCTACATGTAGATTGCTCTTTTTTTTCTCTCCGCAGGCGCACGCTAACGGCAAACGCTAAAATGCCCGTTGTGGAACTTTTCAATTTTCAGATCCCGGGATATCTGGAAGAGCGATTTCGGGGGAAGGAGAAGGTACTACGCACGTGATAACAACGAATTTCGTAAAGCACGGGCGCAGCTATTTCCTGACCGTTGATAGAACCGAGACGTTGAAGCAGAGCAGAGAGAATAGATTCGGCAGCTGGCTGCCGTCCACACCCCTTCTCGCGTGCGTGAATCGGCGCGCATCCGAGCCCTTTTCTTCCTACACATGTGTCAAAAGCGATCGAGAGAGAGACGAGGCGCGATCGGCGGCGAATACCCTGTGAAACCCATAGGCACAGAATAACGGAGGATCCTCCGCGAGGACGCAGGTCCCGGCGCGACGACCTCGCACACGCACACACACACACACACACACACATACACACACACACACATTGCGCGCGTGTGACTTTGTGATTTTTATATTTTTTGATTGGCATCTAGATAGGTAGCGAGAGAAGAGTATATGTGATACGCAGGTGACGATCGTCGACGAGAAGAGTCTGGGTGAGCGCGTGTACGCGCGTCGACACGCGCGTGGACACGGGTCTTTTAGACGACGGGGATGATTTTTTCCTGGAGACAAGTGTCTTGGACCCGCGCGTACTTCGAAGTGTCTGCTACAATTCTTGCCGGGGAAAAGTTGTATCTCGACAAACGCGACACTCACCACACGCGATCGGTGTGATATTCACACACAGAACGAAATCCCATAATATCTTGCTCTCGTACGGCAGATACTTCGAAGCGCCCGCACGCCGAATCCAAAAAACAAAAAAACTGATACTTCTTTTCTACATCCATATTTCTCAAACATCTCGGAATTATCGTCGGATGCTTTTTAGAGCGAATCCGAAGGAAGGATCCAAAGTGTCGTAAAAAGTTGTGACATTGATAATAAATATCTCGACTACGTAAAAGGTATCGGGACATATAGTACAATACCTTAGAATTGCGAGTAATACTTTCGATCAAGCTAACGAACACACGTTACAACTGTCAGTCCATATTGTCTAACATTATACGTTACAATCTTGTAATATTAAGTAGCTAAATTACGGATTTTGATTATGGATATGTATCTCGATCGATGAGAAACATATAATAAATAACACATGCAATTTTATTGAGTCCACCTACTGACAGACATTCCCGTTTGATGTGAGCCCACCCACTGAGAGACATTCCTGTTTGATGAGTCGAAGATTTTTATTCCGCACCCTATTTATGAGAAGATAAATGAGTTGTCATTCGATAACAAATATCAAATCTCGTCAGGATTCATGGTAATGTAAGCATTTTCTTCAATATTTTTTTCTACAGAATGCTATGAGGAAAAAATGAAAAGGTAAGCGTGTTTGCAAAAGTTATATAGAATATTTCTGATCGAGAAGCGAAAGTACGTAGAATAAAGTTTTATTTTATTTTAATTATTAAAACATCGGTTTTTTTTACCAAAAACGTATTTCACATTTTCGAACGTATCTTGATATTTGGATCTTGTTAAAAAATACGCGCCGTAATATGCCGTCATATTTTTAGTATTCCCGGCATCCGTTAGATAGCGCTACAAGCGCTCACAAATTGTAGTAAATATTTGTGTTTGCGTCAGCTTCGAAGAAGAAAAAGAAGCTTGAATATAACTGGAATCTTTGTTAGAGATATGTGATTTCAAGCTTGTCGCGGGCGCAATGGCATCCATGAATGAATTCGGTCCAGATTCTGGTGGTAGAGTGAAGGTAGAGTAAAAAGTTAGATAAAATATTAACGGACGACTGTATTAACGTCGGTGATATAACCTATAATTATATTTTTGGCGCCATAAAAGATTTGTGTGATAAAAGTATCACTTTATTGAATGATTTATTCTTATTTGCCTAATAGGGAGTTACCGTAGTCAAGCCTATAGTCTACGGAAATGTAGCGCGTTACTTTGGCAAAAAGAGAGAGGAGGATGGTCACACGCATCAGTGGACCGTGTACGTCAAGCCATACAACAACGAGGACATGTCCACCTACGTGAAGAAGGTGCATTTCAAGCTGCACGAGAGTTACAACAATCCCAATCGAATCGTGACGAAGCCGCCGTACGAATTGACGGAGACCGGCTGGGGCGAATTCGAGATAGTTATTAAGATCTACTTTCACGATCCAAACGAACGTCCCGTGAGTGAATGAGCTCGTGAAAATTAAAAGATAGTTCGAATTCGATTGTTTTTTTCGATTATAAAAAAAAGAATGCGTGAATTTGTTTTAGGTAACAATATATCACATCCTGAAATTGTTTCAATCGACACCCGAAATACAGCTGAAGAAGAGTCTGGTGTTCGAATTTTACGAGGAGATAGTCTTTCAGGATCCGACGGCGTTGATGCAACATCTACTGAGTTCCAGTAGACCTATGACGCTCGGAGTCTGGCGGCACAATACAGACTGTTTGTATTCGTTATGCATGTAACTTACCACAGAGTTAAACTTAATAGACCTGTTCGTTATAGCTGAACTGGCTTCGGAGTTTATCTTTCTTCGTCCAATGTAGAAAGAGAAAAATAAACTGTGAACTAGTGCAGCCAGTTTAGTTATAGAAAACAGATCTAATGAAAATTTAATAAATTTATAATTATTGCAGTTGAAGCACTGAAGGAATCTACAATGAAAGATATTATGGAGGCACGCAACAAGATAAGACTGGAGGTGATAGATCTGAAGGAAAAATTGACCCTGGCGAAAGAGACTATCGCAAAGTTCAAGGAGGAAATTGCAAAGATTTCCAAAGCCGGCGGAAGTTTATCCGTTGCGTAGTAATATTCCAATGGAAACATTGATGTCGAACAAATGGACTATATTTGTCCTTCAGCAAGTATAGGTTCTTTCTTGTATAAAATGTACATAATTTCGTAATTATAACTTTAAATTTTATTCTAATTAAATTTAAGTAATAAAAAATTTTATTACATTGTGCATCCAATGATGAGATGATAAAATATATCCTCTGTCCTTTAACATTCTCCGACACCTTTTTATTAAATTCGCAATGTAATAAAAATTAATTTCTAATTTCAAATTTTTATGATCTAACTTCTCTAGTGCAAGAAAAGTATTTATAGAGAAATATAAGTACTTATATATGCAAAAGAAAATTGTCTATAAAATTTGCGAGTGAAATAATATCACGATTCGTCACCTTTAACGGCACTGATTTTAAAAATCACGCCTCTTCTGTGCAACTTGATAATTCTTAACAACAAAATTGATATATCCAAATTGGTGATAGTGTAACGCGATTTCTCAACTCCTGAAAAAATGTTAAAATAATAACTAAAAGCACGACGCCTAAAAACAAAGCCTTCCTAAAACCGAGGATAATAATTCTCGAAAGAAGAAATTTAGAATTACTAAAAGATAGAAATAGGACAAAGAATGGGAGAAGGATCTAGTTGGGAATAGGTTTTTTGGGTCGGAAATGTTTCACAATCAGTAAAGATTCAGAAATTGATTTGTGGGACACACAAACGTCACAAATGGTGGGGGGTTTCCGTTATGTTGTTCCACCAGATGGACACACAAATGGTTTTAACACAGAGAGTTTATATCGGGATGTTATACTAAATAAAAGAAAAAACGAGTCGCTGACACACAGTGAATTTATTAAGAGACATTAGAAACAGTTTATTAGGAAACTTATTTGAGAGAACGATGTTCTTGAGATATGTTTCGAGCTATTAAAAAAATATTTATTTTTGTAGATGTAGATAAAAGTTGTTGTGGCACATGTGTTACGTAGCCCAGTGAGAGTTATCGCGCGTGTAAATGTCGATCGCGAAACACGTCAAGTTGTTACATATATACGTTTACGAGCGTAAGACGCACGCGACACGCCGCCGGCGCTGCGTTCAATATAAACCATCATTGCATCCCGTTGCATCGCTGGCGTGATTCAGCAGCTTGAAAAAAAAATCAGCTGTTTCTCTCTTCCCTGCCGAGCGATGAGCGCGGTCGTCGAGAAAACGTGAGCATTGTGTGCGGCGCGAATTTTCATTCATTGGCGTTGAATCGTGTGCGCGCGTACCGTGTTTCACCATCCGCTCGTTCGCGATCATCGACTATTCTTGACCCAATCTTACTTTGTGCCCAAGCGGCGACACATGATTCACGAGTGATTACGTAACGATCAACCGGCCCAGTCATTCCGACGCGGCTACGCGAAGTGGTAGAGGTGATACTTAAGAGTCACTTTTTTCTTTTCTAATCGACTTTAGAGTCGATGTTCTCATCTCAATGAAAAGTCGTCGAGAGACGACGGTGGTTTTTTAATTCTCTGAGCTCAGATTCAAAATTGATTAAATAAAATTTTAAAATCTTCAGTTTTGATTTTGAAGATCGACAAACGCTGCAATGGTCTTCTCTTTCTTCCATCAACAAAATGTATTTGCTTCGATCAATAGCTAACGAAGGAGTTTATATATGAAAAGTGGCTCTCTAAGTCTGGAACACCCTATACATATATAGTCTCGTTTATATGCTCGATAACTTCCGAGGACGCGAGTGATATGGTGAATCAAAAGGAAATCATAGTTCAGTTTGTAAACTTGATAATCGAAATCGCCTTACTAAACAAATGAATTAAGAGCAGTCGAATTAGCGATTCATATTTTGTCTAAATATTCTTATGAACTTTTGTTAAAAATACATATATTAAAAATTTTCCGACTTGAGGATTTTTATGTTACATAATTTTATATATTAAATTTAATTTTTTATATTGTTTCTTAATGAAATAAAAATAATATATTCTTTTTTAAGTGTTATATATAATTTATATAATGTAGAAAGATAAAGTCTTAATCAGTTTATAGTACTTTTGATGTTATGATTGAATTTTTTAATTCTTTATTTTTTATTTTTTACTCTTTTATTTTATTTACGTGAATATTTACAAATACAGAGAATAGAATAGTGCACTATTTGCGCAAGATAAAATAAAAGATAAAATAAAAAATAAATAATTAAAATAAAAAAATATTAAACCGAATAATGTTCATTTCTATCAATGTAGATTATAACTTTAATTTCAGTTTAACTTATTCTTTATTTTTTTTCTAGTTCGAAAAATTAGAAAAAGAGAAAGGTAAGTTAAACCGAGATTAAAGTTAACCTGCATGAAATGGACATAAGGAATTTGTTTTCCTTTCTTTCTCTTTAACTTCTGCATTAATAAATAGAAAAATAACGAATAAACTTTCCAACATTTGTGACATTAGGATAAGAAGAAGAAATACGATAATTTCCAGTATGTCTGCACGACAGCTTTGTCACGTTTGATTTTGGGATTAATCCTCTAACTATATAATTCTCTGTTGCGTCTTCAGATCAGGCGTGGAGTTCGCGATCGGTGCCCTGGCGGCGGTGGGCGCCGGCTTCTTCACGAATCCCGTGGACGTGGTGAAGGTGCGGCTGCAGCTGCAGGGTGAGCTGGAGGCGCGGGGCTCGTACAAGAAGATATACAAGAACACCCTGCACGCGGCGTATCTCATAGCCAAGCACGAGGGCGTGCTGGCCCTGCAGGCGGGACTCGTGCCCGCGCTTGCCTTCCAGGTCGTGCTCAATGGTATCCGCCTGGGCGCGTACAAGTCCGCCCAGAGATACGAGCTGATCGTCGACAAGCAGGGCAACACCGATGTTCTACGGACCATCCTGGTGTCCGGCACGGCCGGCTGCGTCGGTGCCGTCCTCGGCAGTCCGTTGTACCTGGTAATCGTCCACTCGATCGCTCCCGAGGAGCGTCTGTTTATTTATCGAAACTATTATACTTTAAATCGATTCTATATTCTATTTTTTTATATATAATTCATACAAAATTACCTGTGTATGTACATATGCTCCACCTGTTACGTTAGTGCGGGTTTCTAAGATTTTTAGAATTTGACGGCATTTCTATATCCATTCGAGAAAAATTCGAAGGATGTACATCGGACGGTCTGATGTAGAATAACCTTCGAATTTTTCTCGAATGGATAGAGATGCCGTTGAATTTTAGCCAATATATATTTCATATAAATTTTATTCAAAGGCTTCGTCGATCCCGAATAAAATTAATATGAAATATATATATTGACAAGAAATATAATAATAATATAATGTGTAAAGTACCCACTAAACGGAAATGAATTGAAATTTCAAATCATGGATTAGCTTTCGTAGAAATGAATGCATTTCTATAAAGGCCAATCCATTTTAATTAAAAAAAAAAAAATTTTAATCCATTTTCGTTTACTGAATAAAAAAATATACGATATAAAGTTACAAAAGCACGGTTGCTCGCGAGTGAACACGTACAAATATCTCTGGTCAAAAGTTGATTTAATAAAGATAGAAGATATAAATAGCTTTTTCTATAGAAATGTAGGTAATAAGTGTTACATTTTGCGCGCGGATCACGGCTAATCAAATTCGTACAATTCATCCCGCAGGTCAAGACGCAATTACAGGCGCAATCCGCGGAGTCCATCGCCGTGGGCTACCAGCACAATCACTCGGGTTCGTGGGACGCTTTCAAGTCTCTGTGGATGGAGGGCGGCGTCGCGGCATTGTACCGAGGATGGAACGCGAACATGCCGCGCGTATTCGTCGGCTCGGCGACGCAGCTGACCACCTTCGGATTAGCGTCGGACTGGCTACGCTCGTTAAATGTAAGTAATACTTGACCGTCTCCATCACGCTCGCTTCTAAACACCTTCCTTCTCACCCTGAGGTCTCGAATTTCCTCTGCTCGCTCACGCGCAACTATATCAAAGGCGCGAACGACCAAAGGAAATGAAATGCCGCGATTTTAAAAGTATAAAAAAATCTCAACAATTTAAATCTCCAAAATCGAAGTGTACACCTGAGACCATCACCGATCGGTGTGTACTTATCGTCTAGTAGACCTCAGCGCGAGATTCGAGGGTCACTCATCGATACGGCGCGACGGAGCGTTTTTAATTTCTATCAGACATTTCCAGATCGACCGATACTGCTGACCTTCCTGGCCTCCGTGATCGGAGGTAGTTGCGTAGCCGTCACCATGCAGCCGTTCGACGTTCTGGCGACGCGGTTGTACAATCAACGTGAGTATACCGCGCGTGAAAGCCGCCGTACGTGGCAAGGCCTGCTGTGTGTTAAACGCGCGATTTACCCGAAAGCCACGATTGTGTCGCTTAACTAACAGCGATTTGAACATTTGCGCAAAATTGAAATTCCGTATAACGTTCGTCGAATAGCGGAAATTTGTCCGGAAAAAATATTAAAAAATAAAACCGTTCTCATTTCTATTTCTACTCATTTCCGATAAAATATCTAACACTTTCTGTTCGCTCGTGTGTAATTATGCTCGAGTCAGCATCTCGCGATAATACATTAACTTAGCGTACGCGACTATAAATACAATGCGGTGTACGCGTGACTATAAATACGATTCCCTAATGCCCGTGACTATATAAATACGCCTTGCGTAAAGAATTCCGCTCGTAAAATTTCTCGAGCGTAACGTGAAACGCTCGATTGGAGAGAAACATTCAGAAATCGAAAACTCGTTATCTGTCTGTTAACGCTATATAGATTCTTTAATAGCAAATGTAAGCAAATTTTATGCGTTTATTGCTTATATATATCTTTGAAAATCGTCAACTTGTACTAAACGTGTGTTTTTTAAAACGTACGCAAACGCAGAGACAGACGCGACCGGCAAGGGTACGCTGTACAAAGGTCTCGGGGACGCGCTCGTCAAGATATTCCGCACCGAGGGTCTGACCGGCCTCTACAAAGGAACGTTCCCGACGTGGATGAGGATAGCGCCGCATACGGTTCTGTGCCTAGTGTTTTACGAGAAGCTAGATCAACTGTACAGCAATTTTAGAAGACGAAACGATTGATGCTAGTTTTAAATTTGTACAAATTATATACGTACTTTACTTTATAGATGTATGCACAGCGAGAATTTTGTAAGATTTTTCAGGAACGTTGAAACGTTATTAAATAATGCAAATCTACTCGGAATAAATTGTTGTATACGTATTGGCAGTGGTCGCTTGATTGCGGATAGAAATTGTATAGACCTATGGACGTATGTACGTCAAGATGTTGTATAAATGTATAAATCTTAGCCGCGCGTACGAGATACCGTTTTACGCTATTATTTTCGATATTTTTAATACTGAGATAGAATATATATATACATATATATATTTATGTATAAATAGTCAATAGTATATAAAATTCGCCCGCATAGTGCACTTGAATCTCGTCCGAATAAATTAATCTCGCGTCCCTTTTTTCTTTTTACAGATGCGCGATCGCATGAACCAGATATGAGTAACGCGCGAGTTGTCACTCACGTGGCGAGCGACGTGTGGCAATGATTTGTTGATTTCGTTAAAAAACTGTATAAAAAATACTTAGTCGAGCTACATATGAAGCGTTCGGGCTACGCTGCAGCGAGTGTTGCGTTCGGTCTTGATTTGAAACCTTGAGTCATAGCTGCCGCTATATCCGTCGTGCTTCGACCCCGCGTCTCGGGCAGGTAGACTCTGCAACGAATAGCAACAGTTCCACATATATTACTCTGCGAATAGAATATTCGCGCGTAACTGGAATAAGATTATACTATACGTACCGATTGACCTGCACCAAGATCTGCGTGCTCGCAGCGAAGATCAGGAAGACGTACGGGCCGATCGCGGCTTCTAACGAGGGGAACATCATCCCGACGAGGAAGTTACCTCCCCAATTGAACACGCTACCTAACGACATAGCGGCAGGCCTGGGACCTACGTCGAATAGCTCGGAGCCGATGAAAAACGGTATAGGGCCGAGACCGATACCGTAAAATATAACGTATGCCAGCACCGCGACGGTGCAGAGCCATGGCATGAACGAGGTCACGTGCTGCAAAGAGACGCATCGTTCAGTATCGTGAGTCTAACTTATGCTCAACCTCATTAAGATTCTACCTCATTTTACTTTATCTGTACTGGGGCTGTTACTTTTTACTTTCTTTGAATATTCGAAACTTCGAAATTATAACTTCGACCTTTTAAAGTTTAAGGGCTATATACAAATATTATTGAAATTTGAGATTATAATTTGACAAAATTGTGAAAATTTAATATGCTATTAAAATTTATTATTCAATTAAGTAAACTGTTTACTTACGATTAGCGCGATAGAGGCGCACAGAGTGATGAGGCATCCCACGCATAAGTAACAGCTCAGGAACAGTACTTTTCGTCTGCTGAATAACGACATTATCGGCACGGAGATCACAGCCATCCCGATGTTCGCGACACCAGTGCCCAGAGTCGCGTATTGAGCGCCGTTAATTCCCAGACCAGCTTTGTGGAATATTATGTTCGAGTAGTAAAAAACTGCGTTAATGCCACTGAGCTGCTGACAAAATTGCATGAGGCACACTAGGAATAGAGGCAGTCTCACGGTCGGCTCTTCCAACACGCGCTTAATGTTCCACGGTTTGCTTGTCGATCTCATCGCTAGTTCTTGCTGCAAGCTGGAGATCTCGTTTTGCAGGAGCATTATGTCCATGTTGCGCAAACGACTGAGCTCTAAAACGAATCAGAAATTTAAGAAATGCAATAACGGTACAAATACGCGGTGCTAAAACTGCTCGACGCAGATTGTACGACGATTAAAAAATACTCTCGGATGATCATTCGTAAAATGATTGTTGAACGCACCTTTAAGAGCCTTTCCCTGTTCCCCTCTTGTAATGTACAGATACTTTGGACTTTCTGGCAAAACGATAGTCAGTAATAATGCAGCGAGGCACAGCGGTGAGAAAGACGCTAGCATTATGTGCCAGGATTCGGGAGTGCCCAGAACAGTCTCGAGTCCGGCGACCTGGCCCATCAGCACGCCGCACGTGATGCCCAATTGGCACAAGACCCCGACGGCGCCTCTCAATTTTAGAGGTGCTATTTCTGTCATGTACATCGGGAGCAAGGCAGTAGCTAGACCGCCGGAAAGTCCTATACGAATTATATTTAGAAGCATTATACATACCGCAGAAATTAAAAAATTAAATTGAAAAATTGAAGACTCGTATATGCTTGCCTTCAATTATAATTATGTCTACCGCTGTGTGGTCTTGCATCGATTAAATATCCAAGGATTGGAGTAAATTTTAACGATTCCTCGACTCACCGACGATCACTCGGCCGAGTAGGAAAAGCTCGATCGAATTCACAGTTCGTACGAGCATGAATAGAACGGCTCCTACGATCCCGCAGAGATTTCCGAAGCTCAGCGCGCCTTTCCGTCCGAATCTGTCGCTCAGCCAGCTAGCAATCAACGATCCGGACACACCTCCGACAAGGAAGACCGACACGATGGCGGACCAGAGTATCTGGAGCTCATGACTGGACAGCTGTACGTTATATCTTTCCCTGACACTCTCATTGCAGAACGATTGCATGAGCTGTAAGCCGAATATACGATAGTATAGATTCAAACAGCACTGTGCTCGCGGCGGAATCGCATAGTTGGTTTACTACGAACATGAGCTGGATTGTTCATGACGCCTATGTTATACCCTGCTGGCAGTGCTGATCCCAGGCAGCAAGTGGCACCGCCCAGTACCAGCAACGGGGTCCATCCACCGGGATCGGCATCGTGTGCATTGCCACACTCCTATAAAAAGTACATCACGCAGGTCAGAAATTATGTCTCACATCACGTGTGAGAAGTAGAGTTTCTTTTATCCACTCCTTTTAAGTGAAAGGTGAATGGTTCATTACGCACAATAGATATTTATTCTGCGTAACAAGGAGCGATGTATACACAATTCAGAAAATTTCTTTGTTAATTCTTACAGATAGCGCGACTTGTAGATTAATTATAATATTTACGAGCTATCTTTATTCTCTATTCAGCAGCATATTCTCTATTATATAGTCATGTTTAACAAGTGCAAGTACAAATTGTAACGTAATGCATAAACGTTACTTGCAGCATTTGTTGGTACGAGTCTTATTATGGCGCGATGTATGAAGATGAATTCTGATAATTTCATATCATGACCCAATTATACAATAGAATCCTCAGATATCGTCCGCTTTGCGTAACAATTAATAATAAACAGTTGTTTAATGTCATCACAAATGTGATATCTCTCTCGCGATTGTAATTATAGCTGAATATCAATATCAATACAGTTAATCTTATATAAATCTAATGAATATTTTTCCAATCATTTTTTCTTCTACTCCACTGCTCTTGCAGGAAAAGAGTGAGAGAGAAAAAAACTGTTTTTCCGGATTTTTGTAATCAAATAGGCGGACACGTTGATATTTTTTATATTAAGTAACAGCGGGCTCTTCACCAATTCCTTAAAAAAAAAAAAAAAAAATTTACGATATGTAAAATCAGAAGACCATACCGCTCACATAATTAAGCATCGTAAGCAATATGAAGTGTTCTGCCACCCTCGTAGACCAATCAGTGATAACATGGAAAAGCCAGGACGGAATGATGGAACAAAACTCAACAAAACCACACACCATGGGCATACCTGTAAACTGGTGAGATAGCCAACCATGTGTTATTATGAATTTGTCATAGGGCACGAATATACCCTCCGACCGTTTGTCTTAAGGGCATACTCACGCGTTCGCATATACACGCAAACACACACACACACACACACACACACACACACACACACACACACATACAAAAGTTCTGGCCTTTAATAATCATTCGTCATTGTGAGAATCAAATTGTAGGCTATAATATATATCCATATCTGCGATGTACATACATATCAAAATGTGTGTTTCGACTCTGATGATAATTCTCTATTATAAATATAGACAGATATAATATATATCCTTCGCACGAGATAAAGAAACATGCATTAATATAAATAATCGTGAGTATTACATTAGCAAAGCGATCATTTTTTAGCGATAATATTAATATTTTAATTTCAGCACTTAACTCGGACATTTTGGTTATCATATCGAATACTCTACTCTGTCATATATAATTCTGCTATTACAGGGAGATATACACAGAGAGCATATCTCAATCATTTAGTAAACTTATAGATAACGGCTTACACGAGCTTGTTGTTAAGTCAAAATAAATCAAAATAAATCAAATTGAATCAATTAATAGATTAAAGTAACAAGAAAATTTTTAATCAGCCAGAAAAAGTTATGAAGTACTATATAATTTATAATTAATATTAATTAAAAAGAAAATCCATCGCCAAGATTATAGTATTAAATTAAAAATTAGCAAAAAAGATATCCGCAGAAAAACGAGAGGGTCATATTATCTTAATAGTAGTACATTACAGATGATTAAGAAAAAGAGAAGCGCAATAAACTACTTCGGAAGAAATGAAAATGACATGGCGTGATAATTGAGATATGCGTCATTTCGAATGTATTAACTAAATCAGGATTGAATGAAATGATCGCCAAATGTAATTGTACCAATCGAATACACCTGCTGTACGTCATATTTTTCTTTTTTTTTTTTTGATGACGTTGCGTAGACATTAAATTGTCCGTAATTCGATGCCACCGTTCGCTATACACGATGTAAAAAGAAAGAAGTCACAATATACAAAATTTACAAAAATTGCCTAATTGGCATTGACGAGTACCTGGCGCAAAAGTTTTCGCAAAAAACGCACATACTTTCTTTTTACATACTGGCGCTATGTTTAATGGATACGCAAATGCATACGCAATAATTATTGTACTTCTGATAACGGAGCCTTTACTGCAAAAACCGAGAGACCTGTACCATCTTGCAAAGAATATACAGGCAGCGGCATATATCACATCATAATTACTTTACTAAAGATACGTGAATTAATATTAAACCTTTGCGGTCGAGTTGGATTCAATTTAATTTCACATTTACTATGAATACTCCAAGTATTCGAATAAATGCGAGATTGTAATAAGCAAACGGTGAAACTTTTGAAATAATTATAAATAATAAAAATTCTTTTATTCCCGTTGATTAAATCGGACCTAATCCTCATTTGCAAGAGATAATTTCAGCCGCAAAGGGTTAAAGAGTATATTAACGATAAAAAATATATATATATAAAAGGCCCATCTTCAAGCAAGGGCCGAGAGATAACCGATAACTGCGCTATTTTACAGAAAATTCAAACGACATTACAGTACATAGACTGTGATAATTAAGGAGAACGGTGAGACTTACAGACTTCCGCGATTCTCCGGCCAACGATTTCACCCTCGACACGTCGATGCACAGCGCGGACACGTCGGTCTCTGCAAACATAAGGAAAAGATTGCAGTATACACCCCTTCGTGCGCTGTTCCGAGTCATCCGGGGGACGTGGAGCATGCAAGATCGCACGGTTAAATGCATCGGATGTGTAATGACGCGTTTCTGCAGGGAAACGTCACGACGACGACGACGATGCGTTACTTTTCTGCGAAGATCGATGAAAGGACGCGCACGGGAGAGTGGCTTTGTGCTGCGATGTCGCATCCCCCAAGAGAGAGAGAGAGAGAGAGTCCACTTATTTAATTTTCCTCTCCGTTCAAACATGGAAAACGTTTACGATCGCAAACCGAGGAAGGAAGGTCGAGGTGAGCTTACCTATTGTCATGCCGCGCGGCACGTGTCGCGAATCGCGGACACCACCGGTGATAACCGCAGTGGCCAGAGGCCAGAGACGTCTGCCGTCGCGGTCACAGGGTATCGCAGTGTACATACGTCAGGTTAGGGTTGGTAGTGCTGCGCCAACCCCACCGTTCATTAGGGGTGATAATATATATTGTCCAATCTTATAACCAAGATCGCGTTGTTTTATGATCGGATTTTATCGGATCATATAAGAGTGATTTTAATCAAACTCCAATTAATTTAATTTAATTGGATTAACATTAATATGAAAATCTAATCCTTAACTGGATTAAATTATCATCTACACAATTTTTATTAACGTGGATAGAATTAACTTTTTATTTAATATACGGGAAAAATTATTAACTCTAATTAATTTAACTTAATTAGATTAAAATATCAATGCTACTTTATTAACATAAATAGAATAATTGACTTTTTATTTAATATACGGAAAAAATTATTATCGCGCATTGTTCAGTCTGTTACGGTTGCATTATATATCACATTTTCTATATTTAAAATAAGACAGGTGTGTAATTATATGTATCGGAAAGAAAGAAAAGGAGAGTGAAAAAATACAAAATACTCGATCTGCTATGAAAAACAAAACTTTAGTCCGCTGCAAATAATTCGATTCAAATCTTCGATTCCTCGCGCGTATTCTCGGCACGTGAGTTCCAAATCTCAGCCTGCAGATACGTACATTAATTTCGCTATAGGATACATCGTCAGACGTATATATACTCTTTCCTTACTATCTCTCACTTCTTATTCTCGAGCGAGAGACGAGGCGACGCACGCAAGGTCAAGCGATATAAAGGGTGTCCAAAAACCTTGTTTAACCTTTCTTGACTTGTCTCTTGCTTGATGTCTCTCGCTCTTCCAACTCAAAATTTATATATAATAATGAAACAGATGAATAGTCGAGAAGTAACTTTTGGTAAAATCTAAATTTCCAAGAAAGAATATTCCTTACCTATAGATAGCACAGAGAGTTCAAAAAGTATTCATTCATATATTCAGTCGTATGTCATCAATTCTGAATTTATCTCAGGTGCAAAAAGAACTTTTTTTTCATAACTTCCAGAAAAAGAATTGTTTTGTATCTGAAAACAAATTCAGAATGATGACATACAACTGAATTCTTTTTTAACTCTCCATCATGTTATCTGGTAAACATCATTCTTTGAATACTTTTGAAGCACTTCTTAGATAAATTTATCTTTTTACCTGCTTTTTCGGCAGCGTTTTCTATATTCTCTCGCTGTTTTCTTTTTTTTTTCAAATTCTAAGCACGTATCTCAATGCAAAAAGTGCAGAAGAGGATTGAAAAGAAATTTATTTATAAGCGAAAGTGAAGCTAAAAAGAAATATATTTAATTTCTTTAAGATTAATTTTGTTTTCTTGGACACCTTATACATCGCACATTCGCGTTCTTGTATTGCATACGACGACGAACGTGTACAGTTGGTGTGTTTCAACGTGACTTGTGAGTCCATGGAATGCCTGTCGATTCATAATTAACGCTCAACCGTAAGTCAACGCGACGTTATGAAAATATACGATAAAAGTTTTACAATTCATTATCACTGCCGTGGTTGTATCTTAATTACATTTTCTAAACTCGTCAAGCATATCTCCTTCTACACTTTCTGAATTTGAATATGTGGACTTGTTCCGTTATAACGATAAAAGATTGCTGGCTGACGCAGACAAAATCAAATCATCGCGATTCGCATAGTAAGAACTTGCGACCTTAGAACATCGTTCAAAGTTCATCTTAATTGGATGTTTACATTTTCTTCTTTTTTTCTTAAATGGACGTTAACATTTTGTTCTGCTTCTTTAAATAAATTTTCAATCATCGTAATTGCAGCTCCACGTTATTTAATGCATGTAAAATGGTTTACATTTTGTCTACAATCTTTGCCTAGCTGTGCCTTAGCTTCATTTCTCTGTCTTACTTCGTCTCTCGTCGCTTTCTCGTTTATAATTTAGCCATTTCTTTTTTCTCCTGTCCGCGGCAGACGAAATATTCCTCCATTCTGAGAAATGTGATAACTTCCATCTTAACACTCGGAACTCGCCAATTTAAAGAAAGAAGAAAGAATATAGCTCTGCTCCAAAGAAGGAAGTAAAATATAATATTTAATGTAGCGAAGTTGACTCTTAAATTTATGCATTTAATCCGCTGCACGAAGTTATTCGGATTGGGAGAGCCAAGTGTCAATGCCGCTAAGTTTTTATATCGAAAATTTAAGGAGCAAAAATAGAACTCGCTCTCGCATCACATGCACGTGACACGCTGCAATTGTGACGCGCGGCTGCCCACGCTCGCGACCGCGAGTTCGCCGATTACGCTGCGGAACTGCAGCGATATCGGTCCGGTGCGCGGACATGACAAGCATGCTCTCGCGTGATACGCGAGGAATTCAAAAAATACAACATATGTGGCGTTGAGCCTTAAACAAGCCCAAGTAAAAATAGCAACGGAACTCGTCGTGCGACAACAAAACGCGTATGCTTATCGCGCCCATAACTAATTATTTCCAATCGTATATATCTTTCTTTTTTTTTGTAAATAAAGCTATCGCGGTTGATTCTTGCAGCGTTGATTGTTCTGACTGTTGCCCTTTATTGTTGACACTATATCGTTGCGAGCAAGTTCACTCTAAGTGGAAACTAAATAAAATTTGATCTCGATTTAGGAAAAAATTCTCATAATAATTTTAGTATAAAATACAAGAATTGTGTAATATATTATAAATCTCTATTATCGATCTAAAATGGTGTATAATTTTATACAATTTACAACAGTCTCAGAACGTTCCCAAAAGATTTTTTCAGAAAATTCCGGTTCTCCATTCAGTTCCTTACTCCATTCATTTTCGCATTTCTTATTTTACATCTCAACACATACCTTGATTCTCATCCATTGTGTCTTTCATTGTTCGGCGCGTAAACAAAGTTCACTGTTCAATCGCGACGCTCGAAGAGATTCTCAAGAGAGTCAAGAGCCGCAGAATCGACCGACGCCAACGTGGACTGCGGTCTGACTAATCGCCAGACGCCAAAGCCGTTCTTTCCGCGCCTTTCGGTTACCGACGTTGTCACGATGACTGGTTGACGATAGCGATCGGACAGCCAATACCGTCGTCTCGTTTGATTTAGACACGTGCGATAGCAACGTTTATGTACAATGTACATACATAATATCTTTCATAGGCGCGTGTGTGTAGAAATATTAAAAAAAAGGGAACCGCCTCGGGGAAACTGTACGTATACTCGGATTGCAGCCAGAGTTCCAGCCTTAATGGAGTTTTAGTTTGAGATTTGTAACACATACAGGATTATCGAAAATTTTTGAAACAAATCGTTGGACGTTTATAAAATGATAGATAATGTTCTCCCATACGTTTTTTTTTATTAAGGAAATATCGATACGAGTTAACAAAAAAATTTAAAACGAGAATGACATTCGAAAAATGGAACATTCCGTATCTAACATATTTGAAACAGTTATCGCTTAGTAATTAAGATTGTTATAGTAAAAAAAATGCTTAAATGTTTATGTAATCGTATTTTACTGCCAAGTCGCGTAGAAGAAATCGAGGATGTTGTAATTATAGAAAACGCATGAGTGAAGTAAAATTCTTTTACCTCATCAGTCGACTCGTTATTAAAAATTATGTGTTACACATACATATTTGATGCAACGCTCACGTGTTACGACATGAGAAAATGCACTTTAAACCGCTTATCCGCATATGACCTCGTAATTAATAGCGAGTCGGGTTCCATGTTCACGTTTAATTGACTATAGTTGTCCGCACGTGCTAATAGAAAATTTATCTTCTCGTTTGAGACCGCGGAAAGCGATTAATTGAAATCGACGCTATAAAATTCGAGATAATAACGTATCAAAAATATCAAGCCTTTTTTTTTTCTTCTTTTATCTTTATTATACGGATGAAATACTCTGTGATCTTTCTGAACGCGATCTTAGAATCAGGATATGAAAAACAGTTTTCATCGGGAGCTCATTAAGATAATTTACGCTTTACGCGGCGATCGATATATCATAGATCTGTCGAGTCTTTGTGGAAAATATTCGCCGTAGAAAGAGTCAGTTGTGCGGAAATGCGACATCATAATTGGAAATGACCGCCAGCCATTTTCCCTTGACCTTGTCATTTGATACGGCATATATTGATATTACGCGATGCGTCACATTAAATTTTTTCACGATAACCGATAATTTGATTTTTTTCACCACGCACTTCTTCGGCAGAATTTTAAACGTGAATTCGCTCAGTTTTCCTGCCTTTTCGTTCTACTTCGCGATCTCGGATTACAACCGGTTTATTCAGCTATTCCCACTTTGCTCTTCTTTTGCTTTTTCATCATTTTATACTTTATGGCGGACGTTATTTATGAATCTTACGTATCTTTACGAGCACCAATTCGAGAGCAGTATGCAACCCAGTATGTATTCATGTATATATATATATTTGATGCGTAATTTATTGATTCAGTGATGTGTTTATAAACAGCAGTCATATAATTTATCTTCCTTTAGCCGCCTTACTGAACCTCATTACTAAATCACTTCGTCAGTCGTATTCTTGATAAATGCACAATCGTGGCAGGACAATTACTTAATTACAATCTTAATTACAAAACACGTTAGCACGAGAATTCTAATCTTCGCAGGTGACGTGAAAACACGCAAGCCCCAGGAAGGAGAACGGTCTTCGAGATGCGATACGATGCATTCTACGTTACTACCTATAATCTTTCTCTTCTCCCCACTTTTTCCTTCTCTCATTCACGTCATCCGGAAGAGTGTCGCAATATTGTCGTATTATTAAGGCATTCATACACCTTACAACATTAACATAATGTATATATCTTATCTACCGCGAGAAATTTTTACACAACACAAACGTTGCGCGAGATTCTTACACAATCGACCGAAAATTTCCATGTTAATCCAACGTGCCGTAGTGCGCGCCTGCTTTTTATTCATGTGATGGAAATCGAAAATAGAACGGTATACAATGGAGTCTAACATCGGCGTATCACCTGTACATACATGTTGAGATAACTGCAGAGAAGATGTGCATGGAAGAAGCACTCGATCGTCACAAGATGACAGCCGAGAGAATCCCGTTCGCAACATCCGGCGTGCACTATACTTTTACAAAATAGTATTTATCGTAAATACGATTTCTTTTGTTCGTATTGAGCAATCTGCGTGACTTAACGCTATATTTATTATTAACCCTTTATTCGGCAGAAGAATTCAAGACTCGTGATTATCAGACGCACAACAGGAAGAACAGCTAATCCTCTGTGATGTATGCCGCTTTTCGAACTAATTGTAAGTAAAGAGTCGCCTCGAATTACTCAGATCAATATTTGTATATTCGGTAAGAGCAAGCGTTGATAAGAGAATTTGGCAGTGATAACAAATGTGAACGTGGAGATGTATATATAAGGAAATGCCGAATAATAAGAAAATGACCGAATAAAGAGTCACGGGCACCAGAGCGATAAAAAAAAAGTTCCTCGAGGCGCGCGTTTTATCTACTTTTCGCGTTATCGCAATTTCGCAGCTCAAGTACAGTCCGTCCCGTGGCCGTGCCCTCTTCCGAGTTCGTGATTCAAGGCCGTCAAGAGTGGATACTTTCCGCATCCGCACAGACCTCTGAAGTCGTCCAGGTCCATGGACCAGATCATTCCGCCGCCGAGATTTAGCTGCTTTATTAGCTCAGCCTGAGAGCGAGGCAGATGATTTAATTACGGGATAAAAAATAGGTATGATTTAAGCACGTACAAACACAGATCAAACCAGAGAATTATCAAACGCTTCAAGATTGCGAAACGACACGCTGAATTCTTACTCGATGACTGTCACGAGTTTGCATCTATTTAATGAATCACGCGTTTGTACGAGCCGTTTGTGAAATATCTATAGATGATATAGGATATCTGAACGCATATGTAAAACACGTGCTCCTCATATGCGTTGCACACATACCTTTCTTGCTACGTTGGACACGTCGTCGTAGCTGACCCACTGGTCGCGTCTCGACGCGTACGGTCCCACGCGGCCGGTCGGATCCTTCGTCACGGTCCAGCCGTCATTCTTCACGTTATCGCATATCTGCGTAGCGATACCAAAGAGTGAAACACTTAACACTTAACAGTGCATCTATTATTGCCGCGATTCGATTTACAGATCACAGTAGCTGGGCTCTTACCTCGTGGTAAGCTAGAAAACCGGCCGATCTCGTGAACTTGCCGGGTTCTCCAGGTCCGGCTGCCTTCGCGTGGAAGCCCTGTCGCGGAAGTTCAACTTCATTCTGCGACTTTTCGGACAGAGTAAAACTCGATCCGTATGCGGGTATGCCCAGGACGATCATCTCGGGTGGCACGCCCTTGCTGATCCAGTACGTCACGGAGAAGTTCGCGTTCAGGAACGGGCTTACATCATCGGGCTGACGATAAAGCGGCGCGACGTGGCCGGTTTTGCTTTCCCAGCCAGTGTGATAGTCGTACGCCACCACGTCGATCCAATCCACGTAGCGTGTTAAGAGCGGGATTTGGGTGTAGCCCCGGTCGATGACGATCTTGCTCGCCGGGACCGTGATGGATAACAGGAGTCCTTTAGATGTCAACGCCTCGCTGAGGTCTTCGAGAAATTCGACGAAGTTCTCGCTGTCCTGTTGAGGGCCGCGGCCGCAGTCGCCCTGTCCAAGAGGTTTGATTTTTAATTGTTTTAATTATTTATTATAATTAGCGTAACTAATCTTATGCTTAGCATTTATTGATAAATATAAAATTTTACTGAAGAAGAGCTACATATATTTGAAAAATAATTTTTTGCTCAACATTAAAATATCTTTTTTACAAAGTCTTTTTTCTAAATTGAAACGTCTCCTTTAAATTTTCTTAGTATCTCTAATATTTCATGTTAGAAGAATTATTACAATTACACTGAGGAGATACCGGGTGATTTACCTGCCAGCATACCGGAAACTCCCAATCAAAATCCAGACCGTCGAATCCATATTGTTCGAGAACTCTTACGATATATCTGGCAAAATTTTTTCTAGTCAATCGCGAACTGCTGGTCAATCTGCTATACTTGTCGTCCTTCGAGTCGTTCCATCCACCTAAACCGAGCAACACCTTAAGGCCATTTCTTTTTTTGATTTCCGCCGTTTTGTTGAGAAAACTCCTATAGACGTTAACGGAATCATCGATGTTTAGAAGAAATGTCTCTGGTTCCAGCGTAGCGAAGGCGTACACGATATGCGTGCAGAGTTGCCCGTCGATATCCTCGGGGGTGAAGCTGCCGAAACTTGCCCGTTTCGAAGCCCAATTCGTGTAGTAACAAACCACTTTCTTTTCATTTACATTCTTGGCAATTCTAACTTTCGGCGATAGGCTGCTCTACGAAATCGACAAAATAAATGTCGCGGTTTTTTTTTTATCAACGTGCTTTATATTTATATTAAAATGATCTGCCGATCAAAGACTTATATTCATCGCGATACGTACTTGACGCTCAGCAGTTTTGCACTTGGTATTCTCTGGCCAGTCGCAACGGTCTCCGTTCCAGAAGAGCCCAGGTGGACAGGAATGTTCCGAGATTTTACCAAAGTTGCACAGATAATACTTGGTGCAGTCGTCTTTGTGCGGTATAAATAAATGCCCTCCACAATCAGCCGGAGGTGGTGGGCTGGCTTCGATCTCGACGGTATCGTCAATATCTGATTCAGTTGTCGTTGGGATTGTTGGTGATGGAATATGTATTGGTCTTGGCGATGTAGTGGATTCGTGTATTGGATGTTCGGTGGCAGTTGATTCGATGTCGCTTTGGCCGACATCGATTACTATCGCTTCTATTCATTATAAGAATCAATCATAAGAAATGATTATGTTATTTTAATAAGAAGTGTTATTTAAATGTTATCCATACGTTATTTAAAAAAATCATATTAGAAATATTATAATCAATACAAATATTGATATTTATATTAATATTTATTTATATAAATATTGATTATAATATTTCTAATGTGTATGATTTTTTAAATAGCGTTTGGATAATATTTAAATAACACTTCTTATATTTTTAAATATAATAGAATTCAAACTATATTTTTCTATATATATGTATGTTATAAGCTGAGTTTTAAATATCTTTCTGTTTTGAAAATAGTTAAATAATCTACCTTCCGTAACAGGACACAGCGGGCCCTTCGGATAGTTTCGCAAAACTCGATTCATCGTCCTCAGTAGCGGACTGGGTTCGCATCCGCATCTATTCTTAAAATCGTCCAGGTCCAAGGCCCAAACCATACCACCACCGAGGCCAAGTTTTTTTATCAATTCTGCCTTAAGTTTAATTTGTTGAGTGTCGTCGAAGCTCACCCATTGGTCACCCTTGTAGGCATAAGGACCAATTCTTCTCTCTTTATCTTGGACAACTGTCCATCCTTTTTTCAACGTTCTTTCACATATCTGTCATAAAGCAAAAGAGTAGATATTTATATATTTGCTCCCGGAATAAATATCTCTTGGGACATTAAAAAAAAATTAATATTTTTTTTTATGTGTACCTATTAAAAATTTATTTGATGTTTTTTTTTCATTTTTACTCTTATTTTTTATTTTTTGAAAGACTTAACTACCTCGTAATATGATAAGAAACCTCTTGCTCTGGTCGCTTCTCCAGCCTCGCCACCGCCATAGGTCGGAGCGTTTAATCCGTGTACGTTTCTCTCAGCAAGTGAGAATGATTGCCCGTACAAAGGGGCACCCATGACTAATTTTTTCGGATTTGCACCTTTTTCTATCCAATAATGGATCGAAAAGTTCTAGTAATAAAAAATCAAGTGTTTTTAAAACTTATTTTTAGTAATTCTTATGATAAATAATTCACAAAGTACAAAGTAAAGCTTACGGCATTAAACGTCGGTTCCCAGTCGTTCGGAAGACTGTACAACGGTGCTACGTGGCCGGTTTTCTTGTCCCATTGACCGTGGAAGTCGTACGTCATTACGGATATCCAGTCCAGGTATTTGGACAAAACGGGAACGTCATATCCCGCATCGATCACTCTCTTGCTCGGCGAGACGGCCGCAGACAAAAGTAATCCGCGCGGCTTGAATTCGTCACTGAGTTCCTTCACCAGTTCGGCGAAGCTTCGCTTGTCAGACTCCGGGCCTTTTTTGCAATCCACTTGCCAGCACACCGGGTACTCCCAATCGAGATCGAGGCCCTCGAAGCCGTACTTCTCGATGAAGATAATAACTTGCGTAATGAATCGTCGCCTGGCCGACGGCGAGTTTACGAGTTTGCTGTACTTGTCGCCGGCCGAATCGTTCCAGCCGCCCAGCGCCATCAGCACCTTCAGACCCTTCGCCTTGAACGCCGCTACCCTCTCGTAAAACTTGTTGTCCAAATCGGCCCAGGGATCGTGAGACTTCATCGTTAAACTGCTACCGTCGAGTACGGAGAATCCGTAAAGCACGTGGGTGCAGAGATCGGGATCTATATCCTCCGGTACGAATCTGCCACCTTCCTGTCGATACCAGGCCCAGTTAGTGAAATAGCAGATGACTTTAAATGACTCGTCGTTCTTGGGACTGTCCTGCGTATCCACTGTCGTGGTCGGTCGTATCGCTTGCGTAGGCGTGACGGTCAACGTCGTCGTCGGCGGTGGTGCTGGCGGTGATGGCGGTTTCAGAGGCTTGTCGCGCTCATTCGGCGGTTCCGCAAGCACTCGCTGAATTGTGTGCATCAATGGATGAGGTCCGCTGTCACATCGTCCGCGGAAATCGTCTAAATCCAGTGCCCATACCATGCCACCGCCCAGGCCCATGTCGCGTACGAACTGCGCCTTCCGCCTAATCATTTCCGAGTCGTCGAAACTGACCCATTGGCTGCCCTTGTAGGCGTAGGGTCCCATTCTACCCTCCGGATCCTGTACTATCGTCCAACCGCGATTACGTACTCGATCACAGATCTCGTAGTAAGCCAGAAAACCAGCAGCTCGCGTGAACTCCCCGGCATTTCCGGCGCTGGCCGGAGAGTTCAGACCAGTCCCAGCTCTCGGATCGTTGATTGTGAAGGATTGTCCGTACAACGGCATGCCCATGACGATGCTCCTGGGTGGGGCACCCTTCGAAATCCAATAATTAATCGAGTAGTTAGCGTTGAAGTAATAGAACTCGTCGTCCGGGTGATAATACAAGGGTGCAACGTGACCAGTTCGTTTGTCCCATTGTCCGTGATAATCGTATGCCATAACAGCGATCCAATCCAGATACTTGGCCAATGCCGGCACATCGTAGCCCTTGTCGATCACTTTTTTGCTCGGCGAGACCGCTGCTGAGAGGAGCAATCCTTTCGGCTTGAATTCAGCGCTTAATTCGCGTAATAGAGCTGCAAAACTTTCTTTGTCCGAATCTGGGCCCTTGTTACAATCCACCTGTTATGAAAAAAAATTAATAATAAATAAAAGTAATTATAAACAATTTGCAATTTATTGCAAAAGATATAAAAAATTAAATTTGAAGTAAAGATACGTAGTAGTCTTAAAATTTTATTCGAAATACTTCCATAGAGATACATGGAGAGAATTTTATTTTAAAATTTACCCTGAAAATCATGTTAATCGTAGGACAACATAGCATTTCGACAAATTTTATGTGACATTCATTATTATTTTTTTAATATGTACTACAAGAAATTTATTGTAATGTACAGTAAAAAAAAAACAGAGAAAATCACATAAAATTTGCCGAAATACTATGTTATCCCACGATTAACATGATTTTCAGGGTAAATTTTGAAAAGAAATTCTCTCTGTGTGATAATGAAATAATAAAAATTCAAACGCTATTGCTTGTTAATATTATGAAATAAAAAAAATGAACTCACCTGCCAGCAAACGGGATACTCCCAATCCATATCTAATCCGTCAAAGCCGTATTTCTCGATAAACTGAATGGCATGGTCGATGAACTTCTTTCTAGCGGATGGACTGTTCACCAATCGGCTGTACTTATCGCCGGCCGAGTCGTTCCAGCCACCCAGTGCGAGGAGCACCTTAAGACCTCGCTTTTTATACGCTACCACCCTCTCGTAGAAACGATTGTCGTAATCCGCCCAGGAGTCGTGCGCCTTGATCACCATCTCGGAGTAGTCCAGCACCGCGAAACCGTACACGATATGCGTGCACAGAGTGTGATCGATGTGCTCCGGCAAGTAACGGCCATTTCCACGACGGTACCAAGCCCAGTTGGTGAAGTAGCACACAACCTTGTAGTAGCCGGATAGCGGGGACACCTTGTCAGGATCTATAATCGCCGGGGGTAAAGTTGACGTAGGCTGACTCGTGGTAGTCGATGTAGTCGGCACCGACGTCTTTTCCGTAGTAAACGCCGGGTTGGTGACTACAGGTTTTTGCGTGATTGATGGCTGCGAGGATGTCGTTGCCGGCTGCGTGGTGATTTCCTTGTCGCCATCGTCGTCCGTGCACTTCGCCCGGGACGGCCAGTCGCAGATACGGGTCTCCGTGTTGAAGTGCAAACCCGGCGCGCAGCTGAACACCTCCTGGCGACCCCAAAGGCACGCCTGGTAGCTCGTACAGTCACCCGGCACGCCGCTGTAGCTGCCGGAGATGCAGGCCTGAAGTAATTGCGATAACGATACTTGATATCAATATCAATTATCGAGCTGTCATGCGATAAACGAATAAATCAAAATGATGAATGAGCCGGATACACTGCGGAGAAGAGGTGACGTCTTATCATGTACACTGAAAACGCTTTATGTTAATAACTGTATGTATTAACGAAATGATTATCGAAATGATTATGGCGTTCAGCATTATTGCATATTTACATTACTTACGGTTGGGACGGTGTCTTTATCCACGAGCAGGGCGTTCTTGTGTGGCTTGTCGGCGCACGGACTTTTGAAGGCCCAATCGCACATGTTCTTCTCGGTGTTCCAATTTAAACCGGGACCGCACTGCTGCGAGACGAGGTTGCCGTTCACGCAAACCAAAAAGCTCGTGCATGAATTTGGATAGGGGTAATATTGCCCATGTTCGCATGGCCTTTGTGGTTTTTGCGTTGGTTCCATGATAACAACAGGTTTCGATGTAGTGAGCTTCGTGGTCGCCATCGTCGTCGTCGTCGTCGTCGTCGTTGTTGTCGTTGGCCTTGTAGTAACCTTGGCGGTTGTAGCGGATGGCTCTTTTGTTGAACTCCATGAAGGACTGGTTGTCGTCGAGGTCGAGCCTGCAGAAAAAAAATAAAAATTCATGAAACGCACGGTTGTATTCTATGTAAAAATCAAGCGTTAAAATCTATTAAAATCGGCATCTCGCGGTGAGAGATTTTATACACACCCTGCGCGACGTAGTTTAAAAGAAAGAAAAGAATTAGTATTATATAGAGATACTGAAACAGGAAAGCCATGGTCTTCGCAACGTGAGCGAACAAGTCGGCGTTGCTTGTACCCTTGCCAGCGATCCTTTTCGCTTTGCGGCGAAGACAGCCGAGGGAGAGGATGCAAGAATGCTCCTTGGCCGTAGGCGACAGTTAAACAGGAAAAGATATGTGATATCCAACGGTATTTGCATACGTGCGACTCGCAAACAGGTTTGCGCGTCTATACGTTTGTCCACGTGCTCGCTTATCGATATTATTTTTATGGATTATTAAAGAGTCAATGCCACCGCGATAATTTTCTCCTTAATGTCAACGGGTTCGTGCCACCAACTTCACAAAGATAAGATTCATATTTCGTGACAATCAATCGTCGCGCGCGGTCTCGTATCAAACGGCCAATCTGCGTGCCAATTATTACTCGTCGTTGCCTCGTCTGATCGTCTCGAGCCGTGTAATCATGGATCGTTTATCTGGCAAATAGAAGAAGAAGGAAAAGACAGAGAGACAGAAAGAGGGGCTGATCAAGTATTTGCGTGTCCGGTTGATGAGTAGAGGTAGTCTTACCAGTTTGACATTTCGCCGCCGATGGCCAATCGCACAATTGTCGATTCGCGTCCCAATGTAATCCGGGCGCGCACTGTTCGCGTTTCAACTCGCCGCGGTCGCATCTGTAATAATTTCCGCAGTTCGCGGGATCGCTGTAATATTCGCCGTTAGTGCAATTCGTTTCCGGCTTGATGGCAATTGATTCCTGCGTCGTGGCAAGTGTCGGCCGCGTAGTCGGTGCGCTGTTAAAAATAATTTTTTCAGAAAAAATAAGAATCTGAAGGAAAAATCAACGAGAATTTAAATGTAGTTGTAACTACATTTATGTAATTGTAAGCTAATTATAAGCTTTATATTATAAATACCTTGATGCAGTAACATATAAATATATATTAAACATTTTAGATTAATTCAGATTCTTGACTTAAAAAAAAAAACTGAAACAGAAAGAGAAACCATCGTGATTTATGTGCAAAATTTTCTTTTACCTCGATGTAGTCGATGTAGTGCTAGGGGTTGTACTCGGTTTTTGAGTCTCGTTAGGCTTTGTTACGTCCGGGATTTTGCTGGGCTTGTGGCTTGTCCAGGTCCACATGGGCCACGTGGTTCTAGTCGTTTGCTGAGTCGTGGTACTTGGTCTCTCCGTCCACGTGGGCCACGTGGTAGCTTTAGTGGATGTTGTCATTGGCGTGGTCGGTTGCGGATTGCCGTCCGCGGCGTCGCTGTGAGTAGTTAGGGTCGGTGCTTGGGGTGTCACCGGCTGCGGTGGACGTTGGCAGTCCTCCGAGATGGGCGTCGACAAGCGACCTGTCAATCGAAATAATTATATTAAATGTACACTAAGAAAATACAATATATATAATAATATGTAGTAAGTGTTACAATATTAACAAAAATAATAATAACACGCACCTAGCGCACGATTTATAGTTTTCAATAGTGGATACGACTCAGAACAGCAGAGATTCTGAAAATCGTCTAAATCAACAGTCCACATTGACGCTCCACCATAGCCGTTTGCCAAGATGTATTTGCCCTTAGCGTAGACACTCTCTCGATCTTCGTAACCTACCCATTGGTTATCGAAGTGAGCGCTTGGTCCTGAAATTTTTTTTATAAATTTAATGCAGATTATACAAATATGTATATTCTTTAAACACTATATATTTAAAATATGTATGCCGTATGTAGTTACTTACCGACTCCTATTTTCCAATTGTGCCGCTTGATCCTCTCGCAAATCTCATAATACGCCAACATTCCAGGTTGCTTGGTGAACTCTCCCGGCTTGCCGGGACCGGTCGTGGGGTCACCCAGATCGGCTTGGCTCGCCGTCGACAGCCGATAAGATTGCCCATATAACGGGATACCGACTTGAAGCTTGGATTTCTCAGCACCGAGCTCGACGAGGTAATTCATGGTGAAGTTCTGTAATATTTTTGAACGTGTTATATCTCCCGCGGCACGCACCTTCGCGCGATTCGAACTTACGACATTGTAATAGGGTTTGCTGTCGCCTAGTGACCCGAACAAGGGCGCTATGTGCGCCAACTTGGATTCCCACGCTCCGTGATAATCGTATGTCATGACCGGCATGAAGTCGACGGCCTGCGAGATTTCGCGCACCTCGTACGCCTTGTCGATGACCTCTTTGTACCCCGACAGGGCAACAGCCAACAGAAGAGGCGGGTTCTGCTTGTTAAATTCCTCTCTCAGCTCTTGCACCAATTTAGTAAAGTTCGGTTTGTCGGAATCCGGGCCCTTCTTGCAGTCGCTCTGCCAGCACTTGGGATAGCTCCACTCGAGCGACAGACCGTCGAAACTGTGCTTCTTCAGGAAGTTCACCGTGGCGATAACGAATTTACGACGAGCGACGCCGCTTCCAATCAATTGAGAGTATTTATCACCGGAACTGTCGGTCCACCCGCCTAAGGCCAGCAGTATTCTCGATCCTCTGATCGAAGTCGCTCGCTGGTACAGATCTGGAACGAGTTATTCGGGAAATAATTCGGTTATATTTTTTAAATGAAAGATTCAGAGCAACAGTAGTCCCACAACTTGCAAGACTTTTTTAAATACGTTGTATTAAAAAATGGACCCTTGAAAATTGCGGATTTAATTCAGTTTTATTCTAAGTCTTTCAAATATCTCGACAATCGAGATCAGATTTTAATTATCATGCTCACTGTTTTCGATATCGGCCCAAGGATCGAACGGCTGAACCAACAGCGTCTCGGGATTCAACCCGGCAAAAGCGTAGACGATATCGGTGCAGAGACTCGAATCCAGGTGTTCCGGCACGAATTTGCCGTCCCCTTTGCGATATAGTGCCCAGGACGTCATGTAACACACTACTCGCGGACCGATTTGCTGCAGCACCTTCTTCGACGATGTCGTATCTTGATCGATGACAATTTTATCGAAAACGTTATGCTTGCAGATCTCAGGAGACCCTGCCAGGATGCTTGCCACACAACGTCCCTCCGTCGGGTCAAAGAACCGGCTGTGCCCGCAATGACCATGATGCAGCACTCCTGAAAAAAAAGAAAATAGAATTCTACGATCACTGAATGTAATAATTTCGACTTTTGCAATTTCTCATTTATTTGGCTGTAAGCTAGTTACCTTTGACACAGGAATAAAATGCGGAACAATTGTCGGGATCTCTGGAGAGACCGTCTTTCGGACACTTCTTTGCCGAAGCGTTCTCGTAATATCCTAAGGATCGTACCGCGGCGTTCAGCAACGGCCAAGGATTTCCGCAGATACCCTACGGGATTTAAATTCATATGCATGATTATAAAATATATATATGATTATATATTATAATAATTATAATAATATATATAATTTTCCAATTTTGATATAAGCTTCTTTTATCGCGGTACTAAATTTTATGAAAGTTTCAATAAGACTTACTGAAAAAAAATTATTTTATTGTTAATTACCTGAAAGTCATCTAGATCCAGCGACCACAACGAAACCCCGCCGAGTCCCAGCGCCCGAACAAACGCCGCTTTAATTTTAACCGATATAGGATCGTCGTAGCCGATCCACTGATCGCCCCGCTTCACGTACGGTCCTTCCTCGTCCCTGCCAGAGATCCACAAACCTCTTTCCAGCTTCTCACACACCTACAGAGAACAGTCATCTCTTTATTGGCTCGTATAAACATTTTAGATTCTATTGACATGATATTTCACCTCGTAATAAGCTAATTTTCCGTCTCGCCATTTAGTATAAGCACCCTCTTTGCCGGGTTTCTGAGCGGGCGCGCCGACGTCGGTGAGATTACCGAACTTGAGAGTGTATCCCTGACCAAAGATCGGGATAGCGAGGACGATCTTCGACCGTTGCTCGGCGCTGACCTGCTCGACCCATTTGCTCACGTTTTGCACGATGAAACTCAAGGGACCTGGATGGAGAACGGGGTTCTCCGTTTTTTCGCAAGAGGAACAAGCCGGTCGATCGTCCCGCCAGCTTTTAAGGATTATCAGATCGACAATCGATAAGAGTTCCGGATCCACGGGATCTTCCGGTTTCAGCGTCACCGCGAGGGTATATCCCTTTTTGGCTAACGGGACTCCGATCAATTTCAGCAGAACTTTAAATTGGGGCCAGTCCTGAGCGGCGGTCGGCCAATCGAGCTCGATACCGTCAAAGCGATACTCCTCGAGGAATTTGAGAATAGATTCCCGCAATGGGAAGCTGCTGGAGAGATTGGCATTTCGTTGGATAACTAGGCTGCGATGTGAACTCGGCTGGATGGATATCAGCACGCGCAGCGCTGGATCCTTCAAGCGAAGTCCTGTAGCAGCATTGTAACCACCTAATCAGAATAATAGAAGTTAATAATATTGATTGTAAGTAATTTTAATATTTCCAAAATGTTTTCTGTGTCAAATATTTTTAAATATTTTTATTCTAAAATTTTGATGAAAATATACCTTTAACTCGGTCGTACTCTGGATCGCCAGGAACGACGGAATCTTTTCTGTCTATAACAAAATTAACAAATTAAGATAATAAAAATACTCGTAAAGTAACATATTACTTCTATTATACATTTACAATTATCATTTACCGATGGTAGCTGTGGAATAAACCAAATGAGTGCACTTGTAATCTGGCACATTTTGCGGGTACAAGGAGAACGGTTCCGTTCTATGAACGGCTTCAGAGTTGAAGCGGCAGACAATTTTAGGTTCGAGAATCTGCTGTGTCCTTCGCAAAGTCGGCGGTGCCACGGGTTCGATCCAGATCGACTCGTGATCCGGATCGACGCCGAGAAAAGGCGCTTCCCGATGCTCCACTGCGTCTCTCAAGGGCACTCTTCGGCTCTCGCTATATAATTAGTAATAACTAATTAAAAATATCAGTAATGTATTTGTATCATTATATTAAATCTAATATTAATATTGTTAAGTCTACATTATGTTAAATCAAGAGACGCACACAGATAAAAGAATAATCAAACAATATTTATATTACATAAAAATAAAATCATAAATAAAATTATGTTTTATGTTTCAATCTTCAATAGTTTCAAGTTTCTTAATCCTTAGAGACGCACTGTGTCATTTAATAAAAGTCTACAAATAGACCAAGGAAATGATTTGATCAAATAAAATAGTAATTCGTAGAATTTATTTAAAATTAATTGAAAGAAAGAAATAATATCAATTGATGGTACTTATTGGAAAAAAATATAAAAAAAGAAAAGAATATCATAATTTTACAGATTCCCTTACGCAAGGATTAAGATCGATATGTAAATCGCGATTGCAATTTCTCATAACACGAACGTTCGAGCGTTGGCTAAGAACTTTACATGTTCTTCGGATAGTCACCTCTCGAAGTCGCCTCGGAATGTCGGATTCGATTTAACGTCCAGCACGTTGTCCGGCAACGACTCGACCGCGTCGCGCAGGGGATACCTGTGCGAGCCGAACTCATCGTAATCTAAATCATTTGACAGGCGGCCGGAGGTCGGCAGGGTCGGCGAGCTTTCGACGGCGTCTCTCCGGAACGAGGGAGGAAGGTACCCGTGCTGTTGGTGCTGGTGATGGTCCCACGGCGGCGGGGGAGGCAGGATCTCACGGACCGGTACTCGATTCGAAGGAACGGCCGACGATAAACTCACCAGCCAAGCCAAGATAATCCAAGCCGCCATGGCTCGCTGAAATGACAAATCGCATTGACAGTTTTTGCACGAAGCGTGTCCCTCCGGAGAACCTGCTTGTGGCGAGATCCTTTCTACGATCTGTTCGAAATGCGCTATTTTTACGCGGTTCTATAAAGGAGGAGCAGCAGCAGCAGCCGGTTTGAGTACCGAGTATCCTAGGAAGCTGAACCGCGGTACGCGTCGGAATGCATTTCATGCATGCTGGAGTACGTACCGTCGCGTCGGTTTGTTTACTCGCGCCTTCAAGATAACCCGATTCGTCTGGTTTCAAGACAAGAGCACGGAGGAATCGTGACACGAAAAAGACGGCCTTGAAGACGCGGCGGACTCTTGTCCGCCCGTATCGCCTTATTGCTTTTCCTACCCGCGCGTGCGTGTCTTATTTATTGCGATTTCCAGTTAGGCGTTCCCCGTCAATAGCCAGTAATTACTTATGCGGCACGCAGCGAATTCAATAACGAGACGACCGATCCCATTTAGAATATTTATGAGGCACAGCGCGTAGAATGTAAATTTCTACCTGTATTTTCTTCAGGGTAAATATGTTATTAATTATGCTATTAACTGTGTTTATATTATAGAACAAGGCATTTTTTTATCACATTTCTATTCAGAGAATTAACTTCTTCGATAATTTTCATTTTTTGCATTTTTTCAATATTTGTCTGTAACAGACACTTCACTACGGTTCTAAGAAGCGACACTCGAGAATTTAACATTCTGAACGAGAACAAAAGTGCACTCGATGGCACTCGTATCGTCTATTAAAAATGCAGACCTCGTCGGAGAGGTAGATGAGCCTGTACGATATGAATGACGGTCGTTCGATATCGTTTTATTACACTTTTGCAAATAATTGCTGACACAAAATCCTTCCTGCACGACCTAACATGCTCTAATTTTTTTGAACATTATTAAAAAAGATTGATTAGAGAAATTATTCGAATATTAACAAGTCTTCTTTAGTGTAGGTATTAGCTCTTGCTAAAAATGCAAAACAAAAAGTTAATATAAATTTTTCATGCTTTTATTATTAATAAATATAATAGCATTGCTATTGCAGAAATTAAAATTAACAATAATTTATAAATTTTGTTGAAAAAAATTATTAAATTTACTAAGCTGCAACCAGGCATGGTTTTTCTTATGTGCATTCAGATAATGAGGATACTATTACCTCGTTGAAGCACATAATGATGCGTATGATTAGTGGCTTTGCTGTGTCATTTATCGAACGCAGTCCTTACAACCATCTCTTTATTTCTTTCTGGAGGTCGAAACAATTTATCACGTGTTTACTTTAATCTGGCGTTAAAGAAATTTCAACTTAAAGTAAAGACAAAGATTCAATGCAATTTAGATCTCGTTATAACTGACGAATTTGCATTAAAGGTGTCAATGTTAACTGGCCAACGAAGATATTATCAGATACCGATATCGTTAAATGTGATTATTTCACAATACGATCTTTTACACTACTCGGATTGCAGTTTCCCCGATCTCGAGGAAAATTAAGAAACCGGGGAAATTTTTTTCGCGCGTTCGCAAATCGACGTATGTTATAAACGGACCTTCCTGATTCCTCTTCCGCGGCACCGCGATGTGTATAAAACTGTCACTGACAGAAGTCGATGAAGCACTTGTCTGAGCGGCGCGCGATCTGACACCGCACGGGAGCGGGGGGGGGTGCCGCCGGGGTCTCCTCGAGAGGTGCGCGCGATGAATTTTAAAACGACACCACCGAGAGCGGCGGGGAGGGCCAACAATCTGGTATTCCGGACGCGCGAGGACGTCCATATATACCTACTCCTCCGTCCAAGGGGGGCCCCGCCAACCTGCCCGCCTGAGCCTGTCCCGCTCTGCGACGACCTTGACCACGGAGAGGAGCATGACTTCTCGCGTTCGCGGCGTTCACGCCCTGGGTCCAGATGCTCGAACTCGAAATCTCACCCGTCGATTTGGATCGTTCCTTCTCCCCCGAAGTGGCACGCGTGATGACCGAGCGATGTACGAGTCGCCACGCGCGCGACAGCTTCCCCGAGGAAGTCTGCAGGGTCCTGCCCTGCTGATAATGTTCCTAACTCGACTAGAATCACCGTTTCTAAACTGTCCTACTAGCACTCTATCTCGGCGAACGCGAAGAAAACTCCCTTTCGTTTTACGGCTACTGCAGTCGCGAATTACGTACCTCTGAACAAACTTCGGTTAAGCACTTCAGAGAACGCACTTCTTCTCTATATACGAGTTCGTTCCAATTAATAGTTGCGGACATTAATCGCGTACGGGAGATTATTGTCTTCCTTCCTTTCAGAGAGAAGTCTCTTTGAGAGAGGTTCCGTTGCTCCTCTCGAGAAAATTACAGATATTCGCGCCAAGTAAAAATCGATTCCAGACTGGTTCAAGGAATCTGTTTAGAAAAACAACCGGTTCTTTTTAGGATCCTATATATGCGATTCCTTAACTTCACGGCGATCTTCTTCAGAGAGAGATCTTTAAACTTCGCTCGCGGACGTTAACGGGTCGTTATGATGTTATATTGCCGGTATATGCGAATACAGCGCAAAAATAAAACACGCGGCCTGTATATAGGTATACGTTAAGAAAGAATTCTCGCCATTAGATAACGGTATCGCGAATTTTTAGTGTTCCGAATTGCTACATATTAATGATTCAAATTTACACATAGACGAGACGCCATCATCATTGTATGATTTCTCACAACGTCTTAACGATTAATTTTTAAGACGTATAATAAACGTCAGAATACAGGGGGTTTCGCAATTATACATTTATTAATACTGCAACAAAAATTGCGGATAAAAAAAATAAAAATACATTCATTAAGGACTTGCTGTAATTATCGGATGCCTCGGATGAACGTCGGATGACGGAAACTGAAGAAAGAAGAGAGAAGCTGCAACGGAGAAGAAACGTTTGGCGGAGAATCAATGTGCAGGATCAATGTCCTTGACGGTCGACATCGGTACCGAACCCCCCGCCGAAACGGATCATTGACAGTCTCGTATCACAAGAAATATGCGTTAGTGTCCCGCAAGCTATGTAGTTAGCGAATATCGTTCTCTCGAAGCGCGGGATTACCAGGCGATATCCATTAGTCGGCAATTATTCTCCGATCTGTAAGCAGTAATTTGCTCCCGCGAACGACGGGGCGGTTCAAGGAGTTCAAGGGATACAGGCTGAGCGATATGAATTATCACCGGGGGGAAAACGTCGTCGCGCCGCTCAAAATGCTTCGTGCTTCACTAGCTGGGTAGAAGACCGGGTTGTAGAGTCCGGACGTTTGCAATAATGGGTCTTGGACGCCTTCCAAAAACACGGCACCCTACTCGCCCGAAGGAGTGGCAACGATTTGCCTTGAACTTGTGGGTTTGGTCGAGTTATCGGTTTGTTTTTTTCTTTCCCCTCATTTTTATAAGTGCGCCGCGCGAGTGAAAGGGGTAGAACTTGTTTTTAAAACAGCCGCGGGACAGTCGTGTCATCTTCCTGAAGTCTTCTTCGTTCTTATCGTGCCTCTCGTCGTGTCCTTCGTCTGTACCGGCGTGTTTTCGGGTGTGCAGCTCCGGACGCGGCACGCAATTTTACTGCAATTCGCGAAAAATGTAAAGTAAATTTATTAACTTCTATAATTAAGCGGATTCAATGCACGCGGCATAATTAGTTGCGTGCTGAATCCCCTTCTTGAACCTTAAAAGCCAGGCGATTGTCAGAGAGCGAGAAGGTATAACGAGGATCCAGTACACAATTAATGCATTAAATTATCCATTAAATCACAATACATTGGATTCAATAATTTTGTCGTAACGTTTTGCTTGAATCTGCCAGTATACTGCTAATGCTAATTTGTTTATAGGGGAGAATTCAATAGATTCAGCGGCAAGCTCTGTAAGTATTTCTTTATCTTGATAGTTTCTTAGCATTAGAAAGCTCTAAATATGTGCGCGGAGGCGAACACCCGGTAACCGACGATGAACGAGAAACGTTTGCCAGGAGAACAAAGGTCCCAGGGGGCCCCGGGGAGTTAAACGGGTATTCAAATTCGAGCGTAGCGGTCCCCAGCTAGCTAATTGCATTGCTGGGCGCCTTTGTATAGGTAAGGTACTTGAACGTATAGATATATTATAGACGCCTTGAACGCACTCACGTACGTCCGATTCTCTCTCGTCTCGATTCGACGTGCGGACCCGCCTCGAGCGCGATTAGCAGGCCGGATTATAAAGGTGAGACGCGGTACGCGCGGCGCTTAAATGTTGCGCGAGTTCAATGCCACCTTTATAGCGAAACAGAGAGGCGGGAGCGAAAAAGGCGGCAGGGAGAGCGAGAAGAATTAATACCATAGAAATATAAATTTTATGTGTCATAAGGCCCACGCGAGGAAAAAAAATGGAATATATGAATCGGAATTCATAATCGTTGGCCGTTAATGCGAGCGAGATGAAGTATATATTATCGATGCAGAGCCGACTTAATAGGGATTCAATAAACTTTCCTTCTCTCCTCATATTCTCTCTCTCTCTTTCTCTCTGTTCCTAATTCGAATATCCATAATTATACTATCGTAAAGTAATCGCTGTATCATCGCGAGTAGTGTATTGCGCGTGATTAAGGGCTATGCGCCGATAAATCAACGGCGAATTGCCTGTCGATCGGCAATCTAACTAAGCGATCAATCGCCCGCAGGATCCCTTCCTCTAAAAAAAAAAAGACGATAAAAAGCATTTTATGAATTCATAGCTGTTTATTTCCTGGGAATAGATACTCGCATAATTATCGATTAACGTCAAGGCGAAATAGCTTCTTTCGCACGTACGTTTCACACACACACATACACACACACACGCGCGCGCGCGCAAACATCATCCACACTCTTTATAAATGGGGAGGCTCGTGACCGCAGGTGTTTCGTCTTTTTGTTTCGAGGAAAAACAATAGGACGAAATCGTGATTACGCGGTGCTAAGAGCGCTGTTGTTTATCGCCGCCGAATTCGAGGGAGCGACGCGTTATATCATAATATAATCGGGGTCCATCAGCCATTAGTGCATCCCCGCGATAGAAGCACGAGAGTGGCTATATATCTCGACGCGTGACTTTTTTTCGCGATAGATCGTTACACAGGAACGCTATTAACACGCGGAGGACAGATTGACTCTCTCGTCGGCGATAAAGGCGGACTCTCTCTTTCGCTATAGTTGAGAGAACACCACGACCGGGATTCGTACGTGTTATATTCTGCACACATATCTGCAGCGAGACGTCTCTCCGCACGATACGCATTAAAGTCACGAAACGGCTTCTGGGAGGCATATGTGAGTCAAACGGGTTTCCGAACAGCCGGCCGTGGCGGGTGCGAAACGTCGCGTAAATCACCGTGAAAGAACGAACAAGCTCGGCTTCGCAGCTGTTACGAAACAGATAACGATTTGGCGATAATTAGACAATATCCGCGGTACTAATGTCACAAGTAAATCGAATTAGCAGCGCGACGTACGTTTCCTTGGTGGGTATTGCAAAACCTTAGAGTCGACTTTCAATGATTCCGCAACAATAATAATAATAATAATAATTTTATCGAGTGTGATAAATATATAAAATACAGAACAATTAAACGAAAAAATTTTTCTGAGAATACAAACGGATAAGCTACACAAAGTTGCGAAAGACGAAAAGAGATACAATTCCGAAATCGATCAAGAGAGACGGTCGAAAGAGCTTTTTCTCCTTTTCTTAGGCGACTCTCATTCCGATTTCATTCAACTTTTGTTGATCGTCTCGCGACGTTTTTCGTTTTAATTTGGCAGATCGCGAACGACGACGAGTTAATTTTCGCAATGGTTTCGTCGCACAGGCATCCATCAGGCTCTCCATCACGGAGGAAATGTCACACGGAGGCGTCGAAAATGGCTAATCCGTTCGCCGTTGATCGACACGCCTTCGCCGCGGATCTTCGAAGGGTCTTAACGTAGAAATCAAGGCCATGCCACCGGTCCCAGGCTGCTTTTATAGCCGCTGGTTAGTGACCTCCGCGCCCATCCCAGGGAACAGTCGGAGATTTCGACGCCGCTGGTCCGTTCTTCTTCCTCCTCGCTTCCACTCGCTTTGCTCTCCTTTCTATTCCGTCTCTCCTTAGTTTCTTGAAAAACGAAAAAAAAACGACAGGGTGTACCGATGCATTTTACACAGATATGTATGTGTATCAAAGTTACAGCAATCGTAAACAGATTATAGTCAAATCCAAAGAGAAAGTTATTAATGGACTAAGGAAAATTACTGTCCTAAAATAGATATATAAATTATGAAATATGAAATATAAAAGAAAAGGATAAGCAAAAGATAGATATATCGAACGTCATTTCATTATTCGATTTATTCCCTTACTACGGAAATAATAAAAATTAATAATAATAGAAATATGATAATATTACTGTTAATTTTTCTGTATTACAGTTGAATTAAAGCTGAATAATAAAATGACGTGATGATCTCTTTCATATATATACTTTTGCTTGTATTTTTCTTTTCAACTCTATATATACAGAATAATAAAAAACTCTGTAAAAAGCATCGTCAATAAAAATATCGTTAATTATTTTAATTGTTACTATCTATTTTCTGTGCGATAGATTGGAAAAAAGCGGTTATCTACGAATGCTAGGGCATTAATGACGCCTCAGGTATTTACGATCGCGTTGCTCCGAGGAACTCGGTGTCGCTTCTCGCGCCGTATCCCTATTGTGTACCATTGTGTTCCGCGACGAGCGTTTGTCCCGAGATAATTATGCGATTTATCTCTCCTTGTGTCTCTCCCTCATTCTTTCCCGGTCTTCCCCGAAGGATAACAATGTCGCGATTCACCCATCCGGCCGTCGCGTTGTCCACTCTCGTATCGCATCGCTCGGCGAATGAATAATGCGGACGGCCGGGTGATTTATATCTTCGCGAGTAGGTAAGTACATATACATATATCGAGAGCCGCCACCGTTGTCGTCGCCAGCCTTCGCGAGGTCGCGCCGTGAGGTCCGTCGGGTTTCCTCGGTGCGGAAAGCGCGTCCCCCTGAGATTAAATACAGTACTGACCCTGACGAGACTCGCATTCGCGACGAGCGCAACGAGACAGCTGCGCTCGTAATGCTCGTGGCTCTTCCTCGATAATGATAGCTCTCGTCGCGGACGACGACGGTTCGGCGCTTCGGGCACGCGCGCAGGCAGATCGCGGGCCTTGATAAGAGCGGCGCGTTTCTGCCGCTGCAGTAACAAAAAAAAAAAGTCGAATCGACTGTCGGCGAGACGTCCTTTCGGCGGGAGTCTAGCTGGCGCGACAAAAATATCCGCAATTAATATTAAAATGAGAATGAGAAATTCGTAATTTCGCGAATCGCGCGAATCGTTAATGTATATACATACATATAATATACATATATCTTTAAAAGGAACCGTGCAAATTCCGCGACATTGGAAAGGTCGATAGTTTTTTTTTCAGGAATGAGAAGAGACATCCCCGAAATCACTCAGGAATTCGGCGAAACGAACGCACGTCTCAATCTTATTAATCACACGTATCGGCGCCGGACGTCATCGAGATTCGATCTTTCAGTTATAAATATTTTCGACTCCGATTTCAATCTCCCTCAGGATTGTATTTCCAATTCCAATTTCAAGTGCTTCTCTCGGGCCAACTGGTAATCAATTTTATATCGAAACAAGAAATGCGGGTCAAGACGCATTTTATAATGTACATCGATCAGACGCGAGTATAGTTAAACGCAGGAGATTTGCACGCCTCGGCGAGATTTCTTTTACATAACTTAATAAAGGAGACGAAACACAATTTCTGCGATGATCTCGCCGGAAAGGGACACCTGTCGTTCGCAGAGCTGTCATCGGCCTACGCCCTACGATCTGTCTCTGTCAGGAACAGATCTCGGTGAGATCGGGCGATTGGTATAAAAGAAACGACGTCTTCGGATTCATCTCGTAATCGCGCTGTATATCGTCCGTTGTCACTTCGACGCAGATCGGCATTTGCGACTACTCTGAGTAATTATTACGTTTACTTAACGTTCAATTAAATTTTCGTACACAATTCTTTACTAAATTAATATTACCTTAATTTCATACAAGGTCGATATGTGTATATACAACAAATAATGAAGAGGAAAAAAGTGAAAGACGGTCAAAGCTAGATGTTAGTTGCTCAATAATATTTTTAATTTTTAGCTATCGTAAACCGCGTCGATTACTGTCGATCTTTAAAATCGTAGTCATAACTTAAAGCTGAAATAATTCCGGATTTAAATCCTGGTAATATTTTTCGCAACAAGTTCTTTAAGTGTTTTAATGCTTGTTAGCATCATCATCAAATCAAAGATCAATTTAATAGATATGTAATATTATTTTAGTTATGACTACGTTTTTAAAGACCAATGGTGCAATCGGTGCGCGGTTTAGGATAGCTAAAATTTAAGAATATTATTGAGCAATATCTAGCCTCAGCTATTTTCTTTTCCTCTTCATTATTTGTTGTTAATATCACCTTTTATTAAATTATATAAAATTAATAGTTATTAATATTTACTAAACAAAATTAAAACTACATTATAGCTCGTGTTTGAAAAACAAATAAGAAATTTTAACTCGGCGAAGGAACCTCCCTTGGCCGAGTTAAAATTTTTTAATATTTATTAAATATTACATTTTTAAAATTTTACCAAATTAAATTTTTATGTAACACAATTACGTTAAATTAATAATCGTCAAATTTTATTCTACGTTATCTTCTTCTAAGGAGGCATCAATCAATGGCTAATTACGCGAAATTCGTCGTCGTTATCGCTATTATCGTTGGCGTCGTTTGCCGAGAGGAGTCTAGCGAACTCGAGGATGTCGACAGGAACATTCTCGGATTGAATCTTCCCTACGGCAGAGGACTGGTAAGTTTGCCGGTCCGAGTCCATCCAAATGGCAATTAAGAGAGGCGCTTAAAATTTAGGCTGATATATACAACGGTGTCACATTTATCACATTTCGAAATTATATTGAACGCTTCGCGGCAAGATGAGATACGAGGATTAATTTACACGTCGACTCGGACTCGCGTTGTTACTTAAGCGGTTAGATAAATCGATACGATTTGAAAAGGAAATCGCACGTAATATATAATACTATTAAATAGGCCAGTTCATTAGGCGAATTTATGTACATAAGAAATGTGTTTATTCCTTTCAGGATAGCGAATTGCAGCTGGCAAGATTGATGCTGATGGCTCCGCGATTGTGTCATCCCAAACGCAATTCCGAGCTCATAAATTCGCTGTTGGGTCTACCGAAAAATATGCATAACGCTGGAAAATGAAAGTAATTTCGCTCGGTTCTACAAGATAATCAAAGATATATCACACATACGAAGAAACAGAAATATAAACACCTCGTAGTTTATCCACCAAAGAATATGTATTAGAACGGAACATGTAGAAAATCAAACACGATTTCCAGAAACACGGACCGTGTACAAAATAAGTCGATACTAATAAATGTAGAAAGTCACACATATATAGTCTTTCGATTTTATTACATGTTTCTGTTACATAATTCCTTGTACTATTTTTCTCTCACTTTCTCCCTATAACTTGTAATCGCAAAGTGACGAATTAAATTACGAACATTAATCGTAAATGCTTTCATTTTGATTTTTATTTTACAATGAATATTTCTATTCCGTAATATTCGTAGGGCAACGTGTAATAACTCCGGATGAGAGTAACTCACAGTTGGCAAGCCTCGGGTTTGATACCTCAGCTATCGTTTTATAAAAAATTGTTTACAAAAGGATAGTTTTGAGGTTGAAGGATTGCCAGTTTGAATTGTGTTTCATTCTGAGAATAATAAATTGATACATAAATACATGTATATTATTTCATACTATAAAATCATATGCGACAAGATGCGAAGAACTATCGCGGACATCTTCATTTTATAAAAATAATGAAACATATTATTGTTTAATTAAAAATATATACGAATGTTCTCTTTTCTTCTACAACGGAAGAAAAATATATACATATATTTTGCGTATTATATAAGATGGGGCATCTAAAACAACACCGAAATATATCAAAAACTAAAGCCGGTAAGCAAAAATTATTCAGACAAAAGTTGTATAATTTGAAGGACAAACAATAAAATAAAATCAATTTCTCAATCGACTTTTCAAAAACATGATCATTTCCATTTTTTTTAATGGAATGATTTTTTTTTAACATAATATAATTCCTCTAATTATTCTATATGTAAAAGTATCAAGATGAAGTTATCCAAAAATCAATTTTTTTTTACGAGATATTTTATACTTAATCACATGTCATATTTCAACATAAAATATGAAATTTCGTAAACCAATTTCTTGATAATTGTAAATTAATATTTTTATGCATATGTTTGAAATCATGCAATTTTTACCTGAAACATTTTTGCCTTTTGAATTTAATTAAGGATATATTCCGATGTTTTGCTTTAGATTTTCCACTTTGTGTGCGCGCGCGTATATTTTGTATAAATGTATTTAGAAAAATTTTGTTACAATTTAGATTACAAAGTTGTCTCTCTCAATTAGAATTTCAGGTGGAAGCCACCGCCAACCGGCGGTGCTCTGCCACCCTCCGTCAAACCCATGTGAAAACCGGAGTTGCTCAAATCGGCGTCGTCACCGTCGCCCAATTGTTTATACTCTCTGCCGCCGCTCGGTGGCTTCGGAGACGCGTTCGAAGTTCTAGTTCCTTGCTCCGACTTGGCGGGCCACGTGGGGAACATTTGCGGATCGATTGGCAAAGGCGCTTCGGTAAAATAGCCGTGATTCAGGGCATCTTCGGCGGTTACACGTTGACGAGGATCGTACGTTAAAAATCTGAAAACAAGAACAATTACCCTTGTAATAAAACTTATTGAGACATTGAACGTTCGCGCGTATTTGCTCTCGATGCGAAATAACTTACTTGTTCAACATCTCGATGCCTAGATCGGACAACGACAGGCTAAATCTTTGCCTGAGATTATTTACAGGATAATGCGCAAACGGGATCTTTTGTACTATGGGTAACTTGGCGTATCCCGGCCAAATCCTCTCGCTTGGTGTACCCAGTTCCTTAAATATTTTATTTAATTGATCTATATCCGATTTTCCCGGGAACAATGGTTCCATTCTCAGAAGCTCGGCGAAAATGCACCTGAGAAAATAACATGTCGTAAATAATATAGTCTATATATATATATATATATGTTCTAAAATTGTATTTATATTAATATATTATAATTCGTATATTAATATTTTTAATTTTGGAAAATCATATACTAAATAGTATTAAATCACACTTACCCTACAGACCACATATCTATAGGCGTACTATATAATCCCACATATTCCTTGTCGCACAGCAATAATTCGGGAGCTCTGTACCAAAGCGTCACGACGATCGGCGTGTACTGCCTTAAGGGAGAACCATACTCCCGAGCTAAGCCAAAGTCACCGACTTTCAAAATGCCCCTGTGACTTAATAGCAAATTCGAGGTCTTCAGGTCGCGATGTAATATCCAGTTGTCATGTAGATGCGTGACCGCGCGCAACAATTGTTGCATGAGGCATTTAACTTCTCCTATAACAGAAGGAAATATCGATTTTTCCTCACGTTCGCATATTTTGTTATAAATTGAAGAGTTGCGTGCACACAACAGCAACGTAAGACTTAATATGTAAAATATGTAAAATACACGAAACATACAATTATTCTATGTTTATAAATTCCGATACCTTCGGTTACTTCGGTAACTCTATGATTAAATGTTATTTTTAACTTTTATCTCCATTAAAATTGTTTTTCATTCTTCGACTGATCGTGGGGCTATTACGCTCAACTCTTCAATCAGTTTCCTACATTATGTAACAGAATATACTCACCGGGTATAAAAACTTGTTTCTTCTGCTTCATGGTTTCTATCAGGGATTTCAGATCGTGCTCCACGTAATCCATGACAATAAATATCTTATCCATGTTACTGCCGACGACTATCTCACGCACGGTAACAATATTGGGATGTTGCGCTTTCAATAAAGTATTGATCTCCCTCAAACTCGTAATTGGAAAGCCTTCTTTCTCCTTTTCCATTTTCAAACGTTTCAACGCGACTATCTCGTCCGTGCGCTTGTCGCGTGCTCTGTACACGACTCCGTATGTACCTTCTTCGATTCGATTTAGACATTGAAACTCCTCGACGCTTCTACAACCTAAGGAGTAGAAAAATTTACAATATGTAAACTAAAGAAATAATCAAATAGAGCATCTAAAAATTAAATTTAAAATAAAATTAGTAAGGGAAAAATAAATTAAAAATAAATTAAAGGAACAAAAGCATGTGTGAATTAATCAGATTAAAAATTATTTTAAAAAATTTTAATTCTTAACTTAATCTTGATTGATAAAATTGCATAATCTGAATCTTTCATTATCTAGCAGAAATTAGTAAAAATCTAAATCTTTTATTATCTAGTAGAAATTGTGTTGCCCCACATAAAATTAATTTTATTTTGATTACACAAAATTACTGATTACTAAAATTTGTTGTCTGTTAAATGCCTCAGTTAAAGATGCTTTTTTCTTAAATTCTATATCTTTAATTTGTATATTTATTCATATAGCATTTCTTGCTGTACCTTGAATAGCTGGCAGATATGGCGGTAACTCCGGCTCCTCCTCTTTCTTTTCCTCCTCCTCTATGATTTTCGTAGCATTATTGGAATCGACATGTCCAGGAGAATCTCCGTCCGAATGATCGGATTTGGCTAATCGATCGACGGACAACGGGCTTGGATTGTTGTATTCTGAGCCATCGTTGGAATCGCCAGCCGAACCTTTGTTCGACTCGTTAGATTCGTCGTCGTCGTCGCTGCTCGATTCCGACGAGTCGGACGAATGTCGCTCCGAAGATCTCTCATGCGGGCTTCTCTCGCCTTCGGACGAGTGTCTGGACTCGGCTGATTTCGAACGCGCGCCCTCGGAGTGGGCAGGACTCACGCTCTCGTCCGACAGCTCTACGATCGAAGGATCCGGATTGTTGTCCGGGCTCAACGGCCGTTTCTCACCTCGCTTCATTCTTCTCGCTTCCAACTCCATCCTGGACACCTCTTTTCGCCTGGCCATTTCTCTGTCCGCTTCCAGCAGCCGCTCTTTCCTGAGCTCCTGCTCCGTCATTTCTTTCGGATCTTTAATCTGTATCGACATCTCATTCTGCACGTCCATCTCATTGATCTCGTCGGTTACGATCTCCATCGCTTCCCGCAGCTGTTTGTCCCTGTGCTCCTTCTCGCGCTCCATCTTCTCCTGGTCTCTCTCGCGAGTTCGGTCGTGCTTGTGTGATCTCTTGCGACGTTTCTCGGATCTCTCCATCATTTCGCTCTCCGAGAACTGATCGTCCATTATCACTCGTATGTGCCTCTGCTCCTCCATACGAATCTCACGACGTTCCCTGCCGTCGTCCACGGTGCGTATTTCACGACGGTCCCGAAGATCCTCTATCCGTATTTCTCGCCGATCGCGCGTTTCGCGCATCTCTCGCAGGTCCTCCAATCGCACCTCGTGTCGCGACTCGATTTTATAATTGCGAGTATCGCGCGGATCCTCTCGTCTCTCTCTTCTTTTGTCCAATAATCTAGAATATAAATAATTTCAATAAACATTTAGCGATTCGAGAACATAAAATGTAATAAAACACAACAGAAGAGCAAATGCAAGTCAGTCAAGTGAAAAAAAAGCAAAAAATGCCCAAATAAAAAAATGGTAAATCAGCAAAATTAGAATAAAGTCAATAAATTGAAAATATCAATAATAATATAATAAATACTTTCATATAAATAAAAAAAATAATCTGCAACTAGATCATTAAAAGAAAATTCATATAATGGTTATTAATATTTCCATTTTTCTTAACTAAAAAAAAAAAAAAAAGAAATTCCAAGATACAATTACCTTTCCCTCAAATCTTCTAGGACACGATTCCATTTTTCTTAAATAAAAAAAAAAAAAAAAGAAATTCCAAGATACAATTACCTTTCCCTCAAATCTTCTAGGACACGATCCCCCGTACTTCTTTCCTTGCGATCGTGCCTGGAGGATTCTCTGTCTCTAGAATGGCCTTCCATCCTGTCTAGGCGCTCCATTCTCTCGCGATTCCTCTTGGAGCTTTCCAAACGATCGGATCTCTCCAGAGGCTCGCCCACATGCCTGCGATGCCTGTGCTTGTCCCTGTGCCTGTCCTCGCGTTCGTGCTGGCGCGACTTGCGTTCCTTCTCATCTCTACGATTCCTCCTGTCGCTGTGCTTCTCTCTACGACGGGACGAACTGGATTTATGATGGCGAACAACTGCCTGCGGCGGTTTAATATCCAAGGAGTCGGCCGTGTCGCCACCCTCTTCCTCTGAAAAGCTGTGGATAACGCAACTAAATTAAATCAATGATATTTTTTGAGGTATAAACCTGTAAATATTTCTGCTGAATAACATCGCTTTGAATTATTTTCGTTTTAACAATAATCTTTACGAATCTTTATGAATACAATTATTAGCGTTTCACTTAACGCTCACAACGCTCTTGGAATCATTTTACCCTTATTATTTATCGAATTTTAAACAAAAACAAATAATGCTGACGAGCGTTGCGAGTGTTATAAGTGGAACGCAGTCTCGGGAGAAAAATTAACGCGTGCGATACCAATCGATGTCATTTATAAATTCTTCTAATAATGGAAATGATAAGATACGATATAGATAATGATGCCATTGACGGGATCGAAATAAAGACGACGTCGCGAGAAATCAATGACAACGAAAACAATTCGGTCACTCGTAGTGACAAATCGTCGTGCGTCGTCTCTCGCCGAGTTTTAAATACCTAAAAATTCTGGGCAGCATCGCTCGTCATTCTGCTCCGTGCGACGTGACGCGACACGTGCTCGTTTATCAAAAAAAAAAGAGAAAGGCGGGGGCAAATTGATGCCCCTGCCGGAGTGCGTCAACGAGATTAACGAGAGACTCTCGACGCGAAGTCCGCCATTCGTGAAGCGTACCGAACACGGTCGCGACTTTGCGGATACCAACAAAGCCCCGAATGCAACAACAAACAAAAAAGACAAAAATTCGTCGCGCAAGCGCGCACATGCGCCTAACCGTGTTATTTTCAGTTAACCTAGAAAACTTTCAGAGTTTCACGTGGCTCGTGGCGACGAGCGATCGAGGCGAGGATGCCAACACAGATGCGCGTATGTAACTGATGCCGAGGATCAAAGCTGTACGTCGCGTCGTTGCCGTGATTTGCTCAAAATCGGCCGATTAACCTTTTTTTTTTTTTCAGGTCTAATCTCAATCGCCGCAACGCGTGCCAAGCAATGTAATCACCTGTAATCACCCATATCCTTCGATGGACTCTTCTTGATTTCTCCGTCCTCGCTCTGATTGTCAATGTCCATATCAGACGTATCCGCGGACATATTCGCACGAGCGAGCGACCGGTTCTTAACCTGTACTCAGCGGGATCTCGCTCGCGGCACCCGAACGCGCTTCCATCTTTCGACGAATTCCGCGCTCGTGGAAGACAGTGGAACGATCAGCGTGACGCTTAATTATCACTCCTTTGGATTCTCGATCGTAAATGCGGTAAAAAGGCGTTTATATACGAAGCGCGTCACTTCACTCTCACTCGCGACTCGTTCACGCTACACCTGGCTACTACGCCGGTCTCGCCATTGAAATGTCTGCTTTCCAGTAGGTTGCGCAACGCGTCGGGAAACCGGAAACGCCTTTCTCCGATACGTTTCGGAAATTTTTATAACTTACGAAATAAGTTGCGACAGAATTAAGTTCTAAAGATATTTTTTAATTTGTCAAATTTGAAAAACGTACAACGAATTTCGTCTCTAGAGATGGAAAATTCGAGAAGCGAACTCGTCTGGGTTGAACAATTTGTACGTGATTGGCCAGCTGGGACGTTCATGAACCGAACTGCGTTCCGAAACGCATGGTAAAGTAGGTGCTCGCGAATATTTCTGCATTCCGAAATACATGTATCACAGTACACGAGGCATTCGAATTTCAAAATAATTGTTGTCTCTTTGCCGCCTCCGTGTCACGTGGCCGTGTCTCGTATGCAGAGCGCCGTGAGCAGCAGATTCTTTTGCGAGCCACGGACTGAGGTGGATGCTGTGGCCGAGTATTCCATCAGCACGTTTTGGTATTGCATCATTCGATTAACAGTTTTCTGCTTCCGATTAGTATTCATTTATCAAGTATTGGTATTCATTTATCAAGATTTAGTACTCAATCATCTAAGATAGAAAGACTAGCCAAGTGTACCCCTGTACAGGGGACCGGGGCCACCCAAAGGAAAAAGAAGAAGAAGCCGTGAGCAGCAGCCTGCGTACGCAATTTACAGTGGTAATTAGCAGTGCAACACGAGACGAGGCTCACGAGAGTTGATTTTTGTACACATTTCCATCAACTCCATACTACCGATAGATAAGAAAGAAGGACCAAGTTAAAACGTTGACTCGTACGCTCTTAACAATAGGCCAGACTTTTTATTTACATTCTTTCACCCCTTTATAACTCGCTTATCGTTACAGCCCATTGTTACGATTTATATCACATCGCAAGATGAATTTCGACCACGATGAGGTTCTCTCCTGTCCGTACAACAAGACTCATCGTATACCTAGCTCGAGATTTCAGCGGCACCTTGTAAACTGCGAAAAGGTAATTTCGCAAGTCACACAATCGCGCTTCGAGAAACGTAAATATAACGTGAAACTTTCTTACAGAATTATCCGCCCGATTACAAGGTTATCTGCCCGTACAACGCGACTCATCGTTTGAGCAAGAGCGAGATCCAGGAGCACATCAATACGTGTCCCATGAGAAGGACCGTCGAAGGAAGTTATATTCAGCGTGAGTATATGCGCAGTTTTTTTTTCTAAAAACACTGACTGAATCGAGCATTTATTGTGAGGCACATGTATTGTGCTCACGTATGTAAAGATCTTATCAATATAAATCACTATAATATAATTTAACTTTATGCAGCGTCAAGAACTCGTAAGATGAGACCAGGACAGAGCGACTCTTCAAGTGAGATCGATTGCAATGGCTATTAGAGAAGTCGAGAAGGGGCCAAAGAACGACCAAAAAGTTTCTTTAAGTTTCATAGTAATTAATCAAACCCATGGATTGAATGGAAAAAAACATGGAACTATTTGTTAGCACACTGGACAACACAGAGGTCAGGCGAGACAGAACAGTATCTAAAACCACAGTGCCTAGTTTGAGTTTTTCGGTAAATAAATCTATCACATGAGACAATCTGGAAACAGGAATGTACAAATGGAGTGATCACAAAGGGAAAATTACGAAAAAAAATGAAAACCTAATAAACTTTTATTTCTTAGAGCGAGAAAACGATAAAGAATATAAATGATTTTTTTTACAAATATTGTTTTTTATTGATGACAGGCTCCTTTTGTGTTTCGCTCAAATGCTTTTATTTCACATAAATTTTGTTTATTTTTATACTTTACATTGATTCTATTATTTACAAGTATTAATTTCAAGTGAATTTTCCACAAATAAAGACAGTAGTGCATATGTGTGTGTATGTATATGTGTGTATACCCAATATACACACACGCACATGTATATACATACACATACCCAATATATACATATAAAAAAAACAATAAAAATGTCAATAAGATAGGACAATTTATTATTGGATCTATATGTACAAATAGCGTATCGCATTTTATTATTATATTATTAAATATTTCAACTGCGTGTGTTCTGTATGTATATATGTATGTATATGTGTGTACGAGTGCGCGCGCGCCCCCATTTTTAATTATTTCATAAAATATACCAAAAAGACCGCTATCTAATGTAGTTCTGAATACACTGTCTCAAAGTTCCTGAATTTTGTGTCAAATCTTTTGTCTTCCTAGATAGAAAAGGAAGGTACATTACACAAAAGTATGACAAATGATAAATAGCTTTTATCATTGAATACTACAGTCGCCTCTTTTCGGTTCTTTAGAAATCTAGGACTTACGTGATTTTTGACGCTCAAGTTATGTAGTATCAAATTTTTGTATGTCGATGTTTAAATGTGGATATGATATCAATAAACTATTTTTCAACTATTTTTAAATCATGATCTGTTTGTTTAATACCACGATGTACATGTTAAATATGAAATATATAAAATTCGTATTTATATTTAATAACGGAACATGATCCAATGTTATCATAATGTCCAACCAAGAACCAAGTGTGTGGCATTATTCAAGGAAAGATACAATGATCATCAAAATAAATGTGACACTGGATAAATGCAACTATTACTTCCAGAAAGTAAAATTATGAATCAATTATGAGATTTATATGCGTATTAAATCTTCGATCAATTTAGAATTTAATGCAGCACAATTCAAACGCTCTTTAAGTAATTGTAATTTCTTTGGAATGTTTTATATTCATCTATTTCACAAAATACGCAAATAAAAGTAATGATTGATAAATGATAGAGGAACAATTTGACAGAAAAGAGATAAATGTATGTATATACTTACATAACCACACACATATATATACATATATGCATTTTGTTAATGAAAATTAGCAAATGGAAATATCTCTGTGCATATATGTATATAATAAAATTATAAGATTTTTAGGTCACAGAAATAATGAAAATGTGTGTGTGCTCGAGTCTTATTATATATGTCCAAAGTAAAATAACATTCATATTAAAAGCAAAACGTGTAATTCAAAATGTTTCAAATATAGACTTGATGTAGCATCTGTCTGTAAAAAAAATATGTACATCTGTAAAAACGGTACATTTTATCTTCTTTACAAAATGAAGCAAAAAATAATATTTGAATTATCATACATAATATAGATCAAAATGTATTTCTGTATCTTTAGCATAAGAATGCAAAGTAATCATCCACGTGTTTGACCATTATAAAGATAAATGATTGCCATATTTTGTAACTCATGTTAAAGATTGACAAATAATATATCACAATTTTATATACGATAAACTTTAAAAAGCAACACTTGCTAAAATCATTGAATTACAAATCTTATGCACAGATTTCATGCCGTCATTTTTTTTATTTTTAAATGTCGAGTTTATGGAAGTATATGGTAGTCATTTATATTACTAGTTTTATACTATTTAACATTATATTTTCGCGGGATATGCTTGAAACTCACCCGCTGCCACATACATCGAAAGACGTAAAAAGTAATGTAGCTTATTTATGAATAGTGATTTTGGATACTGGCATGTAGCCAGCAATTATTTACAACTTTCTAAAGTATATTATTTGGAGCAATATATTGGCAGTTCGCTAGCTGCAGTCTGTATTAATGTTTTATTGTATAAAAACTGTAAATTTATTGAGCGCAATTGTTGCACAACAGCGAGATCATTGCACTATAATCATCAACTGCACTGGATCGATGCATTTGCCTGATAGAATGTATCGTGCAATATTGACAATTATGTTGAATTGTATGCTAATCTCTCTCTCTCTCTCTTTCTCTCTCTTTCTCTCTATGTTGAATGCTAAATTCGCTCTTTATTCCTATTTTTACTTGCAGAATTCTCGTCTCACATTAGCACCGTTTATATATTCGTCGATTTTTTCTTTTGTTGCTTCCACACAGATATCCTTTCTTTCAAGTCGAGCACTGCAATGTAAATAATAATCATCAGTTTAATCCATTTCTACAAAATTCTTATAAATTTTTGTAAAATTGTATGTGACGGACATGTAAATAAAACTTTCGACAGTTCTTACATTTTAAAGTTGACGTAAGAATTAAAAAAAAAATGTAATCATTTCAATATAAAAATTATTTTAAATAAAAAGAAACTATACGTTATGTAATCACGCGTCAAAATATTTCCAAAGTATATTCCATATAAAAGTGCATTGCTACGAAAACGCTGTTATTTCTTATTAGACGATTTTTATTTTATATATAAGGAAAAAATTATTTTTATCGAACAAAAGAAAAATGTGAATAATGTTACTTACTTGGTGTGAGCATGTCTTCGCTAAGTGGCTGCCGACTGAAAGGATCCGTGGCACTATTGAGTAAATGTCTAATGATAACTGCCTTGTCCATAACGATACCGGATGGTAGCTTAACTGGGTCCTCCATAAGAGTATCCATCAACGGATCTCGGAATTCCTCGGGTGCGTCACCGTAGTCTGCGTCGCGCGCGCGATTATCTCTCGCGATTATCGCCGCCCGCTCCGCGAGCGCTATGAATCTCTCGATTTCCGTGGTAGTTTTGATCGCAGATCTTTCTAGCCTGCTCGCAGCGTCCGTGAATAACTCCTTACAGAACGAACGCTGGAAAGAAAATACACAATTTTTTTATTATTAATGTATATATGTAATAAAATGTATGAATGATGAGCGTGGTGGATGGACACTAACTTCGTCGCTGGCTAAAGCGGCCGCGAAATTATCACAGTCAAGATGCAAATATATATCAACCAATTGGCTGAGTAACGTTCTTGGTTGCCACCCGTACTTCTGCGGCTTTCTCACTCTCAGATTTTTGCACTTAGGTCCGCACAATTGTTGCAAATTGAAATTCAGCATGGCACACAATCGCCCGACTAATTCCGGTCGTAGGAACGGCTCCTTAATGTCGACCGTCAGATAGTGAAACATGGCAACCGTCTCCTTGGCTAGTGTAAGATAGGACCTGGCCTGCCTCTCGTCCGCCGCCAACTGCCTCGTCCTCGACTGCTGCTGTTCCTGGGTGAGCGCGCTCCACGCGCTGGTGTCCGACATGAGTTCCTGCACCTCGTGTATGCGCTTCAGCGATTCCAAGCTCTCGTCGAGCAGGAAGGTGGTGTCGTTCATCAGCATGTTGACGAACTTGACGAATTGCTTGCCGTTATTGCTCTCATTGACGATGGACGCGCGATGCACTGGACTGTCCCACATCGACTTTAAGATCAAGCTTATGTGATAGCGTATTGAAAACTTGTCGTAAAACTCGGAACTGGAGCCGGTGGTTTCGACGTCGGTGTAAAACTTCATGAGATACGACGCCAGAAGTGTCTTAGATATAGGATGCGCCATCACTTTGTCATGGAGAGTCTCCGTTCTTCCCTGTGGAAGATACACAATTGTCGACATGGTAAAATAGAGTACAATTTACAGGGGTTTATCCCACAAATTTACCTGAACACTAGGATTTATCACAAAGAGGACCTCGATGATTTTTGCGATTAGGTACGGATTTCGTATACAATGCGGCGTACACACGACGACCAGTAACCACGTGATAAGCGAGTTATCCATATTACTTGCCACTACCCCAGGACAGAATCTACATGTAAATGTAATCGAATTATAATTAACAAGTATATATACGTATATCATGTAATTATAAGATTTAATAATTAACGAGCACTTACTGGAGCGTGAACAACAAGAATTCCGCTATATCCTCCACGTACCATTCGGGTAGTGCGGTAAACTTGCACGTAACCTCCTGAGGAAGCGGTAGTTTGGGGAGAGGATTACCCGGTGCGGTCTGTGTCAGCAGGCTCAGCAAAATCTCGGCCACGGATATATAAAAGTGTAAGCATCTTCGTAAAAAGACAGGATCTATCAGACCCGCGTCCGCGCACGATTTGGATTTAATCAATCGCTTTAATTGTTGCTTCCATTGCTTAATTAAGTCTCTGTTATGCTCCGCGAAGGGGCTGTCCTTCCACTGGGGCTCCGTGGCTTGCAGTTCGTCGAGCATCTTCTGCAAGTCGCGCAACGCCCGCAATTTTCTCTGATACTTCTGCAACGCCGGCAACAGCGCGATGTGATGGCAGTGCAACGTCAAGAACCAGCACTGAGTCGGAAACTTCGAGTCCGTCCACTTGTGCGTCTTCTCGAGATGCTTCTGCCATTCCGCGACCTCGTGCGAGGAGAGTTTCAGTCTTGTGTCGTTCTTTATCTCGACGAAGCTGGAGGGATGAAACGGATACAGCGGGTCCACGGTGTCCAGTTTGATTTTCACAGAGAGCATTTGCAGGACCGACAGTAGATTCAGCATAAATCCGTCCCCGGCGAGAGAGAACTCCTCGGTCTGTATCTGCGCGCGTTTCTCATTGTGACGCAACAGCGCGGCTAAGTACGTTAGAGTGGCGTCGCGGCAGTTGCTGTTCGCAAGTATCGCGTGAAACATCTTGTGCAGCGAGGTTCTGGTGCTTTCCAGCTCTTGCTGCAACGACAAATTCACGGATTTGTCCGTGACGGGATTCCCGCTGAAAAACTTCTCGGCCACTTTCGGTTGTTCCTCAGCGAATACCGACACCGACAGAAACGGTCCCAGAAACGAGGTCCTCGTAAGCTCCCTGCCGGCGGCCGACGTCATGATATCGGGCAAGAATTGCACTTGATTCGTAATCAGACGGCATATCGGACGTATGTTGCCACTTGGACCGCAGCGAATTTCTATCAGCTCCTCCAGCGCCTCGATCGGTCTTCTGTGCGTGTTGCCGACCAGGCTCGCCTGTTGCATCGAGAGATACAGGCCTTGCAAGACCGGGGTGAATATCTTGTTGAACGTGCTCGAATTCGTGTGTGTCCTAGCCACGAGCTCGTGAAGGTAGCCCCGTGGCAAGCTCTGCGACAATATCGGATAGAGAAGATACGTGGTGCACATAGGGACAATTGTGGCTTCGCAAATGCCAACCAATCCCTGTAGAACGAGGCTGGAGTACTGAACACATTGCGTTTTCAAAACCGTCAGTACGTCGGAAAGCGGTGGTACGCTGGATCGCTAAAACAAAAAAAAAACATGTGCATAAAGCGTCAGTCAAGGAGATCAATTGATTTGGTTTAAAAAAGAAATCTCTCATCTAGTTTTTAAAATACATAAATATACTATATACATACCTTCGGATGATTTCTCTCCTCTATTGCGACTCTCGAGTAACAGTCTAGCAAGTAAGTTAAACTTTTCGGTTGCGACGACTTGCTGCCTATGGGCAACGGCATCGTCGGCAATTGGTACGACGGAAGAGCCACGACAGGACTTAGCAGGGGACTCGCTTGGTTATTTGGACTGTCCTGTCGATCGGACGACATTTCTACCGTAATATCCTTCAAGGGATCCTCCCCTTTCGAGAACATGCACAAGACCTCCATCAGGGCCTGATTGATAATTTCACTAAAGTCCACCTGTCTCTGCTTCAGCGTGTACGCTGCTGTTTGCGGTAAGAATACACTTCCTTCGACCGGGCTTTTCCACGATATGCGCAAGACACGTGATATGACAACATGTATGTGATCGGTTGTAACTTCTATGCTAGAACTGGTCGTCTGAAACACAACAGGAATAAACGTAGATAGAAAAAAATATAGCGATTTAGAAAAGTAAAACAGATCTTTCTGCTTTTTACTAATACACGCGCGTTTGTGCTATTTCTTTTCTCTTCACTGTAAATATACTTACGCGTGATCTTGGTATCGAATCTTTCCTATCCGATTCGTCAACCTCCATGCTTTCAATTCCTGAATTATCCATTTCAGTAATATTACATTGTTTGTCGTTGCTCTCTTCTACTTCCATTGGTATCTCGGTGCGCTGGAATTGTTGTTGAATAGACGGAGATATCGTTCCTGTAAATGCTTTCGATGGCTCAGGAGTACTCGGGGAAGTTGGAGCAATAGCATTAGACGAACTGGCAGTTGCGTTATTATTGTTGAAGCCCTCCAAGCGGGCTAACCGCCTTCTCCTCATCTGGAGCAAAAGTGAAAACAAAGGAATGAGACACTGAGCCCCTTTTAGGGCACTGTCACACAAAGGATGCTTAAAACAGATTGAAATGTCTTTGTTACTCATAAGCTATTTTTATCCCGTTTTATGGTAGCATGCGACAACAAAGAGAACAAAATGCAAGTGAAGTATGAAACATTCCAGCAATATGGCAGCAACGTGGCAACACATTGCTCAAATGTTCCATGCTGTCTGAAAAAGATACAGTCCATATTATATTTTAAGCAACGTAATAATGTACAAAAGTCTTATTTCCTTGATTCTACATTATTACTCAGAAATATGAATCTCAGAGAATGAAAGTGGAGAGTCATGCATTTGTTGAGAAATCACAATTTTATTACTTGCATAAATTCCTATTGCCGTAATCTCGCTAGAAACTAGAGACAAAGTAGACAAAAGGAAAAGGGTCAAAGTTCGATGAGAAGTAAATGGAATTTCATTGTCGCGTTTACAGAAACCAGAGGAATTATCAAGGGGCAAACATTTGTTCCTGTAAAGCGCTCGTTCGATGGGAACCAAACGGAATTCTATCGTCGCGTTCAGTCGCGTTTACAGAAAACAGAGGAATTATTAAAGCAGCAAACATTTCCCGCAAAGCGCTCGTTAAACGTTAGGATAAAAACGTTGACAAGACGTCGCGCAAAGTTTTTTCTTCGTTAAAGCGCAAAAGATTGATTTGCATAGCGTCCATTATGTAAGTGGTTTTCTTGCGAACGTGTGGGTCGTTTCGCTTTACGATCGACAAAGAAAACGGTGTGCAACAAGGAAAAAACCGACTTCGAGGAAGAGCCTCCCTCGAGATCCCGCGAGCGCGGACAATGGACCTGTCCTTCGCGACTCGTATCGAAATGGAAAAAAAAAATTAAAAAAAAAATACATATGAAAATACGTAGAAATTTAGGATTTTTCTTTTTTCAGGGAAAGGAGAGAAAGTAGACGAAGAAGATTCTCGTGAAAACGAAAGCGTGCGAGGCCTCGTTCGACAACAAATCGCGAGATTCGTCGCGAGGGAGCGAGGTAAATACCACCGCGCGGATGACGGGGACACGTCGTGGCGGAAGTGTTGAGAATATTGGGCGCAGGACAACACGAGACAGCCGCGGGGGACTTCCGCTCCGGGGAGGATACGCGACGACGGCCACGAGACGGCGGGGAGAGAGGAAGGATGGGAGGGGAGAGGAGGAGCGGGAACACAAGCCGCACGACTTCGTTTCCTTCGACTCACCTCTTCCTGGCTCAGCTCGCTCATGGCGATCGCTCTTTTATCCTGCGAGGCCCCGCTCTGTTTCACGTCCCGCGGAAACTGGCTCGGTTGCTACTACTCTCGGTGCGGCCTCCTGCCCGCTCTCGACTACGCGCGGCTCTCTTCCTCGCCGTCGCGCCTCCGCGCGTTCACGCAAAAGAGGGTACGACGAATGTATGGTGTGTGTGTGTGTGTGTGTATATATATTATATATATATGTCTGTGTGTATTGCTCGACGCGTGCTCGCCTCGCGCGACGACGACACTCGTGGCCGAGATACGTCAATGTCAGAGATCTGGACAGTCACTCCACATCTGTTTGGCGTTTGGACGTGGATGCAGTGGTCTCGCGCCGAGTCACGGCCAAGCCAAGTCGCTCCGCCGTGCGTCGTCGACTCTTCAAAACAGCTGAGCAACCAACGCGTCGACACGCGCTCTCTACTTCCCTCCGTCCTTCTCTCCTTCGCGCTCACCTCCCCCCCCCTCCCTTCGCCCCTTCCACCCATCGACCCTGCCACATCGTCCGTGTCACTCTCACTCTCTCTTTCTCTCTCTCACATCGTCATATTGGTGGGAGTAACCTAAGCCCATTTTAGACGATCTATAATTCAGGACAAGGGTCGAATAATTTGACATGTAACAAGCCAAGTGTTATGTATAAATCCGTTTTCGACGACCTACATCCCGCCAGTCTGCGAGCGGTAATAAATTAATATATAGGTCAGCGACGTGCGACAAATCCATTTCGGGCAATCGATAATTTGTGAGAAATTTCGACGTTGTAAATTCTATGTCTAGTTTAGCGTCAAACAAGTCTGCGGCATTCGATAAACGATTTGTAGCAACTCGACGTACTCGGGTTGCCTCTTTTCGTTGACGATGGCGAATTAAATTTTCCCGCGCGCACATCCATTATCGATATGTGCGATATCGTACGTTTTTTGAACTACATATACAACCGGCAGTATCAATTAAAGTGAGGAGAGGCGAAGAGGCTGCATTTAATCGACGAGCGACATTTAAATGTGACTTATCATTGAACTATATATCGAGATAGTGAAACGCGTTGACGTAATAATTAATACCATTAAGAAATACTGGCACTTTCGCGCAAGTCTGTTAACAATTAAACTTTACGAGTTACACGCACGCGTGAATTTATACGGATGCACATCGCCGGAGCGTATAATACACATGCATGCGTTTTCTACGTTGCTCCGATTATAGCGCGCCTAAATTCACTTCGAATGTTTAGATAGCGCGTATATCAATGACCCCGTGATAGCGCAAACGTTTTATCAAAGGCGGAAGAGAATAAATATCATTTCTGGATAAGCCGCGAAAATATTCCTCGGGCACGCGCCCGAGACGCGCGACGCGCCCGAGACGCGCGACGCGCCGGCGGACACCAAGGAGCGACGTATAATGTACGTACGGGCGGACGTCAAGAATCGTTCTTGGCCTCGCGCGCGTTCTCGCGCCGATCGGCGGCCCGTCTTGATTTGAAAGAGTTCAGAACGGAGTACCGCGGCGCGAGGTTAGGTTAGACCGGACGGTTCAGCGCCGCTGGATCAGCGGCCGTCCGTGCAAGGCACGTTGCCGTCGGGGCGGACGCGGCGGCCGCGTCGAGTTGTGTCGTCATCCGCGTCGTCCGCGCCGTCATTATCACCGCGCGCGCGACGCACAGTCGTCGGACGGTTGTCGAAGACGTCGGAGCGAGAGGACGTCGTCGGTCTCGTCACGTCTCCTGCCGCAACCCTCACGTCGCGCCTCCCGCAGCTCAACCCCTTCATTAACGAAACGGGCACCCCCGACGAAATGGGCATCGGGGAAATAATCGATTTTACGTCGCTTGGTAAACACGCTCGCTTCCGCAGCTCAAAATGCGCTCCTCCGCCTCTCGTCGTCGTCGTCGTCGCGCGATATATTGGTGCCAATCGTTCGCCACGCGATATCGATTCTCGCTTTATGTATTGCTTCCATATGTTCTTATCGCGTACATACGCGCGCGCGCGTACTTTCGGGGCGCGTTCCCCGACGCGTTGAAAGTTTAATGTTCTCAAATTTAAATATTGAAATTGAAATCGCATCTCTCTGATGTACTTATGGAGCACCTTCTTATTTATACAATTTTACTTGTACGTTTTAACTATTTTATATTTTCGAAATATCCTCTAGAATCGGATATCGCATTAATGTCACTGATATTATAACTTATGCAATAGCTGCATCGTATACATGTAAATTACATGTTAATGACGAAGGAAACAGCACATTTCGACATGTTACTTAGAATTATATCGTAATATCGAAAACGAAGCTGTAAAATAAGTTAACGAGACTTACAAGTTTCGGTGCCTTAAATTCATAAGAGACATCGCAAAAAATAACTTAGAAATAACTTGAAAATATTTAAAATATTTAACTTCTCGAAACTATGTACCTTATTTTCTCGTTATTTTATCATAATATTTTCGTTAGAAATCTAAAAATAGATGGCTTTAAATCTCGGGAAATCATTCCGGATAATCCTTGGTGATAAGTCTAATAAAAATCTATGATGATAAATTCGATAATAAAGTTTCTGATAACGAGAGTTCTTGTCTTTTCAAACCGCCACGCAAGCAAACGACGAGAACGATTCACAGCCGTGCGTACGCAAACATTATTTAATTGCACATAATTCTTATCGCATTTTTTATTCGACATGAAATTTTTAGTTCCACTACGAAGAATTTGCTTCGAAATCAAGCACAAAGAATTTGTGAATTTTCTGTTTTTCTGTCTTACGTCAAATAATCGAAATATCATTGCATAAAGACACATCTCTTTCGAGGACTGTCGCAATTATTTTTGCAATTAAATTTCTTACGATTAAATTCAAATTATGAAATTATAAATATTCGTAATACATTTTCAATAAATTAAAAACGTTGACGCGGTAAATTGTTTAAATAGGCCGATAATGCATTATTTTTCCTTTTACATTTGAAATCGGTTTGAGATTGTCTTCACAATGCGCGCAAATTTTCTCGGTAATTTTCTCTCATTGATCGTGTCGAATTTTGCGAGATTTCGGTAGCGACTAATCGAATTGAACGAGGCGCGTAGCGCGGAATAATTAATTACAATGGTAATGAAATGGCTGAAATTGTATCGAGTAAAATTTGAAAAAACTCTTCGAAGAAAAAATAACAAAGCTAATTGAAAAAAAAGTTAAATTAAATATTGTTATATATGATTACATATGATTTAATTTTATTTCATGGTTTATATAATCTATATATATATATTTATATATTTATATGGCAAGTTGATAAACGCGTATCTAAACAAAGTTATACATATACGTTACAAAGTTACGCTTAAATTTTTACACTTAAACTATATTTTTAATTATATACGATATATACACTTTCCTATTTCATACGATTAACGTGTGTGCTTAAGGATTACCTGTAGACTTTTTACACGTCGATAAATTCGATAAATGCCGGCTGACGGATGTGTGCCGTTTTGCAGACGCGGACACGCAGGAGCTGATAAAGGAGGGCGTGGCGGTGCGCGAGAACTCGTACTCGCCGTACAGTAAGTTCAAGGTCGGCGCTGCGGTGCGATGCGCCGACGGCAGCATCTCGCGGGGCTGCAACGTGGAGAACGCCTCCTACCCGGCGGGTGTGTGCGCCGAGACGATGGCGATCGCGCGGGCCGTGTCGGAGGGCAAGCGAAAGTTCACGGCGTTGGCCGTGGTCGCCGATCTGGAGTCCACGTTCACCACGCCGTGCGGGGTCTGCAGGCAGTTCATGTCCGAGTTCGGCGATAACATGCCCATCTACCTGTCGAGATCCGACATGAAGAAGGTTCTACAGACTAAGATGAACGAACTGTTGCCCTCGCCCTTTCGCTCGTAATTCGTCCACGCTGTCGGAGAGGTGACATTCGGAAACGACACGGAGGCTACAACGAGAGGCGTTGAACTTTTCTATGTGTACTTAATTAAGAGTCATTAATCTCATCCAAACTTTAGAATATTCATCAAAACTGAACATTTGTATAAATCTTATTACGTACATGACTCAGCATATTCAACATAAAACTTTATTTCAATGAAATTAAGATCTACGATGCGGAAATATTATTTACAATGATATATATGTGATATATATATGGGTATATCAACTATTGTTTAAAGCGACTACGATAACACTGCAACGAACGTATTTTCTCGCTGTAATCTTGTTTTTTGCAAAAAGAAAAAAAATTTTTTATGTATGCGATATTATCATTGACTATTAATCAATTGTTTTTAATATACATTTTGTTTGCCGTGATTGTTACACCGTTATATATATAAATAATATAACAGAAATATATAGATGAGGTTATCGTAAAAATCTTAAACATAGTTAATAACTTCGTAAAGTTTTAAATATAAAAGCAAACGATTGCACTTACGAGACTTCATCTTTGACGAAAAGATCCATTTACCAAAACGGACACCTGTAATGATATACGGCAATGAGATCGACGTCCACGTTTTTTATATACAATCGCGTTTCTCGTAAAATCAAACTAAACTCTAAGTGAATTGTTTATATATATATATATATCTATACATAATATGAAAAAGAATACATATGTTGTAAATGACAAAAATAAATGATTAACGTTCCCGAAATTTTCTAATTATAAATCATATACGTACCATCCAATGTAACATTGACATAGGTTTTCGTTATTTGTAGCCTGCTGGATCAACAGATCGACTTGCTGTCGCACGCTGAGAATTTCCTCGTGCGAAAAGTCGCGCCCTGTCAATTTGTCTCTGACTCTCGTTATAATCGTCAAAGCTTTCTTATTCAGGGCTTCCGGTTGATTATTATCAGCTACAAACATTGCAATATAATTATTATATGTATTATCTTTTATTATTAAGATAATACATATAATTATTACTTATATGTATTACCTTTGTTAAGTTTTTTCAATTTTTTTATCAAGTTTGATCAGTCTTTAATTTTATATATTTATCACTAATAATTATGCTATATTGCGGCACACAACCAACATTAAGTTTCAATATAGGTTTAAAAGCAATTAATTTATGAGCCACGTGACTATGTGACTAAGCGAAGTTTAAAATGAAGTTACCTCCGTTTTCGATGCTACACGGCACACCCTTCTTTGGTAACGTGGCAGTAAGAGAATCGAGCATATCGCCGTGCTCCTGGCTGCTGCTGGCGCTCATGCCTTGAGCGTCCGATCGCTTGCCCTTGGGCACCGCGTTGTCCATCAATCTCCAATTGAGCAGAGGGTCGTAGACAAACGCCTCTAGAACCGCCATTAGACTGTCCTTGTTCCGATGCAGCACGGACATCACGGACTCGCAAGTCCTTCTGTACGTTCCCTCGATCCCGGTCACCTCCATCGCGTTGATCAACATCCGCGTCAGACGGAACGGTATCTTCTCCGGGAACTTCTCGCGCGTCATCGCCACCTCGAAACAATCCCCGAAGTCGATGTGCAGTATCTTACCGCTCAGTCGGTCCAGCATCAAGTTAGACGGATGACGATCGCCGAGACCGAGTATGTATCCCACCATGGACATCACAGCCAGAGAGCGCGTATAATTCGTCCTACGATCGAACCACACCTCGCTCGACGGCGACTTCAGCCACAAAAGTCGCGCCAGATCGTCGCCGTGCGTATGCTCGAGCGCGTGCTCGAACACTTCGACTTTTTGCATGAGCATGAGATGATCGTAGTCAGGTGCCATCTAGAAAAACATAAAATAATATTATAGGAGGGCAGCGCGTATGGTTCTAAATGTGGAACAGTCGATTTGTCAATCCCCACGTTCGATTCCGATCTTTCCATATACCTTTTATTAGAAATTAATTTAAAGATTGTGAGCAAAGGAATACACAAAATGAACCCGTTTTGGAAATATTTAAATATAGATATACATGGTCTGTCCCAAAAGTAATGAGACTAATTCTGGAAAAACCATTTTATTGAAAATATACTTAATATTTTTAATAAAATGGTTTTTCCAGAATTACTTTTTGGGACAGACCATGTAAAAAATAAGAAAGCAAAAAATACAGCTTCTCAATGAATGCTAGAAAAATTTCTTGATGAAAAAAATTTATAAAGCTTACTTACTTGTAATATTACATCGAGTTCATTATTCACTAATATCTTCTTCTTCTCTCTATCGTCTCCACTAAGCGTATTAAGCCTACTTACGCGTAACATTATCCTGTGTTCGATATTCAATAATATCTTCTTCTTCTCTCTGAAGTCTCTAATAAGCGTATGAAGCGTATCACAATGTGGCACCCAACCGATGAGACCACTATTTGTAGATAATGGAATCACAGCGTATCTCTAAATGTAAAATCACAATATGAGAGAGAGTCACATAATAATTTTTCTAATAATTATAATTATAATATTGTGAGATTTACATAATTTCTCTAATAATTATATTATAAACCAAACTTACTTGAATAGTAAGATTTCTTCGGAAGGTATCTGGATCGTGTAACAAGAGAGTGTTCACTAAACCGAATAATTGCATTACCCTTTCATCTTGTCTTAGGTCTTCATGACCTTTCAGTAGAAACATATAATCCTTACCGTTGCTACCTGCAAAATGCGTATTAAAGTAAATTAATATTAATATGTTATTAATATATTTCGTGTAATCGACATATTTGTATTTAATTAATTTATTTTCAAATAATAAAAAACTGACCTTTAATACACAACTTTCTTGGTCTCTGTTTACTAGTTATCACCTGCATAGAACTGTGGATACTCGCTATTCTCACGATAGGCTGGCCAGGACTATAGCTTCCTGGCACAGCCAATTCCAAATCTCTGCAGATGAGCAATTTCGGGCTGACGTATTGCAATTCCAGACTAGTCAGTTGTGGCAATTGTCGGGATATCCTTCGGAACACGTGATAATACAAATCCCAAGCTTGATTTAAATCTCGCACGTTCCGAGAGGTTTTATATCTGTTACACCATTCCTGGGCATCTATTAAATCCCTGCCGTAAGCTTGATTGAAGGAGGTCTCTTTCAGAGTTTGCGGTCCTCTTTCGAGCATAGCGTGTAAGGGCTCCAGCGTGTCGAACATGCCTCTGACGTTCCTCTCTCCAAAGTATAATCTACTGGCCTCCTCCAAGCCCTCGTGCCATAATTCGTGCCACAAGATCGCGACCCTGATGAGCTCGTCGCTCGCCATCATAGCCTGTTGAACTAGTGTCGGACTGTGCTCACACATGCTCTTCAGGATCTTGTTAGCCGCGGTCTTTCTCGCGTGACTAGCACTCTTTGAAGCCACGGTCAATGGATAAACCAAAGCCTGAGGATGCGTTTTTCCTATATCTATGAGAAGATGATGTATGCATCGACCGACCAGCGCTCTAGGAGTGTCGATTCTGGCGATGAGTTGCGGAATCACTTGCAGCCAAGTATTTATCTCGATTAATCTTATACCTTCGACAACAGCGTCATACACCTCTGGCCACTGGCCATAATCGAACCAGAGTGTAAGCAGACGCAGGGTGTCCTGAAGAGAGTTGCCATCCGATAAGTTGATGGATCTGAAAAATCCCTCCACAGCTGGGACAGTAAATTGTGATATATATTGCGAGCTGGAGATATTATTGCGCGCTCCGTTGCCCGGTGCAGCCTCCGCGGGCGTAGAATCGCTACCCTGCTGATGCTTGTAAAACAAAACGGTCTCGTAATTGGTGTAGGCGAAGGCGTGCCAAGCTTTGTACCACGTGGGATCGTGCTCCGTCGCCGCGGCGTAGTAGGACAGTACCGCGGGAATAGAATGTTCATTTATACCTTGCAGGGATTCCAGCCACTCGCCGAGCTTGAGATAACATCTGGCAAGCAATCTCTTTTTACTTTCGTACTGCTTCTCGTCCTCCTGATTTATTATCGCCGCCGTCGTCGGCTGCAAGTAGGTCTGCACGAATCGCTGCAGCTGATTGTAAGCCTCCTCGCGTTTATTCGCGACCCATAAGTGCTTGCAGTAAGCAAAGGTCACCTGGGGATGAGTAGTCGGCAGCGGCTGATCCGGAGTTAAAGATGGATCCGTGCCCATCAGCATCACCAGCGTCTTGTGACACAGCATCAAGCTATCGCTCTTCCGGCAGAGACTGGCGTATTTGAGCCACGTGTACATGTCGTCCTGCGGCGAGACCACCAGCGTGTGTACCTGTATGATCTTCTGCCAGTCCTCCACGATCTTTTGCCCACCCTGAAGCCTCTCCCACCACATGGCCTTGATGGCCGCTCTACGTTCCGGCACCAGTTTAAACTGAATCACTTCTTCCAACTCTGCCAATTTCTGTACCTCTACCATGGCGTTGTATGCCCGCTGATAGCTCTCGCCAGCCATGGCAGTTAGCTCGGTGTCCATCAGATCCCTGGCGCTGTCGATAAATTGATGCGCGACGTTGTACTGCTCGTCGTGGATCGCCAGTACCGCTCTGTAAAACGCTCCGTCTTGGGTCTCCTTCGGTATCAGCGAAACGTACTTTTGCATACTTTCCCACTGACTCAAACCCCACGCCGCAGCCGCCGCCATTCTCGCCATCCGTTGCTTGATATCGTCACTCTGATTCGACCATTTTGTAGCGATCTCGTGTAATTGACCCCATTCACCGAGAGCCTCGAGACAACGCATCTCCCCCAAGGTAGACTCCACGTCTGTAGAATCGCTCTCCAGACGTTCCTGGTACAGCTGCAACGCCTTGTCCCAGTTGTGAAGCTTCTCGTACCAACGTATCTGGACCTTGAGATCTTGTTGATTGTGATTCATCACGTATTCTAACAGGCCCTCGGCCGCCTCCTTCTGTTGAAGTTTATTATTGATGGAAATCAGGGACTCAAACACGCTGCTGTTTCTGTTCTTGTGAAACTCGTCCTCCTTATAGTGCAACGCCTTGGCATACGCACGGCAATGCATCGCCGTATCCCCGAGTATCTTATTGTCCAACGGCAGGGGACCCTTGTCGCAGTGCTCCATGAACTCGGCCAAGTTCAAGATGGTCTGTGTCACTTCGGTAGGCAGATCGGGCACCATCAATGCTTGATGTAGAGTCTGTATCAGTTCTCCGCGGTAAGATTCATGAAGTTCGGACCAGCACGAGACGAAAGCCGCGTTAAACAGATCGCGCGGTAGCACGGCGTAGGTTTGCGCCAGCGCCCAACAGGATCTCAGAGCAGGAGACGGGGATTCCTTCAGCAGACCGATGGAGAAGCATCGCAACCACTCGAGCCAATCATCCTTGGATACTCGTCGAGTCGCCGTCCACGCCTTCTGCAAGTTCGGCCCTGAAACGTTCAGTTTCTTAATTGTTTCCGAAGGCGTTAAGGAGAGATCGCGATTTTTGTTGCGCGAGTGCCGCATTCTCATCAGCAAGAAATCCTCGCCGTCTGCCGCAGTCGAGTCCGTGAGTATCTTGTCCACCAGAACGTCGTATCGCGAATTAACTATCTTGTGCTTTGTCATAACTTTCTGAACTAATACGATGAAAATCTGATACTTCTTGCCTAACTGCATCACGACTGCGCAGAGCGTGTCCATGGCCGTGCTCCTTAATTCCGGGCACTGGTCCAACGTACGTACCAAGGTGTGAACGATTCTCGACGCGAAATCCGTGAAGTCTAACGTGTCCGCGAGAAGATCGACCGTCTCGAGAGCGACCTTATTTACGCCTATCGGGCAATCGTTTGCGTAGAACAGTTTAACGATCGGCGGAAGTACGAGATGCAGATAATTGTCAAGATTGTTCCCGAATGTCTGCAGAGCCAGGAGCAGCTTCACCGTCACCGCGCGATCCTTGCTGCTGTCGTGCGTCAGTACTCTGAGTATCGGCGGCATCAGCTGTGGCAGATAAATCTTGAATTCCGCGCCCAGGGCCATTGCGATCTGCTCGACCAAAAGAATCAACGTGCTCTGCAGAGGGCTATTCACAGTCCAGAATTCTTTGATCAGAGTGAATATGTCGTCCAGGTAGTTGCGTATATGCTGCTTCACGATGGCGATGAGAACGGCCAATTGTTGGAACAGGAACTCTCGGAAATTTATGTCAGCCGTGTGCACGACGTTCAGGAAGCTCGGCATGACCTGCGAGATGTACGGTACACACTTTATCCCGAGGCTCTTGAATATAAAGGTCACCGCTTGCACTACCATGGTGTGATGCTGGGACAAGGTCGGCTCGCGAATAATTCGCATGAGCGTCGTAATGGCGATCGCTGGATAAAATTCTTCCAATGAGGACGGTGACATGTTCACCAGCATCTCACTAGTTGTCAAATCCTGCGTGCTCTCCACATCGTTCTTGGTGTCCGCCATCGAGGTGAGCGTGTCCAATTGAGAGTCGATCTGCCCGAGATTCATCTTGTGTTTATAGGGGTCCAACGCACCCAACTGTCCGAGCACTCGAATGGCCTCTCTCCTGATAATCGGCTGTTGCTCGGTCTTGAGGAAATTGATAAGAACGTCCAGCAAAGATGGATATTGTAGGTATGGTTTTACAACGTGGCCTGTGCTACCGACTAATTGACCGAACACCCACAATGCTACGCCTCTTTTCTCGGGCGAACTGGCGTCCACCAACATTTCCAGTAATATCGACGAGAGATCGGTCATCCACTGCTGCATCTCGGCGCCGTTGACCTCCGCCAAATCACCAATCGCGCGTAAGACGGCTAGCACAACGCCGGGATTCGGATCGGATTCCTTCAACTTCGGGACGAGAACCTTCAAGATCGGCTCCATGTATGGTCGAACAAGCCTCGGCGCAGTCACCACCAGGTGATCCAACATACGAGCAGCCTGCTCCTTGTTACGGCCCATTCCCGAGTGCTCCAATTCCGTCAGAAATTGCACCAGAGTCTTCCTCAACGACGGCATAACGTAAGCCGGATTCAGCGTACTGAGTCGCCCAACAGTACGAACCGCTAGCTCCCTTATTTCAAACATCTCGTCGTTCATGGCGATAAACAGCGCGGACAAATTTTCCGCTTGCGCCAATTGGACGTCGAAGGAATCGTCCAACGACGCCAACACCCACAGACGAACGTCAGGATCTGTGTCGGTTATACCTACTACCAACAATTTACCCAGGACAGTCGAGACGGTAGTGGTTACCGTGGGACCAGACTGATTCAGTGTTAATCTCAGTAACCTAGAGCACGTCTTCACAGCTTCCAATCGGACCTCCGCCTGTTCCGACGTTAAAAAGTGGTCCGCGCATCTCTTCACGAACTGCAACAACGGATTATTGTCGAAATTAAAGGTACCTAGTGTTTTCAGTGCGAGAACCGTCGACGAAACGTCATCCGACGCGGAATTAGGACTGGTCGCCGTCCACGGTGCGCCGGGGTGTCTCAGGGGCTTTTGCATTAAAACTTGCGACAGCATTCGCAAGAGACCTTGAGATATGTCCACCTGCAGAGACGGAATGCTGTGCGCCAGCTCTCTGAGCGCCGTGGTCAAGATCGGGCTTAATCCGGTTTGAAACATGGGCTCCAACAGATCCCGGACGTCGGAAGCGATGACCTGCTTGACCGCGTGGCTGAGCAGGGTGATGCAGACGAACACCGCCGGCTCCAGGGAGGTGCGCTTCTTGCTCGGGGTTTCCTTAGACGGTAGCAAACTTTTGATCACTTCCATGATTTTCGGCAGGTACGGATTTATCGCGTCTTCCACCGCCACGGCTATAAAGCCGATCGACGTGAAAGCGGCGTAGCGATCCTTCTCGCGACTGCGTAGAATTAGCAAAAGATACGCCAGAGACTCTTTCAAATGATCCCTTATAAATTTCTCCTTGTTAAATGCAGCGAGCCTCGGCAACAACATCATGAGGGCGTGCTGAATGTGCGGATTCCTAGATATCTTTTGATTCATAACGTCATTATAAATATCGTCCAGTCTCTCCTGCATCAAGCATCGGCAAACGGTCGACTCGTGTGCCGGATACAACGTGTGCTGGGACGTGGTCGCATTTTGGTTGGCTCCGGCCCATTTCGATCCGATCGTCGTCTTCAAGCGCGGCATCAAACAAATTATATCGTTTTCATTTTGCGTAGAACCGTTCAATCTCTCCATTAGAGCCTCGTAGTTTCTCTCCCACTGGACATTGCTGCATCTCAGAAGTTCGTTCAACACCAACAGCGAGCCATGTATCCTGTCGTCCCGGTTAATACCCTTCTCCTTCGTGTGCACCTCCTCGAATCCATCTATGACCTCGTCGTAGCACTGTTTGTACCATTGCGATTTGTGCATCTGCTTCACAGTTTCTCTTTGAGCGGTGACCACCAGGGCTGCTCTCAGGGCTTCCACCGCGCCCTCCCGTACAGCCGGTTTAGGATCGTGTATAGCGTTGAATATCAATTCGAAAAACGGCGTGACTTGTTGGAAAAAGTACGTTGGCACGGAGACGGCGAGTTCCCGTAGCACGAGCACGGCGGCGTGTTTCCTGCCCTCGTGTCGGTCCGCGCCGAGCCACTCGAAGGCACGTTTCACCTCGAACTCGACGTATTCGGCTGTATAAGTACCGGAGACCAGCGCCAATTTCCCGACAGTCTTCGCGGCTAGCTGCATGACGCCCACGTCATTGGATGGTATCAGGTTTCTAAGGTAGTTAGCGAATCGCACTGTCCGCGTATTAAAATTACCCACGTCCGCACCTATAAGGCAAACTATGGCCAATATACCTCCCTTCTTCTCGTTAATGTCGGAGGCGGATACCATTTCGAATATGTGATGATTGAATTCGTCCATGAAAGCCGTGATCTCCTCCTGCGACGCCTCGCGCAGTTCCCGCTTGACGTACAGGCACAGGTCGCGCGCCGCCTTGTTGCGCGCCTCCTCATTTCTCGACTTGAGTCGCTGAACAAACTGCTGCATCAGAGTGTTCGACATTGTGGCTCAGAATTGCGTATATAAATCAGGGTGTAAAACGAAACAGTCCAGACTCCATTGAATTCCTCTCATTTGACGCTCTGAAAAACATTTATTATTAAGAAATTAATAAGATTATTACTCGTACTTATTAAGAATAAGTATTTTGATTTATAGTCAATAAACGAACAAAGGTTTTAGATATTGAAATAAATTCATACGGTTTTACTTATGCAATATAATAATTCGTAACGAGACGTTTCGACCTAACTTGATCCTCTTCAGTCGTCTTTAAGATTACTACACTAAATGTCACTAAAATTGTCGTTAAAACATTTACTTTTTAAAAACATCTTAGTAGTATTTAATGTAGTAATCTTAAAGCCGACTGAAGAGGGTCAAGTTAGATCGAAACGTTTCATTATAAATTATTGTATAAATGAAAATATATAAATTTATATCAATCTGAAACCCTTGCTCGTTTATTGGTTAGAAAATCAAAGTTATCGAATTTCCGATCGTTCCGACGCTGGATTGTTTGTGCCATTCATACAGTTATACGACATTATAAACAAATTCCACACACTAATAATTACATTCGCCACCTACTTGGCACTATGTGGATTCCTTTTTGCGGCGCAGCATCGTCGCCCGCAATACAAATGCCTCCATTCTCGCGACGGAAAGAGCCTTCGACGTGTTTTCATTCAACCCAGCAGATGTTGAGCCAATTCAATATACGCAATAACATCCCCGATCACCGGCATTTTCCGTCCATAATGCTACTCACTTGTCTCTCACTTGTCTGTTAACGAACAACGAAGTTTCGCAATTCTGTTGCGTAACTCGGACGTCGCACTCTCGTTATGTCCTGTGACAAGTACTTGGAGTACAAATATTTCTTCCGAACGCGCGAGGATTATAACCTCAGAAACGAAGATGCGTTGAGGCAGAGAGAACCCCGAGAGCGGACATGATGGCCTTTTGCCTATTACGTCAAAATGCCCTCGTACGCCAACACCCCCTGAAGAGGTGGATGCAAACTACATAGCAACATTCACTTCTCTGCACCGCGGGTATACACAATTTGTGGTGCGTGTCCGTGCTACATCCATCTAAATTGGCTCCTCACGGTGGTAATACGTGACGCACAGCAATTAATTTACATATAATTATATTTATACGACGCGATAGCCAGTCGATCAATTATCTGCTTTTCCGGAAAGAGCATTTTCTACCACGCGGCAAGCAGCAAAAGCCACTTATAAATTTTCATGAAATTGATCACCAATATTATAATTTTTAATTATGTCAAGCACAAAATAAATTTAAAACAGAATAACTCAACTATTACAATTTTTTAAATTTAAATTTATATGTTAACATAAATAACACGAAGTTGCAATATCATTTAATATTGTAAAAGTTGTATTATTAGATTAAATTCTTTCGCACATTTGTTACACTTCATGTAACAAATGTGCAAAAATAAATTTTTCATGTGATTTTAATACATATTAGGAACGGAATTAAATATATATCATTTGTCTTTAAAAAATAAATACATTTGCGCACTACAAATATATAAAAATAAAGCTTAATTATCTTAAGTTTTTAACAAAAAATTGAAAATTTGAAAATTTTTTTTATCAAGATTTTTCCTCCTGCCACTGCAAAAGATCTACAATGATAATTATATATAAAAGTTAAAGTAAAAACAATCCTAAATTACATATAAACTTCTTAATCTAATATATTTTTCTACATTATTAGTTACGCTCTCGCTGAAAGTCGATCTTTAGGTTCGAAGTACTCTTGGAAAAAAAAGTTGCAAAATGTTAGCCAGTACGATGAACTGCATATATAACTTTTGCATATATTCTAATTAAAAATGGTGCATACATTTTCATTTTTATTATTAGATTAAGTATTTTATACAACAGATGTGTGAAAATAAATCTTAATTCAATCCTAATACATATTAAAGGCAAAATTAAATAATTTATCCTCAAAAAATGAATTCATTTATATATACTACGAGTATACAAAAATAATAACTTTTTAACAAAAAATTGAAAATTTGAATTTTTATCAAGATTTTTTCTCCCACTGCAAAAGATCCACAATGGCAGTTATATATAAAAGTTAAAGTAAAAACAATCCTAAATTACATGTATATAAACTTCTTAATCTAATATTCTTTCTATATTATTAGTTACGCTCTCGCTGAGAATTGACCTTTAAATTTGAAATACTTTTGAAAAGAAAAGTCACGAAATGTTCGCCGGTATAATGAACTATTGTTGTTAAATGAACACTATTGAACTGAAGACAAGCCGTCGACGAGCTGTACAAATGTGCTGGGCTTTATTGCAAGTTAATTCTGAATAAACGTACTCTTCAATGTTAATGTGCTTAAATTCTTTTTTACGAGTATAAGAGTGCACAATACAACGCGAATGTGGAAATGTCTACGCACGCGGAGCCTCTCAGGCGCAACAATAATATATTAAACAAAAAATTAATTTATGTGAAGAAAATAGTATTACTCGATAAATATAGTTTCTTATACTATTTCTTATACTTTAGTAACGGTGATCTTACCGACTTTTAAATCTCATTTTAAATTTAAAAAACACGAAAACTAATATGTCCACGAGGAATAACGTCGATACCTCGATTCTTTACTTTAAGTTGTAATTTTGCACGCTCTTTCATATTGTATATACTTGACAATTCCATGGATGTACGACATAATGATAAAGCCTTGTCAAATAATTTTATTGCTTCCTCTAGATTTCCTCTGAAAGAAAAAATGGATTCGAAATATTTTGATTAAAATATTTTTAGATTCTTTATATATAAATTACATATACATGACTGCAATTGATTCAATTTGAAAATAACATTCATTCTTCGATTTACGCGAAATATTCCACGTGGTTGTCTTTACGCAGTTAAGAATATGTAAAACATAAACTGTCAGTACAAAAAAAAAGTAAGAGAAGAATCCGTGTAAAAACATTTCATGTATTTGCGCAAAAATAATAATAAAATAAAACTCTTAAATATTGCATAAAAAAGTCCGCGTACAAAAATACAACGTAAATCGAAAGATAAGTGGTATAATTGGAAAAAATTACACTAAAAACATACCTTTTTACTGCGATATATCCTAGCATTTCGTGTGCCTTGTCGCATCTCTCATCCAAATCTAACGCTTTGTTCAGATATTCCTCAGCTTTATCAACATCATCTTTCCACTTCAAATGCAATACGGCTCTTTGCATATGGTTCAATGCGCTCTCGGGATCTTCCTTTATTGCTTTAATAAGAGAAGTATCAGCCTTTTTGTACTGCCGACTTTCAGATAACATCTACAATGATTTTAAATTTCCAATAAATCAAGATGGTACAACACAATAATAACAATTTATCAATTATTCATTTTTCTGTTCCCATTATTTATCATAAGAAATTATAAGTAAATGTACGTACCTCAGCATAAGATGTATAACAAAATGAACGTTCAGTAATATTTCGGCAAGATTCCAAACAGTTCTTAAGATTTTTCGCAACTTTGTCAGCTAATTCAACAGTTACACATTCTGTAGCGACGACATCACATACTTTTTTTATCAAATGATACTCAAGGCAATATCTTCGTATGTTTGCCATGCAAAAATTTGGATTATATAGAACGGCTGTGTCAAAATCGTGCTTAGATTCAGCATAACTGCACATTAACCAATATGCCTAAAATGGAAAAAATATGTTATCAATACTTATAACAAAAAAGTATTATCATATTTTAATTATTATTTTTTAATACGTGCACCCACTCATACATGGGCAATAAGCGTGAAAAATATGTTCAATGTTAATATGCGATATATACCACTCCTCTATGATAGTAGATATCACTATAAGTTGGATTTATATCAATGGCTGATTCGTAGTCTTTGAAAGCCATTTCCACTTTCTCGAGCACCATGTATGAGTCTCCTCTTTTTATCAGGACGTTTGTCTTCATGTCATTGGATGCATCTTTGCTACTCAATATTTTTTCAAACTCTTGAATTGCAGAATCTTGCTTGCCCAAAAACATATAAAATGTAGCTCGTAACAATAGCACCTCTAGTTTAGATGATGAAGGTAAGGTATCGAATTCGGGTTTTTGAATGACTTCCGTGCACAGCGGAATTATATCATCATATTTCTTGTCTTTTAACGCTTGTAGTGGTTTCTTGAAAAATCTGAAAACAAATATTACATTAAAAAGTAAACGTCAAAATTATCAGAAATATTCTACCCATACTTACTCCGGAATATTTTCTGGATGCTGAAGTCTAGAAAATACTGGATCCTTAAGGAAAGATAAAATGTACAGTGTGATTGCCTCCTTACTTTGCATTATAAACTTTTTGTTTGCCAAATATTCCTGAACGTATTGTTTTACTGAAAATAATTTTTACTTTAAGTTACTAAATTTCTCCGTTCTTGTTTCTCAAATTCTTGTTCAAGTTTGAACTAAACAGCATTTTATTCAATACCAAAATGTTTTTGATATGTAACTCACCAAGCTTTTCCAAGATCTCGTCTGCCATGGTAATTGCATTGGTAGCTTGAATAGAAGAATGTTCGTAAATCCGTGCGGTAGTCAAATCGTCCAAAGCGGCTTCCAAGTCTTCTAATTGCTCTGAAGCACGTGCCCGACGTAGCAAAGCTTTCATATACTTTGGATTTAATTCTAACGCTTTTGTACAATCTGCCTTTACATCACTATATTTTTTCTGTAAATTATAAATACAATTGTAAACAGTAACTTTTATACCATATCTTCAATAATAAATTGTAAAGTCAAATTTTCATGATATGTTTATTATTAGTATCATCAATTTTATTACCAATTGCTCATTCGCAGCCGCTCTATTTTGATAAAAAATTGCGAGGTCCTGCAAGGTCGCTTTTCTTCTCGGACAAATGTCGATTGCTTTACTATATTCAACAATAGCTTCATGATATTTTCTCTCTTTGAAATATTCATTTCCTATGTTCTTACACTTGCGTGCTTTTTCCAAAGGAGACTAGAACAAAAGAGTTTGCTTTATTTAGTCATTCAAACTTCTGTTTCCGGTAGGATAAAAATGAGTAGGAGCATTCGAGTTTAGTCATTCATGAAAATACTATCGTCTGTAAGCCTAATATAATTTATAAATATATATATTTTGCCACTACCAAAGACATTATGCGTTATTATTTTTTTAAAGTTCTAAGAGATATATATATATAGATAAATGTATAAATATATGTATTGTAAAAGTCTGAATCAGGAAAATCTATTTATCATGTGCAAACTACGCACATTTTACAATCTCATAATAAGTTCTTCAGAACAGAGTTCAGTAATGCCTTCGTGGACAATATATATTATTTATTAAAAATTATCGCTTTGATGGCATTAACATAACAATGGTATAAGTTAATTATGATTACCAACGATATAGGGGAAGTATATAGTTTAGCATTCTATTGTTTTATAGGCATAATTAAAAGACGCCGATAAAGACAGGGCATGGCATTTAACGTTTGTCGCGCAATAAAAGTTCAAATCGATCCAACATTTTCCGCGTGACAGAAAGATGCTTTTTTTCGGGAAAACGAGCGTTTGATTGGCTACCGACCGCGGGTGCGGCTCACTTCTAAATAAATTCTTCGAAACCTTTTTGATTGACTAGAAAAATTTTATCAAATACCAATAATAAAAAATGCTTCTAAGCATTTGTCGCATCTATAGTGGATCTTAGTAAAAAAAAAAAAGCAATAATATACGACCGATCTGAAGCGATTGATCCGTACGTCTTGTTCAGATGACTCGAGATGCATTCATGTTAAATAAATTAAATGAATTTGCCATTGGCTATATGTTTATATTGTTACGCGATCTGTACCCTATATTTCTTTCTAACCTGGACATCATGAGTAATCATGACGGTGTAAACAGTTCATCTATTGTATTTAGGTCAAAGTTAGGTCGAATATAGAGTCTAGGTCGCAGACTAAACGTATGATGTAAACATAGTCATTAGTGTCGTATCAAACCATGTCTTGCTCAGATTTTTATTAAACAGTAACAAATGATTAATACTGATAGATACAACTGAGACAAAGCATTATTTTCTAGATTAACTTTCGATCGAACGCGTTTTTTTCCAAGAAATTCCTTTTGTTGATTACATATTATAAATACCATTTTTCACAGCTAAAGTTCTCGAAAATAACGCAACGCGAACTGTACGGTATTTCACGGGCTTGAAAGTTAAAGGGAAAAATGAAACAAATTAGAAAATTAATTTTTATTACCGCGGTTACTGACGATCGTTATACATTTACTTTATGCAAAAGTTTTGCATAAAGCAACATTTGTACCGTATAAAGCAAGCTTAGTCTGCACTAGGGATTACATAAAGAACAGCACAGTGATTTTAAAATGATCCCAAGTGCTTTGTTACGAGAGAAAAGTACGTCTGAAAATTTGTGCATGCGTGATGTTGATGTTACGATTTGCGGAAGAAAAATATAATGCGATAATCCAGAAACTCACCATTATTCTTGGAAAAATCAGAGCCAGAGATAATCACTGATGAATGACCGACAATTGAAAGGAAGTAATGTAACGTTCGTCTTAACATACAACACGCTACATCCAATCGACTCGACTGTTGGCGACAGCATCAGTGATTGTTTACAACAGTTGAGCGCGCGGGCTCTGCGGTGTAGGGATACCAAGAATCGAGACGCGCATGTGCGTACGTGTGCTGGCCCTTCCTCAGGGATGTATTCGGATTCCCACCTGAGTGCTCAACAAGTCCTCAATCATTTTATTCTTGTTTAACAATCAGCGAATAAGAAAAAAATAAATTAATAAAAAAATAATACCTGGGCGACACTTTAGGCGAGATCCAAACGCACCCCAGTTTGCCTGTCTCCCCCGTCCTTCTACGAGCAATCGCGCGCAGTTCGAATGATTCGAATGGTCCTGGCATTATAGTGCGAGTGATGCCAAGATCTAATTATAAAGGTCATAGACCTTACATAATTATGGACTGCATGGCAATACAAGGCTGCATTCCCGTATATTTTGAGTATATATACTCAAATATACACTTCTGTATTCACGCTTTTGGCGCATACGGAATTATTTTTTCCTTATATTTATCAAAGGTTAAACAAGATTTCATTATTATTGTTAGATTTTTCATAAAACAGATGTGCGAAAAAATAATTCTTAATTCATAATGTTCGATTTTAATTCGATCATAATACATATCAGGGACGGTTTGACAATTTATCAGAGGTCTTTTAAAAAAATTGGAAGTTTAAATTTCAACTAGGTTTTTTCCAATCCATCCGCTACTATACGAAAGATGTATGAAATTAAAATAACAGTTTCAAATTATACTTTTAATATTTTTTGTACGTAGTGTTACAATGCCTACAATTCGAATTACTTTTAGAAATTAGTCGCGAAATATTTTCCGAAATAGAGAATGAACTAGCTGTGTCGTTGTTAAACGAACATTATTGGGTTGAAAAACGGAACCATCGAGAGCTGTGTTTTGTTGTGCTCTATTATAATTAATTTCGAATCGATTCGAATAAATGTTTCTTTCTTGTTAATATTATTTAATATATATAGTTAATATATAATATATAATTAAGTTTTTTTTCTCGTAAGTTAAGGAATGCGAGGACGCAAAAGCGAATGTGGAGGGCGGTCTACATGCAAATGAGCCGCATACGCAACAATATGTTAAACAAAACATTAATTCAATCCATGATAACATTATTTGATAAATTATTGTATATCAATCATAGCACGTGCGTGCTTCATTCATAAATTTTAGGTTTTTAAATAATGTATATTCAATTAATAACTATTTTCTCTGCATGCTACAAAATCACAAGGAATAAGCATTGAACAGATTTTGCATAAATTTTTATTGTACTAATTTTCTGTACAAATTAACTCAAAACAATTGCATAGAATAATGTCTATTAAAATGCAATAATCGGCTGTTTAAGCATTTCGACGCAAAAATAATATTGATAGGAATGTTCTTCAGAAATTAAATCATAAAATATGATTATAATCATATAATTATTTTAAAAGCGCACACCAAATTTCAATTTTCGAAAACACAAAATCTTATGAAAACTTAAAAAAAAAAATGTAAATACTCGTTCAGTAATTTCTGTTGTTAAAACTTAAAGCTTTGATCAATCTATAACTTGTTAAAATAACTTGTATATTATATCATTAACATTTTTTGTAGTTCATAGATCAAACGCAGTTCAAAATAAACTGTTATTACAAACTTAAATCTTTCAATATAAAATAATGCAGTTACAATAATGCAACTATTATATCGTATCCAAGATTGAAATACTAACATAAAATTTCGTTCTTGTACTTTACCGATAATGGTCTTTTATTTTTAATGTCGTTTCAATCTCACTTTATATGCACAACTTGAGAATTCGACTTCGAATCGTGTAGAGGATTGGAGAATGTTGGAGTCTGGACTATTCTTTATTTTAAGTTGTAATTTTGCATCCTCTCTCAAGTTATATATGTCTGTCAATTCCGTGGATGTACGACATAATATTAAAGCTTTATCAAAAAATTTCACTGCTTCCTCTAAATTTCCTCTGAAAGAAAAAATAGATCCAGAAAATTTTTATTAGAATACCTATTGATTCTTTATGCAAATACATATGATTGTAACTGATTTATTTAAAAAATACTAACATATACAGTCGTTCCTCGATTTACGCGGAATATTTGTTCCATACGATTCTTTTTTACGCGGCTGAGAATCATAAATAAAGTCTATTGGTAAAAAATGTCCTATAAAAAGAGTCCGTGTATGTTTTGAGAATATTTAGTTTACATATTTGAACAAAAATAATAAAACTAAACTGATGAAAATGGCGTAAAAAAGCCTGCATATTACCGCGTAAATCAAAGGATATGTATAAAATTAGAAAAAATTACAATGGAAATATACCTTCGCGCTGCGATACATCCTAATGCTTCATACGCCATCTCACATTTCTCATCCAAATCTAATGCTTTGTTTAGAAGCTCCACAGTTTTATCAAAATCATTCTTCCAATGCAACTGAAATATTGCTCTGATCACACAGAAAACTGCGTTCTCTGGATCATTTTCCATTGCTGTAGCAAGAAAATTATCAGCCGTTTTGTACTGTTGATTTTCCATCATAATCTGTATAGTGCAATTATTGAAAATTTTTATCAGTAAATTAAAATGTGTATAGCATAATGGTAATAATTTATCATTTATTCGTTTTAATACCAATTATTTTTGTTAAGAAATTATAATTGCATGTACCTCAGCATATAATAAATTACAATATGAATATTCAGAAGAATTTTGGAATTTAACGAAGCTTTTCTTAAAGTTTCTCAAAAGTTTGATTAATTGAATGTTCGTTAGTTCTGCTGTAACAAAATCGTATACTCCTTTTACAATATAATACTCGAAGTAACATTTTTGCATGTATCCCATGAAGAAGTTTGGATTACATTCAATGGTCTTCTCCAAGTCGTGCTTAGTTTCGTCCAATCTACCCATAAACTTATATACCTGAAATGACAAAGTAATAATATTATCGTATTTTTCATTATTTTATGATGTGCGCACTCATATGCGTGTAACAAGTAAAAATGTGAAAAATCTGTTCAATATGCATACCAATCCTCTGTGATAGTAGATCTCACTATAATTGGGATTCATATTAATGGCTAATTCGAAATCTTTGAAAGCCATTCCAAAATTATCAAGTTTCGCGTGTAAATTTCCTCTCTTTATCAAAATGTTTGTCTTCACGTCATTAGATGCATCTTTGCTACTCAATATTTGTTCAAAATCTTGGATTGCAGAATCGACGCTGCTCGAGAGTGTATAAAATGTAGCTCGCAACAATAACACCTCTAGTCTAGATGAAGGTAATGTATCAAATTCGGGTCGTTGAATGACTTCTGTGCACAGCGGTATTATATCATCGTATTTTTTGTCTTTTAAAGCTTGTAATGGTTTCTTGAGAAATCTGAAAACAAATATTACATTAAAAAATAAACGGTTTCTGATAATCACAATTATGAGAAACGTTCTACTCATACTTACTCTGGAATGTTTTCTGGATGTTGAAGTCTAGAAAATACTGGATCCTTAGGAAAAGATAAAATGTACATTCTGACAAACTCCTTACTTGGCATTGTAAACTTTATGTTTGCCAAATTTTCCTGGACGTATTGTTTTACTGGAAATAATTTTTATTTTAAGTTAAATTCCTTGGTTATTCTTTCTTAATTTTTGTTTACAGTGAATAACATTTTATTTAGTATGAAATGCTTTTAATATGTAACTCACCAAGCTTTTCCAAGATTTCATCTGCCATTGCATTTGTAGTTTTATTAGAAAAATGTTCGTAAATCCGCACGGTATTCAAATCGTCCAAAGCAGCTTCCAAGTCTTCTAATTGCTCTAAAGCACGTGCTCGACGTAAAAAAGCTTTCATGTATTTTGGATTTAACTCTAACGCTTTTGTACAATCTGCCTTTACATCACTATATTTTTTCTGAAAATTATAATTACAGTTATAAACAGTAACTCTTATATCATATAAACTGCAATAATCAATTGTAAAGTCAATTTTGTCAAATTTTCATATTTTGTTTATTATTAGTATCATCAATTTTATTACCAATTTCTCATTCGCAGCCGCTCTATTTTGATAAAAAATCGCGAGGTCATTCATGTTCGCCTTTGTTCTCGGACAAACATCGATTGCTATATTATATTGAGTGATAGCTTCATGATATTTTCCCTCCTTGAAATATACATTTCCTGTGTTCTTACACTGCCGTGCTTTTTGTAAAGGAGTCTAGAACAAGTTCGCTTGGGTCAGTCACAAAAGTTATACTATTTTCTGCAATCTATAATAATTTATAAATACATATAATGCCACTATAAGTATTTCATTAAAGTTCTAAGAGATAGATAAATATGTACTCTGAAAGTTTCAATCAATCAGAAGAATCCATTTATTATGTGCAAATTACACACATTTTACTATCTTATTATCTCGAAGTTCGGCAATAGTGTGCTTTGCAGACAACATATATATTATTTATTATAAATTATCTCTCATGATAACGACATTGATGACATAATGGTATATTATTACTATCAACAGTATAAGTTATGATGACATGAGTAGTGGAAGTATATGTTTATCATTCTGACATTTTTAGGATTTAAAAGGTACCAAAAAATAAAGACAGGATACTGCATTCAACGCTTATACCGCGCAGGGATAGTTGAACTTGAACCAACTTTTTCCACGCGGCGAGAGACGCGTTCTTTTCGGAAAAGCAAGCGATTGATTAGCTATCGAGGATGCGGCCCGGATTGGATGCAATTAAATTCTTTGAAGCCTTTTTAACTGATCATAAGATTTTATCAAATTTACTGACTACCTAATTAAAGAAATGCTTCGAAGCATTTATAGTAGGTAGTCCACAGTAGACCGCAGTCAAGAAACATAAATGATATATCAATCTGGAGCGATCTGCATTGTCCAAAATGGACAATGATATGCAATCACATTAAATGAATAACAGGCATTAGTATCATGTCTAATCGTATCTTGCTTCACACTTTATTAAATCGACAAACGATTAATATTGATAGAGGCGACCAAGGCAAAGCATCATTTTCTGGAATGACTTTCGAATATTGAACGTGATCTTTTTCCAATAAGGAATTCCTTTTAATTACAAATTATAAATTATTTTCCACAGTCAAAGTTTACCGAAAATAACAATGCAGATTGAATTGCAGACTGAATTGCAGGCGATTGCATATGAAAAACGAAATAAATTAGAAAATTCGTTTTATCCGACCGATTAATTCCGCCGTCGTAATTATATTTATTTTATCTAAAATTTTATACTTCGCTGCAGTCGTAGACTATCGATTGCGACACTTTTTTTTAGTAGGTTTTGAAACGCACTAGTATTTTGAAAATGCGAACCACGGTTGGTATAGATTGCATTCCGTTTCACGCATGATGCGCATGATATATCATAGTATCTATTTGTTGTTCACTACAAATTAAACAAAGATAAAAGGATAAATCATGCGCATCATGCGTGAAACGAAACGCAGCCATACTGTCTCTAGACTACTGTAAGATATATATAGTACACCATCGTAGTTCGCATTTGCAAAATAAATATAATATTAATTATATATAAAATAATTATATATATATATATATATAAATATTAAATATATATTGAAAACATATGAAAAAAGTGTCGCAACCGATATATCCACTGTACGTATAAAGCAAGCTTATTAGTCCGCGCTAGAGATTATAAATAAAAGAACATAATAACTTTAGAATGAGTCTATAGATGCTTTGTAGGAGAAAAGTATGTCTAAAAATTTGTGCATGTGTGCGTGACATCAATGCTACGAATTGCAGAAGAAAATACGACAAAGAAACTCACCATTTTATATTATGGGTCGTTTCTTGAAGACTCTTAGAAAACTAGAGCTACAGATAACCACAGTATCCTGTCAGTATGACGGTTGAAAGCGAGTAATGAACTTTCGTCAATAACAATGCACAACACACCAACTGACACCATAAATCACTCCATCGACGACTGTCGATTGTCGAGCTTCGGCGATCGGCGATCTGCAATTGTTGTGAGCGCGCGGCGTAGTGATACCAAAATACGAGACGCGCAAGTGCGTACATGCGTGTACTGGCCCTTCCTCACTCAGGGGTGTATTAGGCTTCCCAAGAGTGCACCTCAATCATTTCGTCCTTGTTTAAGGTTCAGTGAACAACAAGGAGAAAATGATACCTGGACGACACTTGGGTGGGAATCCGAACGCACTGCAATGAGCCTGCCGCCTCCGCTGGGCCCGGGAGTAATTGAAGAGCGATGACATTACCAACAATTTTGGCAGTACCGAGGATAACAAATCACTATTATCGACAGTGAAGTTAACAATTTAAAAATATTTTTCAATTTTTTGCAACGTTGCTGTATATGTATACATACGACAAACGTTGTGAAAATTAAAAAAATACGTGTATCCATACAGCAAACGCTACGAAAATTGAAAAATATGTTAAATTGTTATAACTTCTCTGCACTTTTTTTATCCTCGATTTGTTATCTTCGGTACAGTCAAATTCGACGGTAATGTCATCGTTCTTCGATTATCCCCCCCCACCGAATCCACTTGCCAGTCAAGAAAATGTGCTTTTGGCCGACCGTTTTTAACAATGTGGCCCAGTATACATCGTTAAATTAATTGATACGAGTATAATTATTAGATGAAGTATTTCATAAAACAAATGTACGAAAATAAGTCTTAATTCATTAATGTTCGATTTAATTCAATCTTAATATATATTAGAGACGAAATTAAATAATTTATCTGTAAAAAATGAATACATTTATGTATTCATTTTACATTTATGTATACATACATACGATACGAGAATAATATAATTTATCTGAGATTTTTTTTAGAAAAATTAGAAATTTAAGTTTTGAGATTTTTTCCAATCCATCCCACTATACGAAAAATGTATAAAATTAAAATAAAAACAATTTTAAATTATACCTTTTAATATTTTTTGTACGTATATTACGCCAATTCAAATTATTTTCGAAAAAAAGTCGCAAAACATTTTCCGGAACGGCCGGCTACACGCAAACGAGCCACACACACAATGTTAAACAAAATATTAATTCTATTCATAACAAAATAGATATGTAATAAATTATATTAATCACAGCACGCGCGTGCTTTATACAAAAATTTTAAGATTTTAAAATAATTTATATTCAAGAAATATCTTATTTTTTCTGCATGCAAGATCGAATAAGGAATAACTATAAAATAGCTTTTGTGTAAATTTTTATTATATAAATTTTCTATACAAATTAACTGAAAAGAATTACACGAGAAGATAATTTCTTTTTAAATTCAATAATCGGCTATTTATAAAGTATTTTAAGCAAAAATAAATGATATATTGATACTTCATTCCTCAAAAATTAAAATCATAAAATATAATTAAAACATGATTAAAATCATATAATTTAAATAGTACACATCAAATTTTAATATTTGCGAATACAAAATCTTATAAAATAAAACTTAAGTACACGTTCACAAACTTTGATTTGTTAAAATTTTAAAGTTTCGACAACATAATCTACAATAACTTGTTTCATTATATTACTACCTTTTTTATAGATTAACGCAATTAAAAAGAAAATATTAAAAACTTAGGTCTTTCGATATATAAAGTAATGCGGTTGTAATAATGCCAATTATTTGCCTACTTTTTTTTTATAGATTAACGCAATTAAAAAGAAAATATCATTAAAAACTTAACTTTCGATACATAAAATAATGTGGTGGTAATAATGCAAATTATTTGCATACTTCAGTTTTTTGTGGATACTCTGTATGTATATCGTATCAAAGATTGAAATACTAACGTAACATTTTATTCTTACACTTTAGCAAGATGGTCTTTTACTTTTGATGTCCTTTAAATCGCACTTTACATGCACAAGAATATTATTCACTTGAGATTAATGAGTTGATAACGAATCGTGAGAATAACTCAATAATGTTGATGATATCTGATTGATTCTTTACTTTAAGTTGTAATTTTGCACCCTCTCTCAAATAGTATATGTGCATCAATTCCCTGGATGTACGACATAATATTAAAGCCTTGTCAAATAGTCTTATAGCTTCCTCTAGATTTCCTCTGAAAAAAGAAATGAGATTCAGAATACTTTTATTAGAAACTTCTGTAAGTCACATATGTATGATTTGCTGACTTATTTTGAAAATATGAACATACACTCGTCCCTTGATTTACGCAGAATATTTGTTACATGTGGGTTTTTTATGCAAATGAGAATCATAAAATAAAGTCTATATATATATATATTATATATAACGTTAAAGAGTTCGAGTATGTTTTAAAAAAACGAAAATAAACTGATGGATATCGCGTATAAGAGTATTGCATAAATATAGTCACGAGTAAACTATTAGAAAAAATTACATATTGAAAACATACCTTTTTGTTGCGATATATCCTAATGCTTCATATGCCAAATCACATTTCTCATCCAATTCTAACGCTTTGTTTAAAAGTTCTACAGTTTTATCAATATCATTCTTCCATTCCAATTGCAGCATAGCTCTGTGCACATGGATAAATGCGTTATCTGGATCTTTCTGTATTGCTTTAACAAAATAAGTATCAGCCTTTTCGTACTCTCGACAGCAAATCATAATCTGAAATGATTGAAAATTGTTATTAATGAATCAAAATATGAACAGCACAATGATAATAATTTATCGCTTATTTCTTTTAAACTTCAATTATTTTTCTTAAGAAATATGTAACTGTATGTACCTCAGAATATAATACGTAAAAATATGAACATTCAGGAAAATTTTGAAACTTTTCGAAGCTTCTCTTAATATCTTCCGCAAATATGATTAATGGTATATCTATATCGAAGAAATCATGCATTCCCCTCGTAATAAAATAATCATACATTTTCTTCCTAATACAATAATCGTAGTAATATTTTTGCATATATCCTACGCAAAAATTTGGATTGTATTCCACAGCCTTCTCAAAATCGTGCTTACTTTCGTAGAATCTGTCCATATACCAATATGCCTAAAAGATAAAAAAGTATTGTTGTATTTTACGTTATTTTACATGCAATATATGTGCAACAAGCGAATATGTGAAAAATTTGTTCAATATAATACCAATCCTCTATGATAGTAGATCTCACTACAACTTGGATTCATATTAATGGCTAACTCGAAATCTTTGAAAGCCATTTCAAGATTTTCGCGATCCATGTATAAGTCTCCTCTTTTTACCAGGACGTTTGTCTTTACGTCAACGGATGCATCTTCATCATTCAATATTCTTTCAAAATCTTGGATTGCAGAATCGTGCTTGTCCAAAAGTAAGTAAAATGTAGCTCGTAACAATAGCACCTCTAGTCTAGATGAAGGTAACGCATCAAATTCGGATCCTTGAATAATTTCCGTGCACAACGGTATTATATCATCGTATTTCTTGTTTTTTAACGCTCGTAATGGTTTCTTGAAAAAACTAACAAATATATTATATTAAAAAATAAACGTCAATTATCAGAAACATTCCTCTATCTATACTTACTCGGGAATATTTTCTGGTTGTTGAAGTCTAGACAATATTGGATCATTAGGGAAAGCTAAAAAGTACTTTCTGACTAACTCCTTACTTGGCATTGTAAACTTTTTGTTTGCCAAATTTTCTTGGACGTGTTGCTTTACTGTAAAATAATTTTTATTTTAAGTTACTAAATTTCTCGGTTCTCGGTTTTTAATTTTTGTTTGCAGTGAATAACATTTAATTTAATTTAATATCAAATTTTGATATGTATGTAACTCACCAAGCTTTTCCAAAATTTCATCTGCTATCACATTAATAGCTCGATTAGAAAAGTGTTCGTCAATGCACGCGGTAGTCAAATCGTCCAAGGCGGCTTGCAAGTCCCCTAATTGCTCTGAAGCGCGTGCCCGACGTAGCAAAGCTTTCATATATCTTGGATTTAATTCCAATGCTTTTGTACAATCTGCTTTTACGTCAGTATATTTTTTCTATAATTTACAAATACAATTATGTATACAGTGATACTTATGTCGTCGACTTTAACAATTGTTAAGTTAAATTTTCATGTTACGTTTATTATTAGTATAATCTATTTTATTACCAATTGCTCATTTGCAGCCGCTCTATTTTGATAAAAAACCATACGGTCATTGATGTTTGCCTTTCTTCTTGGACAATTGTCGATAATTGTGATAGCTTTACTATACTGAATGATAGCTTGATTGTATTTTTTCTTTTTGAAATATTCATTTCCTGCGTTATTAAACTTCCGCGCCCTTTGTAAAGAAGTCTAAAATGAAAGAGTATGCTTGGGTTAATCACGAAAGTACTATTTTTTACGGTCTGTAATAATTTATAAATATATATAATGTTTGCGAAAGGAATCCTGAGTTATTATGTATTTTATTCACACAAATTCTGAGAGATAAATAAATATTATGTTCTATGAAAGTCTCGATCGATCAAATAACTCCATTTATCATATGCAAATTTATACACACAATTTCATTATCTCAAAATTAAGCGGTAGTGGTTCGTAAACAATATTATTTATTAAAAATTATCGCTCGTATCGATAACGGCACCGACATAACAAATGATATAAGTCACCATAAGTTATTATGACTACCAATGCTGTAGGGGAAATATATGTTTGCCATTCTAATATTTTTAACAATTAAAAGGTGTCGACAAATATAAGACGCAGTATTGCTTATTGCGCAGCATAAGTTGATACAAATTGATACACAATTCAACTTTTTCCGCGCCGGTGAAGACGCTCTTTCCGTCAAAGCTCAGTGATTGGATGGCTATCACGGGTGTGGCCCAAATGCTTACGAGCTATTTTTTTACTGACTAAAAAAAGATTTTACCATTGATAAATCAAAAAATGCTTCGATGCGTTAAATTTGTAGCATCAAACGAATCGTAAAGCCAAAGAAAAAAAAAAGACAAATATGACGTATCGATTTAAAGCGATTCGGATTGTCCAACATGGATTAAGATGCATTCACATTAAGTACACCCGTATACGATTAAAATTTAATTAGGACTCGATCGATCAGAAAAAAGAAAACCAACATCAGTATAGTGAATTTAATTATTTTGATTAAATATATAAATAGTTAAATTCCAATTCATTTTTAATCTGATACGGGCAATAAAATGAAAATAAACGGCATTATATATAGTATCGTATCTAACTACAGTGTCTTGTCTTAAATTTTATTAATAGTAACAAAGAATTAATATTGATAGACGCAACTGAGGCAAAGCATCTTTGATTTTTTGGGACGGTTTTTGGGTAACCGTGATTTTTTTTCCAATGAATTCTTTTTATTGTGTGATTCCAAATCATAAATCATTTTCCAAAATATAAAAATTATTCTAATTAAAGTAATGCAATCCGAACTGAATGATTTCACACGAAAAACAAAATAAATCAGGAAGTTAGTTTTGTTTAACATCAGTTAGAGATGACGTAATAACATTTATTTTACATAAAAATACTAGTACGTATAAAGCAATAATCCACTATACGTAAAAGAACAGCACTTTTAACAGTGCTTTTAGAAATGTCTGAATTCTTTATTGTAATAGAAAAGCATGCCTGAATTTGTGCGTATGTATGTGCGGTGATATACTGATGCACGATTCGCGGAAAAAAAATCTAGAGATCACTCACCATTATGTATTACGGATCGTTTGTTGTCATCCGAGAAAAGTAGAGTTAAAGATATAGCCACTACAGGATGATTCGATTATTGGCGAAAGCAAGTAATGGAACTTTTGTTAAAAACAAACGATACTAACACAGCACACAAGGCACAACATCCAATCTACGACTAAGCTGGACTACCTGGATAACCTGGATCGAGCGATCAACGATTGTTGGCAATTGTTGAACGCGCGGCGTAATGATACCAAAATTCGCGACGCTGACTACGCGATGCATCCGTTGGACATGTGGAGGGGGTATATATGTATATATATGTATACTGGGGTGCGTGTGGGTCCCACTCAAGTACTCCTCCGGTATCATTTTATCCTTGTTTAACGGTACTTTATTCGGTAAACAACAAAGAAAAATTGATAACCTGAGTGAGCTAGAATTCTTGAGTGGGAATCTAAACGCATCCCTGAGAAAAAGTCACTCATATGCATGATATACATGTATGTACTACTTACATCATGGTTTAAATTCTTTCTCAATGAGACTGGCCCTTTCCATCCATTTTACGAGCGAACCGCGATTCGAATTCTGAGAGCTCCTTTAAAAAATTTCGCATACGAAAATGTATGAAAAAACTAGCATTTATTCCCTAATATTTTCGTAGGCGAAATTTTTCAAGAATGGAGTGGCATGTTATGGGACGGCACCCTAAGCGAGGTTCGAATCTTCGCTAAGTGGGGTTTGAGTCTCCGCTAAGTGGGGTTCGAACTTCGAATGCGCGCGCGCTATAAGTGCAGCGGGAGAATAAATTTCAAACCCCACTTAGCGGAGACGCAAACCCCACTTAGCGAAGATTCGAACCCAACTTAGCAGAGACTCGAACCACATTTTAGCGGAGCGGATTATTGAATTTATATTTTATATTCTCCCGCTGCACTTATAGGGCGCGCGCATTCGAACCCCACTTAGCGGGGACTCAAACCCCACTTAGCGAAGATTTGAACCGGATACTTCTCGGCCTCGGAGAAGTACCTCTATGAATTTTTTTACCATAGGATGTTTACACCTGGGGATCTGGGCAACGCGAAGGCCGTGCGTGGTAGACCGTGATCGGCGTGTCAGTAATGACCGCCGAAGACTCTACTAGTAGGATGACGAGTGGCCGTGGTGACGCGACGAACGAGCCTCCGGCGAGACGGTGAACGTGCGACGACGAGAGTGTACGTGATCAATGCGGATCGACGCCGCCGTTGAGGAGCTTCATTCCGACCAATTCCGCCCAATCTCGACCGAATGTCAAACGCCACCTTCCTCCATATACAAATACGTTTGGTTCCGTGAATAAATTATGAGCGTGGACAGCGAGAACAAGTCAAGCGAGGCGCGTACGATCGCGCCGTACAGCGCGGAGAACGGCACCGACGGTGGTACCGAGGGTGGACCGGTGACGCCGGATATGGTGCTCCGATTGCCCACTATCACGGACAGTATGTTTCCACTTGGAATTTAAATACCTACCACTAATAGTATCTTAACTCTCCCAATACTTGTCACTCGTCAAATTACTCTCACGCACAGATAATAATACGTTTTCAGAGTACCTCTGCTCTCCTGAAGCCAACATCTATGACATAGACTTCACGAGATTCCAAATTAGGGATCTAGAAACTGGTGCCGTACTGTTTGAGATAACAAAGCCTCCTGCCAGTGGTGCGTAATATATTTTGAATGTCACATTTTTTCTATAATTAACTTTAGTATTTAGAAAACTCATCCCCTACATAATGGATAATGAAAAAAAAATCTTAATCTTTAAATGAATTTATAATAATGCTATTATTTAATGTACTTGTTCTTGAATGAGCAATTGTGATATTTAATGTGTAATACATTTTTTTTATAATGTAAAAGTTATAGTCATATTCAGCAATAGTAACAAAATTAACAGTTATTTTTATATATTGTTACTTTTGATATTTTGAACTTATTTGTGACATAATTTTTAATTTACCAGAATGTGATGCTCATCAAGAGCTGGAACCAGATTGCGAAGAGCTCGGATCTGAGGATGCAAACACGGGACGCTTTGTGCGATATCAATTCACGCCGCAATTTCTGAAGTTAAAGACGGTCGGAGCAACAATCGAATTTCTAGTAGGGCCTAAGCCGATTAATAACTTCCGGATGATAGAACGGCACTTTTTCCGAGACAGATTGCTGAAAACCTTCGATTTTCAATTCGGATTTTGCATACCAAACAGCAAAAACACATGCGAACACATCTATGAGTTTCCAACATTGCCTGCGGATCTAGGTGAGTCGCCAAAAGGAATTTCAATATCTCGTCGTACACCTGAAACTGTGTGACGAAGAATTTGCAATTCTAAACAAACGTGCATGTCTTTCCAGTTTCCGAAATGATCGGGAACCCGTTCGAGACGCGATCCGATTCGTTTTATTTCGTCGACAATCAGCTTGTGATGCACAATAAGGCCGACTACGCATACAACGGTGGGCATACGCACGACGTATTGTAATGTGCAGTTTGTTGATTAGTACTATTGCAAGTGATATATTAGGATTATAAAAGTATATCACAGTTACATGTTACAGCGATGATCGGTCTGCACAGATTTGGCTAGCGATTTGACGTTTCGTCTTTCGGCACAAAAAAAACGAGCTTAAAAAAAATTTGCGGATCAGCAAATGATCCTCGGACACGCGAAATATAATATTGTTGCAACGGAAACGCTTTACTCTAAAGCTACATTTGATTCGTTGACAAATTAAATATAGTTCCTATTTTTCTTTAGTAAAAAGAAAGAAACCGTTATTTATTTATAAATTATTATCGAATCAGAGAGTGATATTTAGTTTTATAGAATGTTTTAATGGTGTCTGCCCTCTCACGCGCGATGCATTCGCTAGCGGCGAGTATATCGTTATATACGAGCACATGTAGCACACTAACACACGTGGCCTCCGAGTGGAATTACATCTGATTCCACGAGCTTTCTTCGAAGTTACAGCCTATGCAGTTCTCACGGTAATAAAATGTGCGACGGGGGGCAAACTGAAATTAGGAATTGCGACGCTCTTTCGACGCTCAACGGCGCTTTTCTGCCGCGCGATACACATAACTTGCAGTTTCTTTCCACACCCTTACACGACTGCTATCGTTTGAATACTTTTCACATTGTTCTGTAATATTTGTGAAGTTCATCCAAAATACACGAATATATTTACAAAGGACATTTGACTTTTTCTCTTTACATGTTCACGAGCGTCACAAGGACGAATAATTTATAAAAGTTGTTAGAAGGTCGACGAATTCGTTGGGCTTGTCCGCGTGAACCCAGTGGCTCGCCCCATCGATGTAGTGAAACTCCGCCTTGGTGAACAGCTTCTTGATCGCTTTGTGATCCTTCGCTTGTATGTAATCGCTATTAGCACCACCTATGAACAACGTGGGACCGTCGTAGATCCTCGTGCCTACATTAGGAAATACGGCTATCTGAGTCGAGAATGCCTGCTCCAGCACCGGTAAATTAACTCGCCATTTATACTTTCCCGCGTCCGCCTCCACCAAATTCGTCAGTATGAACTGTGCAGACAAGATATATGAATGAGACTTTCGTGTCAAAGGTGAAACACAAGACGAGAAGGGAACCGTTACCTGACGCATCGAGCTGGACTTAATGGACTTGGATAATTGTTGGTCCACCGTTTTGCGCGCCTTCGACAGGGTGAGGCTTCCGTCCACCATCACCAGACGCATGGCCTCGAAGATCCTCTCCATCTGCATGAGATTGGGGCTGGCTCTCACGGGGGACATATCGACGACCACCAATTTCTCGACGTATTGCGGAAAATTCAACGCGGTGTACATAACGGCCGAGCCGCCCATACTGTGGCCGACCAGGACGGCTTTCCCAAAGCCCAGGTCGCCCAGGAGTTGAACCATATCCCCTGCCATGTCCTTGTAGGACATGTTCGACGAGTGTGGAGAGTCACCGTGATTTCTGGCGTCCACCGCTATGACCTGTGCATTTACTTTCTTAAGCACAACAAAGTTACTTTTTTTTTTACTATAGATACTATAATAACGATCTGAGAAACAAAATGCACAGTTGCTCCAAGTTAAAAGATGTTAAAAACTCGCAAGTTTAGTACGTCTCTTTCGTAGATTGCCAGAGGGGAGAGCTATCTACCTTGCGCTTAGTCTTTTGGTGGATCGATTTCGACAGCGAGTTCCAATTGTTCTTCGAGCCGAAGAGACCGTGCATAATAATAATAGGTCCTTTCACATCCTGCTCCTGTTCCTTCACCGACTCGTACGAGGTGTAGGCGAGTTTCACTGGCACGGTTCTTGGAGGAAGAGGAAAAACAGGTTAGGAAGAGGCGCATGAATTAAAAGCACAGGTACGCGTTTCACAGCGTGAATATATACCTACAATAGCAGATTGCTGCGTAAACATTGGCGGCAGGAGGAATGCAGGTTTTTAGCTGAACGAGGTAAACCGGTCGGTTTCCTCCACGGAAGAAGCACCGATAAATTTCGGCCTATCATTATCGAATCGGGTGCCAATGCACTCGCACGTATATCGTCCGTTCTTTAACAATCAAATCCTAAAAAATCACAGAGGCCTCTGATAGTCGCGCATGATTTGCTATTTATAAATTCTTGTTAGCCAAAACTGACTTAGCACGCGCGCGCGCGCGCATATCCCGATGTTTATAACATACTTTTACTTTTCCCTTCGGCAATTTAATAGCATACGCGTCAGTCCGGTCAGCTGTGTGGATCTGATTCGTCCTCCCCTTATCAGAATGAGTCAAGGCGGATATACAATAAATTTCACTGCACGTCAACTTGCGGATTTTACAATTTCGATCAAATTGGGGATTTGAGAGAGAAAAAAAAAAGCTCTTTTTGTCATAATTTGAAAATATTTCGTTTCCAGCTGCATTTCTATCATTAAAGAATTTTTGGCATCATTCGAGACCATTGATTCCTAATGAAAAATAACTGAATTTGAGGAGCATATGATCTATGCGCGCAATTTTGTTTGACGCTTTCGTCAGCTGTGATCAGCTGTGATTTAAAGCTCTAATTTAAAGCTTTGAATTACGGCCGGTATTCACATAAGCGCTTTCGAGTGCAGTAGTTTTGATAAACGCTATATTGACCAATCAATATCGATGCTCCGGAGCGTCTGTAACGCTACCTGGAAGCGCATGAGCGAAGCACGAGACACATTTCCGCATGATACGTGGCGACGTGCATACGTGGCGCTGTAGTAGCAACATGCCGCTGTGAAGTGGGCGAACGAGATCGGTTCATCGGTGCGCGTACGGGCGAGGAGAAGCATATGTCATTTTTATGATTGTTTAGTAAAATTCGAGGAATGAAAATGAGGTGGCTCGGTACGTGCGTATTTCTCGTCGCATCCATCGTCAGCGTGCGTTGCTACTTTATCACGGTGGACGCCCACGCGGAGGAATGTTTCTTCGATAAGGTCGAATTCGGCACCAAGATGGGTTAGTTTTTCTATTGCGCTTCGTTTCTCTCGTCGCGATTTGGGCGAATATCTTTGTCCGACGACGTTAGTCGGCCTAATTTAGATTAATCCTGTCAGTTGTTTTATCGATTACATGATAATTACTGCTTTACCGTTTTATTTATTTTTTTTTTATAATTGCTATTTTATCGATTTCTTTACTTTTTAACTTCATAGGTATATAATTTACAAACGTATTTGTATACAAATTTAAATTAATTGTACAAAAATGTGTAAAAACTAATTTTTACTTCCTAAAAAATGATCTATCTGGATTATACAAATTTTGTGTATAATATATATTTGAATTCATTTTAGTTTATTTTACTCCGCTAATTGTATACTAAAGCGAAGGTAAATAATTATATGACTAATTCTAATAAACATGTCTGTTTAAAGTTTTCAGTCGATTTTTTATTAATATTAAGAAAAATTAATTATTAAAAGAGAAATTTTAATAAATTAACAGAAATTTATCAATTCATGTTTTTATCAATGTATAATTTTACGCTTGCAGGTCTTACATTTGAAATAGCGGAAGGTGGATTCTTAGATATAGATGTTAAGATAGTCGGCCCTGACGGTAGAATAATCTACCAAGGCGAGCAGGAGAGTAGCGGGAAATACACGTTCGCCGCGCACACTTCGGGTGTCTACACTTACTGCTTCAGCAATCAGAAGAGCACGATGACGCCGAAAGTGGTGATGTTCAATATGGACATTGACGAAAATCGGAAGCAGACTGAGGAAAACGCCGGTGCGGAGGGTCAGGATGGAGATGGCAATCATGGAAAATTGGATGACATGATCAAAGACTTGAGCACCAGCTTGTGGGGTGTGAAGAACGAGCAGGAGTACATGCAGGTATTAACGGGGAAGAGTCGTGCGCTTCCCTGGCTGTGTTCCACTTGACGCTCGCAACGCTCTTGCAATCATTTCATCCTTGTTCAACAAATTTTAAACAAGGACAGTAATGCTCGCGAGCGTTAAGTGGAACGCATCCCCTATCGATGTTCAATTTACCGATCGGATTTAAACGTTCACGAGCGATTTCTTGCCCGATTTCAGGTACGCGATCGCAATCACAGAGCGATCAACGAGAGTACAAATTCCCGCGTCGTGGTGTGGGCGTTCTTCGAAGCCATGGTACTGGTATGTGTGACGATAGGGCAAATCTTATACTTGAAGCGATTCTTCGAGGTTCGGAGAATCGTGTAACTCTTTAGGGTAACTAATGATACACTACGTGAATCAATTGTACATTTTTCTATGTAATTAAATTATACATTCTCGTTCACAATAAGTCATTTGCCGCGGTAATAAATGTGCTCTCCATTTTGTCGAGATAAAATCCGAACTGTACATCGCTAGCAGTAAGTCCTATGTTTATATAAGGTTTCTAATAAACAAAGAATTTGTTAATGGGCCGATCAAGATCTTGTGCAATCGCGAGCGTTTTCACAACGGTGGAACGATCAAGAAAAATATGTAATAATGGAAAAAAAAATACACAATCTGCATCTTTCTGTAATTGTCAGTTGTATTCGGCCGGTGAGTATGTATACCTATAGTTCCACTTATTGGTTGAACATGTTTTCAATTAACGTTGAAATTTCACCTGGAACCAGTTTCTTTGTTATAGTCGTCCTTCCTATCTCATGTGTGTGTGGTTAATTAACAACATTTGGCTGATGAAAAGATGCCTGCTTCACAATAATGGCGTGACAATCGAGGGACGATTTCCTGCGGAAAGAAAAACGCGCGAGGGACACGATAACGATCGCAGGGCCGAGTCTAGCATTTTTCTCGGTGACAACGTTTCGTGGCGTAAAGGCCTTCAATTAATGTTACCCCGTTGAGCGGTGGTCGAGAAAAGGGAACATAATCTGCCGCAATTAAGGTGATCGATCGCGCGTGTCGCTTCGATTGGAAGGAGCGACGGGTTGGGGGGAGGAGGGGAAGAGGGTAAGAGGGATAGATTAATCGATGGCGATTATCGTATTGGCGCGCGTCGGGATACACTCGGCGGATATATCTCGACGCGGTGTTTATATCGCGACGGCGGCACGTTTTTCCCGTACAAAGATAGTAACGGTGGGACGTGGGGGAGAGAGTGAGAGAGAGGCCGCATCATCAACATCGTCGAAGCGACGCGTACGCGATGACGTAACGGATTATCGATTACGTTTTGCGACACGTGTGAGAGCACGTTGATCGGGAACGTGACACCCGCCGATCCGGGGAGTTTCGCGGCTGCGAGATTCATCGGCGGATAGCGGCGGTGAAATCGGCCCGCGGGAGCGATCGGCATTGCTTTCCGGAATGGAAGAAGCCAATTAAAGGGGGGAAGAGGAGTGGGTTGGGAGAGGCGATCGCGCGTAACGGTATAATTAAAGGGAAGAGAGGCCAATCGAGAAAGAAAGCGCCGATGAATAAACCGTATCTCCTCATCTCTGCGGCTGGCGGGGCCGTCTAACGAGCGGCGGGGATTTTTCTTTTTCCTCCTTTTTTTTTCTTCTTTCGTAAATGGAGGCTGTTTATCTCGTCGCGCGCGGTAAAGCGCCGATTACGGAGCCGAGATGGACCCGCAATCACGCCGCGCGTTTAGCGCTAAACGCCCCCCGTGCGGCCGTCCGTTGATCGCCGTCGTGACATCGAATGCGATCATCGCGATAGATGAACGGTCGCAGTTGGCGCCAAACGGTCCTTCGGAGGAAGAAGGACGCATATATAGGAGGGTCGACTTCGACTCTGAATTAACTTAATCTCTGATCCGATTAACTTATCAAAGTAATTATACCTGTAATACTTCGTTAACACATGGACAGAATTATTAGCTTCTTTTTGTAATTTAACATATGAAAGAAATAGATTAGGAACAACGAATTAAAAATTTTACTCTACGCAATTCTTAAATTAATCATCGATTAGATTAATGGGAATTTGATCGGAATTGTTTAGAGACTTGACGGTTTGTATTCATGAATGCACAATTCCGTTTGTAGGCCAATAGGAGATCTATGTATCTCATGTAAGAATTAATGAATTTTGATTTGGATAATTTATCAATTTTATTATAATTTATTGACTAACAAAACGTAAATTACAATTATTATAATGATAATAATTCTATTATTATTGGCGCTGCAAATTAGATTTGTTTGAGACAAACTTTCAAATGATTGTTCTACTCAAGTTGATCTACTAATTAATTTTGTTTCATTATTTTTTGTACACAACTTTTTGTATTATAACTGTAACATCAGATTTTAAAGTGATATTTTTGTCCTGAAGAATAGAAATTATCAGAACAAAAAGGTGAATAAATCTGAAAACTGTATTTACACGATTAAACACAATGTCAAATGAAGATTTTTAAAGATTCTAAAATAAGTTCTTTTTTTTGTAATAAAGAAAAAAGATTTTAAGATAGAAGAACGAAATTCTGATATTCTCTTTTTCCGGAAAGTCTTGAAAGAAAAACTTTTCACGATTTTTTTCTACTTCATCAATTTTATTCATTTAGAGAGAAAGAAGAAAATTCTTTTCATGTGTATATTACATGTATTATTTTTAAAACGTTTGTTTTATATATATATTTTTTAATTTACGTGCGTAGTGGTGTCCTAATTGTATTGATACCTTTCTTAGATTTTGCGTTTCGTATGTTTCAAGCTTATTTTAAGTTATGTGGAACATGTCGGATATTATATATTTGTGTGACACCCTAATCCCAATCGGGGGTTCCTTGAAAGGAATCTCCAGGATTTTCGGGTATCGCTGTTCGAGTGGCGGTCTTGTTACACGAGCGGCTCGAAGGATACGGAGGATTAATTGGCGGGTCCGCGCGATCGCGCGCGCCGGTCGCTACCCCTCGCCCTGCTTCCTCGCCCTCCTCACCCTTCCCTTGCGCAGCGATCCCTTCGAAGGGGTTGCACGCCACGTCGGATCTTCAGCCGGAGTGGCGAGAGAAGAGAAAAAAAAGAAGAGAGAGCACACGCAGAGGAGAAACGAAAGAAAGGAGCTGCTAATTGACACGGGCGATTGCACGTAACGGTATAATTAGAGAAAAGAATACGCGGAGAACCCGGGCCGGTGCACCGATGAAACCAATGAACCAGCCACCGGCGCGGCAAAGGGGGGAGAGAGGGAAGAAACGAGAAAGGCAAAGAGAGAAAGAAAGAGTGAGAAGATACGGCGAGCGGGGTGATGGGAGAGAGATGGAACGGAAAGGCAGAAAAGCAGCAGGGGAGAGAAGCAGCCGGCGGGTTTCGTGCGACCATCGAGGGGTTCCCTCACCGAGAGAAACGAGCCGCGGGCCTGCGGTAAGAGAGATAGAGCGAGAAGGAGAGGGAGCAAGAGAACGAGATCGAGAGCGAGGGCAAGGGAGAAAGGGGGAGAGAGAGAGAGAGAGAGAGAGAAGCGCTGATCGAAGGGATCTGAGAAGGGGTACGCGGCGACCAGAGGGAGAGACAGAGATAGACTAAACGAGGGGGGGAGGAGCGGGAGGGAGAGCGAAAAGAGAGGGACCATAGGCTCGTGGATCCTGCCGCGATCATTCTGTACCAACACGCTGCGCCGGTCGGTTTCGCAGCGTTCCCCCAGTGCCCTCCGATCAGCACCACGAGGAGGAACAGCAGCACCCGTTCTCCAACGAGGTCACTTCCGCGTCCCTCCGTTGAGGAAGAGCCACCGTTGTGGAAGAGTCCCCGGATCGCCAAACTGGGCGACAATTCCTCGGACGTTTTTCTTCTTGCCGCGAGATACGCGAGGACGCCGCGAAGACGAGACTCGGGGGAAGTGCCCTCACCGGTGAAAGGTGCCGCGAGAGTCTGTTTTTTTTTCTTTCTTCCTTCATCTCCCGGGAGCTCGATTCCGCCGGGACCAGACTTCTTCATCCGGACGATTTTTGGCAAGATCGTTTCTCGATCAAGAAGCGCCGTTGATTACCCGAAGAAGTTCCCGCCAGATCATCCAGAAACGGCCGGTCTTGCTGCCTGGCGAGTCGCGGATGAAGATCCAGGTTTTTTAAGCTTGAGCGGAATTCCTCGTTCTTTCATGCGGGGGATCATTGTGGGCAACATCGACATTGCCGCTCGTTGGAGAAGATTTAACCGAAAATCGGATTATACGGTGAACGAACCCCGTTTGAATGCTGAAGAATTTTCAAGGACCTTTATGCGACATACAAAAACGAGCACTCGAGGGATCGTCGAATAATGCACCTCGGTAGCTCACTTTTATCTCGGACGTTCGATCGGATGACAGGTTCTCCAGTAGAACAAGAGCAACAACCGTCTGCGGGCGCATCCGGGCGGAACGTGCAGGTCGAGATATAAGTTTAACGTCGAGATTCGTTGAAGCGGCAATTAACGCGACGCATTAAGGATCGAGGGCGCGATCTTGGACGATCGAAGCGTCTCCTCGAGAGCGTATCCTTAGAGAGCCCGAGAATCAAGTGCGGGAATCTCGTGACCAGTCGCGCTGAACGGCGCGACTCGTTTACCGCGGGCTCACGGCGGCGGCGGCGGCGAAAGAGTTCGACGGAAATTATTCCGTCAAGATCGCAATCGCGCGTGCCCGCGCGACCGCGCGAGCAGCTCGCCCAGGCGATCAGGTTTCGCTCCGGGAAGAAAACTCGCTCCTCGAGCGCGTTCTCCGTCGCGTCGCGTCGCGCCGCGCCGTGCCGGGGAAGGATTGTCGGAGTGCAGTATACACGATACTACGGTCCGAGATCTTCTCCGCGCAATCCGAGAGAACCGGGCCGAACCAATTATGCGAGCGAGGTGGGTGTTATGGGCCGCAAAATGAGACGTGAAACGGCGCGGAGTCGTGTCGCGCGAGGAAGGAGAGGAACGTTTCCGTCCGGAGGACTGTTTACGATTCAACAAGGGACGAGGGCCTGTCGCGGCGATTCCCGATAAGGGAGGACAGCAAGATCGATTCGCGTCGTGATCGCGGTATTATCGCGGAAGGACCAGCGAGCGATACGGGATTATCTCGGCGAGTCGAGCCGGGGCGCAATTATCTCTGATACTTAACGACTGCGGCCTGCTCCGTACCGGTGAGTAATTATTCAATTAAACGGCAACTCGCCGTGGGTCATCCCGACAAGTTTAGTATAATGGACAATCCGTCGTGATGAACGCCGTACGATTATTATTATTCTCAAGATAATAAATATTCGAGAGTTCAGGAACATAAAAGCGCGTGTAATTAAGCTAATTGTAATATAATACAATTTAATTATTTATCAAATTATGAAATGCAAAAGATTATAATAATTTTATACATAACGTGGATATAACTCTTTTTTTATACACGCAGTCATTATACCAATGGTAAAACCAAAGATCATTACTATCATACTCTCTAAATCTGAATCAGTGCATATAGTCACTGATTATCAACGGTTATTCATCGAATGCATCAGTACCAAGTGCCATTTCACTGGTAATCAGTGAAATTATAGTTAATATTAATAGTTTAATTATAGAGTATGAGTAAAATTATAGCTAGATTATAAGTGCCTGACTCAATCAGTGATTTTTCAGTACTTTTCCTGCACTGATTCAGATTTAGAGAGCAAGCTTTGAAAATTTTATTAGTTTAAGCAGATCGTATTGAACAGATATACATTTCGCACAATAGAAGAACAAATAATTTCATTCTTTTGGATGGTTAATAACAGAAATAGGAATAATATATAGGAATAATAATAATTAAAATGCAATTATGCGACTCCGAGAGCGCGTTTGCGAACGATCCTTATTTCATGTTTTTATCACGAATTTAACGTTAACGACATGTTCAGCTTTCGTAATAAAAATTATAATAAGATCCTTTCGGCGAAGAACGCGGTGCTTGTAGCGCGCGAATGACGCGGTCTGATCGCGGATCGAAACACGCGTACGGACAACTGTCAACCGTCGTAACAGGATCTCGTTAGCAGGCGGTCGATATATAATGCTATACGCGATGACGGTGTACGGTGGCGGTCCGATACTCGACAAAGGCGACCGTTGAGATAAGCTTTCATCGGCACGATCGCTCGCCGGCGTTGCGAAAGGGTTGCGCGACTTTAAAGACGCTCAACCCTTTCACTTTCCACCTTTCCATTGTTCGCGCGGGCGTGATTCGAAATTTTAAGTAAGGTAATCTGCAGCACGCATTGCCTGCCTGCAGCCTGCTTGCCTGTGGGGGATACTCCGAAATCGGTCCGTACCGATATGAGCTATAGCCCTGCATGCCCCAAAGAGAACGAAACGTCGCGTGCGACGGAAAGGATCAAAACTCTCAAATACTTTGGCATGTATATTCTTGTAACGTTTCGTGCTGGCGCGATGCATATATAAATCGTGACTTTCTAAGAAACATTTCCGTACGCGCGTTTGCCGGAACTTTCTCGCTCAAAACCGAATCACTCGTTCGATCCCGAGGCAAAGGCCTCGTCGTTTGATTCATCCGGAACATAACGTTGATGTAAAAAAATTGTGCCTCTCGCAGACAAAGATTACTAGATTCCCGAAGAGATATCGTCGCCGAGAAAGAGGGAGGGGGAAGAAAAAGAGAGATATATCATAAACGATCGCGGAATCGACTCGAGATATGAGCTGAGCCGAGTCGAGAGAATTTCCGCCTGATGGTCGTTGGACCGGCAATGATTTACCGATGTCTCGGCGGATTAATAGGCGAGACCCCCTTTTAACGGCTCAGCCGCGACTCGCCCGGAGTTCATCTCGCAAATGACCATTCCGTTATGCCTTGACTTTGCTCCACTTTGCAACCGTCACGAACAATAGGCACGTTCCGCGAAGCGTCATTGATCTCACTTCCGTAAATTGTAGAAATCATTTCTCACGGAATATTTTCCATGAGGAATGATCCGATAGAGAAGGATCCGAATAGAAAAGAAATCTGATATTAGAAGACCGCTTGTATTTCCCTAATTTCGACTTTTGTGGCACCAATGAATTTTCTAGAAAGCTGATCGCACTTTTGTCTTCTTGGGATAGGGAAATGTAATGTTTTCAAACTAAATTTCTCTCTCCCTTCTCACGCGCTCTTTCGCCGTGAAATTACCTGTAAAGATGTTCCCCCTTCGTATAATCTTCGAACAATCGGAAAACTAGTACGATCGCGCGACGCGAAAGAAGGAGGGACTTAATCTCTCGCCCGAGAGTCCCCGGGATTGTTGCTGTTTAATGACGCCGGTCGTTATCGGGTGAATAATATCGCGTCGCGCTCGCCGTCGCCGTCGCCGCGCCGTTCCGCGCCCTCGACAACGTCTTTTAAACGAGGTGAAAAGCGCGTTTTAAAACTGTCGCCTTTTACGATCGCGCGCCGCGCCATTAAGCCGCGCCGCACCGCGCCGTGCCGCGCGGAAATATTCGCCGGGTATAAGATATTTCTCGCGCGACGCATCATCGACGCGATTATGCGCTTCTCGCGTGTGGGAGCTCTATCGCGCGCGGGCCCGCGACGACGATGAGCTGGCATTGAACTGCAGCCTCTCTCAGAGGTGTAATCACCGGGGATCATTTTGTAGAGACATTTAGAGACGCGCGGTATACATAACGACGGATCTCGCGATCCGGACTTCGTAATACGGAGACGACGAGGCCGTGTAACTCCATTACCTTAGATCGGATCGGATCGCGATTATCCCCTGGACCCTTGATCGCGCCGAGGAGGGAAAAGGAAGGAGGGACTCTCGACGTCGACGTGTTGCGACAATCCCTCGCGGAGAGATATAATTTCCGAAAGCTGGTCCTTCACGAGATCAACTCGGCGGCGGATCTTATCGCATTCTCGGCTCGTTATTATCGAGCATTTAATATTATAACTGTGCCATCTCGGATAAAACGCGTGTACGCGTGTAAAACGTTTCTGAATCCATCAGAGAAAATCCATGAGCTTCGGTTATTGTTTATGGTCACGTGCGTTACTTACGATTCAAAAACGAGAAGGTACGACGTCGTTACGCCGATACCTTCCAATTAAAAGTCAGTTCTCTGCCTGGAGGATAAATTAGTGCGGCTGAATGTTAATAAGGTACCTTCACGAAAGCGTCGTAAAAGTTATGAGTTACGATTGGATGGAGTGGCGGATACCTACGCACGTATACAGTGAGCGTAATCAACGATTACAATGTCCGACGAGGGTCTTTTGTGTTCCTTTCACGTGTCTGTAAAAAGGGACTCTCTCTCTCCCCCCCTCCCCCTCTTGATGTACGTAATTACTCTTCAGCGTCGTTGCAATCTTTCCGAGTACTCTTCACTCTCGGCTCGGTCGCTTTCGCTCATTCGATTCGGTTTTACCGATATAGTGCGTCCGCGTCCTCGAATGATCTTTTATCGAACATTTATTGGACCGCGCGCTCCGTTTCTCCTTTGAAAAATATCAAGAGATTAACGCACGACGTGTTATGTCCATTTCTATCATTGTAGATTAATCTCGGTTAAACTTACTTTAATCTCGGTTTAACTTACGCTTTATCTTTTTCTGATTCTTGGAACTAGAGGAAGATAAAAAGTAAGTTAAATCAAGATTAAAGTTAAGCATTAACAGAAATGGACATTAATCGAACAGAGTCAATAAAGCCCATTTTTAAGACGTTTAAAATATTCTATTTTAAAACACCCTGTACTACCATCGATTTCGCAATCGCGGTTTTTGTAAAACAACGTACTTATGTATGTACGAATACACACGTTGTATTACAGAGATCCTCGGATTATGCGAAGCCTCCCATCGCAAACTCCTAAAAGGCAGAACGATCCTTTCCATCGGCACGGAGTTTGTCTTTCCGCAGTTGACTGGTTTTTCTTCCATTGAATTGTTCTAGCAAGTCGTATCCTCGTATGCAGTACCGTGTATTGACAATCGTCGACCGGTCTCACTGTACTCGCGCGTACCCGCGTGCTTCTCCGAGTCCCATCAGGTCCCCGATCACCTCCCGCCCCCCGATCTTCACCGCCTTTCCACCGCGCGGCCTTTCCTCTTTTTCTTTCCGTCTCTCGTCTTTCTTCCCTTCCTCCTCTCTTTCCTGCCGTTCGCGGGGCCCTTCTACATCCCCCTCTTTGCCCCTTCCCGTTGCATCGCTCCTCTCGGCCACGCTCTCTCCCCGGCCCCGGTAAGGCTCTCGTTTTCCTCCGCGTACGCGCACCTCAAGTGTGTGTACACTCCGTCCTTAGCTTCCAGCTTCGTTAAGAGGGCTCGAGTCGTCGTCTTGGCGCGCTCCGTGAAAATCTAGAGCCTATTGCCCTCCTCCCTCGGGGGAACCGTTTGACGCGACTCGGGTTCTCTCTCTCTCTCTCTCTCTCTCTCTCTCTCTCTCTTTCTCTCTCGCGCGCGCGCGCGAGCACGCTGTCTTATCTAGTGAATACAATTAACGGCCTACCTGTATCGACGATTCTAATCTACCTCCACGTTCCCGAGATCCTTAAACGCGACGACGCGAATTTTGCTCTCTTTTTCCTCCTGCGACTTTCCGCGTTTGCACTCCGAGCAACCGACAACGCGAATCGGCATTTTATCTGCTCTATCACCTATCGCCGATAAATTCGCTATTGGAAAAACGCTTGGAGATAACGCCAATTACGCGATAGGCCAAGAGCGCGTAATAAAGCGAGCATAAGCAATTCATTAAGCTCGCTTATATAAACTCGATGATGCGCGAAATCGCGCGCGTCATTTGTAATAATCTGGAAATTCGAAACAAAAAAAATAAGATAAAAAAACGAACAGAATTTTACATTTCGAATTTGTCATTATTTTTTTCTTCTCTCTTGTTCATTCTTCGCAAAGGATCTATCGCGATGTCGCGATGTTAACAGCGAGAATATATGTAAATCGTCGCTTCTTGCGCTACGGCCGGAATCCGAACGTTTTAATCGGCCTCGCGTTACAATCACATTTTACGATTCGGCTGCAGCCAGCGCGCGCGTTACCGGCTTCTGTCACGGGGATTATGCAAGCGCGCGACTACTCGAGTAGCCGAGCAAAGTACGTCGTTATGCACGTGCACCTAATATTAGATTTGAGATTCTCTCTCTTTCTCCTTCTGCACATTTCTCCTCTCTCTCTCTCTCTTTCTTTCTCTCTCTCCTTTTGCCTCTATACTCATTATAACTACACCCGTGTACGGCCAATGGGGGAATCGGCAATTGGCTCATTCCGCAGCAGACGCAACGGCGCTTATTGCATCCTATATCGCCCGGTGCATGTCTTGTTCAGACTGCGAGCCTCCCGAGCGAGATACTTTACCGCTGATATAATCCTCGCGGCTGGTCCACGCGGCGCGGCGGCGGGGACGCCGCGCGCTATACGCCGAAGTACGCGGCCGTTTACATTCCCGCCGTGATCGCGAATGCGTTTTATGCGCCGGCTAATATCGCCGGGGCCGATCGCGTGGGCTAGATATAGACGGCGATGTGCTGCATAAGTATGTATACACGCGGACGCGCGCGCGTGTACACCTGCGTGTACGTACGTGTGTTATACCAGTTTCCGCGGGCTGCAGGGATGTATAGCCACCGCGCTTATGGTGAGAGCTGCTATAGCGGTCCGCGCGAAAGCTGGCTGGGAGCTACCGCGTCTCTTCTCCTCTCACCTTCTCGTTTCCCCCTCGTATATGGAGAATTTCTGCGCAGAAACGATCGGGGATCGGACACGCGTGCCGTGGCGAGGAGGAGTCTGTCCTCGAAATTGGAGATGTTAAAATTTAACGTGTCCTGCACGTTTCGGACACGCGCCGGACTGATAATGATTAGATCGAATTGACGAATTCAATTCAAATTGACTGGCGCCGTTCTGTCATCTCGCGCCGTTAATACCGTTAAAGGATTTACTCGATGCTATTTGCATAATGTCGTCGTAAGACGTCGTAAGATGGTACTTGACGTTGACGAAAGCGGACGTGTAGGAACGCTTCCACGCGACACGGCCGCGATGAGCCTCGCACGCGGGCTCGCGCATGTTTCGGCTACGTCACTGTCCCGCCGTGGGTAGCAGCGGAGCCAGGGCCATGAGTTTCGCCACGGGCTGACCTCGGAACGAAGGGACAACGGTGTTGTCACACACCGAGTCCTCCCGGGTACCCTACGATCACGGTACACCTTGCGCGCGCCCGTACGTACAACGCGCGGCGTATATATTATATACGCGGCGCGGCGTCGCTCTCACGTTGCACAAACTGTTGATAGCAGCGGGCGTTGAGTTACAATTTCGCAGAGTCTATCAGCTGGCCCCGCGTCACGTTGTCGCGCCTTCGGCTGAACGCGCGTTCTATCTGGACGCTGAAAGGACTGCACGATCCCCGGCCGAAAGTGCGAGCTCTGTTCTCGTCGCGATATCTTCGTGTAACATTACTGATTGTGAGTCTGGACAGGATCAAACACGGCCTGCAGGAATTATTCTTATCCGCGTCTAAATAATTAAACTTAATTATCGTTAATGGATGAATTGTAATTAATCCGACCGCAGATGTAGATTATTTATGATCGTCTTATCATGTTTCAAGTCTTGAAAGCTAGTATGCAGATACCAGTCTTCTACAGTTATATTCTACGAATGATTGAAGAGAGAATTTTAATCACATGATTTATCGCTATATTCTATATCAAATTCTTAATTATAGTATTATTATAACATATGCATTGTTAATCTTAATTTTTTAATTTTGCTAACTTCTAAACGCGAATTCCCGCTGTTCCCCGAGTTTCCCCGATTTCCAAGCTTCACGAGTTCGACCGTATCTTCAAAAGCGGCGTTTAATTGAGACTCGATTTTTCCGCCGGCGACCGTGTGATGCATCGATCTGACCTTGATTTCACCGTTCCACGGTCACCGCTTCTTTTTCGTCCGATCAGGCACGATTTACGGCCGACTGCGCCGGCGGTCTTCCTTAATGAAGCGATTAATACGGTGCTCCTCCGCTCGCTTCGCAAATACTTGTAATGCAAAATCGCTCATTTCCTCCGATTGCCTTTGCAGGGGTGAAGGAGAAGGATGACGATGCGCGGCAATGGTCCACTCGTGATCCTGCGATCGCTGATGGTCGCCGCCGCCGCCGCCACGACGGTACCGGGGACCTGGATGTAAGTATAATCTTTCGGCACAATGCGACGATTTTTCCTTTCCTTTTCTTTTTTTTCCAATCGCGCGAATCGTACGGTGTCAACCGGTTTTATGCGCGCGTATTTATAGTTAGACGGGACGCGATTTTTTTTTTCATTAGGCTCGCGCGACTCTTAAAATAAGCCGACGTCGAAGGACAAGGGGTGCCCTACATATCGCCGATCGAAGGATGAACTGATGACGCCGGGGGGTGTCGCCGGGTTCTTACGGTGGAAGCTCACCATTATCCGAACGTCGTTTCATTGAATTTTCGATGATCCGGTAATTTCCGATATCGGCTAGGGTAATTGAAATTCTATTGTACATGGTGTGAAATACCGAGAGAGAGAGAGAGAGAGAGAGAGAGAGAGAGAGAAAGAGGCGAGCATGAATAAATTTACGGGTAAATTAATTGAGTTGCTAAACGAGCAGTTTATCTCGATAATGATTTGTGCTTCGTTAAAGAGGATATTGCAAAGCATGGTCCCGTCGCATGAATTGAAAGACGTTTTTTATTCACGGTAATTACATTACCGTCTTGAATTACCTGTTTTTTTTTTTTAGCTGAACTATTATACTGTATATTCTTGTACTTCAAATAAAATAGATATGAAAATATATTTGAAGTTTGACAAAAAAAAGGCGGGAAAGAAAGTTTTAGTGCAGTCCATGCAGCGACAAAGAGATAGGCTCTTTGTATTTCCATCTCGCAAAAATATAAATCGGCTAGCGATCTCTTTGTCGAATACGTTAATTGCATGGCGACGATCGTCCGGCGCGATTAAGCGAACACGTCGCGCGAAGAGACGAATCGACGCCGATTCTTCACGCGATTCCGAATTAATGGGCCTTTGTGCCCACGGCCACATCGTGGGAATCCGAGCGAGGTATCTTCTGGGGGTGCCCCCGAAAAACCTCTCTCTTTCGCCGCGACACGAAAGCTCAAAGCACGTTTCCCCACGTCGCCCTGGTGCACGTATCCCCGCCCCGTGCTCGCCGGGAGTGTGTCTAATCTCTGAATTGCCATTCCGGCCCCTGTGTTCTACCCCGCGTGAGCATGACCAATCACCGAATGGTCCCGGACGCCCGCGCTCCTTTGTGCGCCGTCCGGATCGCCCCAGACCTCCTTCGCGCCGAATTTACCTCTCACGTACCCCTCTATCTTTCACAACAAGGAAAAATCCTCGCCTAACCGCCGGCTTTTTTTTTCATCGGAATGCACTTACAAGCTCTCCCCTCCCTGAAGTTGCTCCCCTCGAACTTCTCGGACACGCTCTCGTTCAGATTAATCTGTAGCTATATAGGAGCGAAAGTCAGTAAAAGCCAGAAATCATCGCGTTTCCGACGTGTATACACATTAATTTGGCTTCCCTTCATCGTATCTCACGTAGCTCCTGCGACGTCCCAATTAATCGTCCCGTTGCTTAATTACTCGACGCGACGCGATTCTTTACACGCGACAGAATCCCATTCCGTCCCGCGGCTCGCGATCGCCTCGGGACACCCCGTATATATGCATGCGAACGCGCGTCGCTGCGGATGTAGCTGCAATCTCTTAGGAGACACGGGGCATTATTTTGCGGGCCCCGCGGCCCACGACGACGACGACGACGACGACGGTGTCCCGTGCGCGAGCGAGCGAGCGAGCGAGCGTTTTGCGTGGGCCGTACCCCGTCGAAATATTATCGCTCTTTCTGCAGCCGCGTGCCCTCTCTTCCCTGGGTCCGCGTGGTTTGTCCGCGCCATTGTTTTAGGGGAGTGTAAAGCCGATGATATATCGTCGTCGGAGCGTGTTCCAGAATATTAATGTCGTCTATTACACTCCCTAGACGCTCGCGCGCGGGCTTTTACGACTCCTCTTTCTCGCTCTTTCACTCTCGTCTCGATTGCGCGACGATACTTCGGCTGGATCTCGATTTGGAAGGGGGAATTATATATCGGGGTTTCTGTTTTCCGATATCGATACAAGAAAAACATCCCGCGAGGGCGTAACATTCCTTTTCCCGCGGAGTTTAAAGTGACTGTTTGTTCTCGCTAATAAACTATTACTTGTTGTACAATGTTTCAGGCGAGAGAGTTACTCACGTATTTTAACGTGAAATTAATACATTTAACGTACACTAACAGCTTGAAATCACACGAGTCATAATCTTCCGATCGTTGCTTCGTAGAAATACCCAAGTAACGCACGCTGTTGATACATCTCAAGCGGTCGCGTCACGCCGTCGACAATCCCGACGAGTATTCACCTGAGTCACGCTCGGGCAGGTCGTCCAGGTTGCACCGAGTCGCCCTGCAGGTTGTCGCGGCTCGCTGCGTACGTCGCGGCCGGTATGCGAGTATGAAGGCGATCGGGGAGACAGGAGCCTGGATCTGAGACTGTATATCGACACCGAGATATAAATTAAATAATAGACGAGAGAGATGTAAAGTGAAAAGTTTTTCTTTTTTAAATCAACGTGAAACTTGCCTGAAGATAAAAAAAAAATATTTTTCGTACAAATATCAACATGCCTAATCTTACGTAGAGTCAGTCACCTCTTTGTCGCGGCTATTCTAAATATTTGCGCTATAATTATATTTTTTATAATATATATATATATATATAAATCTAGATTTATCAAAGTATTATTTAATTAAAATCAAATAAAATATTTGCACAATATTTATATAAATCGCACGTCGCAGCAGTAGATTGATCGTTGTTTAAGAATTTAGATAACCGGAGGTAGTTTATCGGAGTCACCGGCGTAGAAATTGCGAGCGTTCAAATCCCCGGGTCGAAACCTACCTAACTCAGTCGAATGGCCGGCGATTTCGCCAACCATTTCCCGGGGATTTTTCTCAGGATGGACGATAGGGGGAATCTTGACGGGGGAGGGGGGGGAGGCGATTCGAACTCTCGGCTGGTGAAACCTTCGCTCGCGACAGCGTCCGTTTCGAATTTCAGATTGGCGGGGCCCTCGCCGGCGGGGCCGCGCCCGGCCAACTCCCGGCTTCTGTCTTTGACGGTGCCGTTCCATCATCTCGCTCGGTTGACTCACAAATGCGCCATTAAGGAGGAAATCCGAGGGCCGCTCCGCGCGCCCACGGACGCGGACGGACTCGCCGCGCCGCCCCGCACCGAATTTATATAATCGGCGTAACAAATCTCCAGGAGTTATTAAGGGGGCTGCAGTCGACGTTGCATCGACGACGCCGGCCGTTAAAATACTCTTACGCGACAAAGACTTTTATTCCAAATGAGAGAATTTTGGAATTTTGAACTTTTGAACTTACGACAGAATCGCAAGCGATCCGATATGTGTTTTTAAAAGGAAAAGAACATCCGGATTTGTCTTCGAAACATGATCGATATTTGTTGCGAGAGTTCTTATAACTGCTCTGTATCTAATAGAAACCTGGGTTTGCGACACTTGCCGCAACTGGAATCGACGCAGTCACTGGAGTCGTTCGACGCGAGTGCCTCCACGATCTGCGTCGGTCTGAAGGGCCTGTCCCCGGGCCAGGGGAAGCTTTGCCAGCTATCAGTGGACCACATGTACAGCGTGGCGAAGGGCGCGAAGCACGGCGTCATGGAGTGCCAGCATCAGTTCAAGGACAGAAGATGGAACTGCTCCACCGTCCACGATGAGACCGTGTTCGGTCCGATACTCAGAATAGGTACTAATCGTCGCTAACATGCTAACATATACCCAGGAACCGTTTAAATGGCACATCAATTTTTTTTCTATCTATTTTCCCTGATCAAAACTTGTTCCGTTTTTCTCAATCAAAATCACCGCTGTCCGTTGCAGCGAGCAGGGAAACCGCGTTCGTTCACGCGATCGCCGCCGCCGGAGTGGTCTACTCCATCAGCCGTTCCTGCCGGGACGGCCAGCTGTCGTCGTGCGGCTGTTCCAGGAGTAACAGGCCCAAGGATCTGAAGCGCGATTGGATCTGGGGCGGATGCGGGGATAATCTCGAGTACGGCTACAAGTAAGTGCGAAGCGCGTACGTCGTGTGCGCGGATATAAAGCCTGAGTCCCATAAAGACCGGTAACAGCTAAATATTCGAAGGAATACAAAACTCGTCCTTTTTCTCTTTCCTTTCTTTCTTTACCCCTGTTTTTTTTATCCCTCTTTGCGAGACGTCACGGAGAAGCCGGGGAAACTGGTTTGAGGCGTGTTTTCGTCGGTAATAAGATGTTGCGCCAGCGCGAAAAGATACGCGCGACGAGATGTTCTGCGCGCGGATCATTTTTCCTAGCTCTCTACATCTGATTAACACAGTGTAACCGGTCTTCGGCATTTGATTAATGATGGTCCATCGACGGATCGTAAAAGCCCGCGAGAGCATACCTAGATAACGACTACCGTCGTCATATATTTTGATAATAATAACAGTCACGTCGGGGATATATTATCGCGGCATTTTTCTGAAAACAAATTCCTTCAGCCATTGCTTATTAAAATTTATATGTATATATTATATATATACACACACACAATATTACATATATATAATATAATAGGGTGGGTCAAGAAAAAAAATATTTTGAAAATCGATTAGTAATACCCCCCAAAAGTTAGCTACGAACCTCATATGGTCTGGATACAATTCCATCAAAATCTATTAATACCTTCGATGATATTAATCGATTTCGATGAAATTTTACCCAGACCATATTGAGGTCCATAGCTACTTTTGGGGGGTATTACTAATTGATTAATTTTTTTCGGCCCACCCTAATAATATTATATTATAATATAATATTATATAGTAAATTTAATACAGTTATCGATATAATTAATCCTCCATCGTTTTACGAATTCATTGTCGAATTAATTATGAACGGACGTCCATTCAGATTCACGCAGGCATTCGTCGACGTGCGGGAACGGGAGCGCAGCTTCAAGAGAGGCAGCCGGGAGCAGGGCAGGAGCCTGATGAATCTGCACAACAACGAGGCCGGTCGTCGGGTAAAGTTTGTTCTTTTCTTAGCTTCTCGCGCGCGCGAGAATGTCTCTCTTTAAATGTCGCGGTCGCATTAAATGTACGCGCATATCGATTTCTTCTATGATTTAATGCGAATTCGCTGAACCAAAGCGCGCTAACGAAACTAATGCGCCAACCGTATATCCATCCCCCGCAGGCCGTCATCAAAAGGTCCAAGGTGACGTGCAAATGTCACGGCGTTTCCGGAAGCTGCAGCCTGATCACCTGCTGGCAGCAGCTCGCATCGTTTCGCGAGATCGGTAGGTTTCGGCGCGATTAATGCCTCTCATCCCTGAACGACGCAAGGCTTAAAGGACAATTAAAAAAAAATCTTTATTCTTTCGGGCGTTTTTTAGAGCCGCTATGATCATTGAAGGCATCTTAAAAAGCCATTTAAATTAACATTTTTTTCCGAAATAACGTCATTTAAGACAGTATCGTCTAAAACATCCTTCGACTGCTTTTACGATCGTCTCTAGACGCTTGTGTCATTCGGGGAATATCTGTGCAGGCAGCGATGCAACTTTGTGTACTTTCAGGCGATTTTCTGTTGGACAAGTACGACGGTGCGACCGAGGTCAAAGTCAATCGGCGCGGTCGCTTGTCGATGCGCGATCCTAGATTCTCCGTGCCCACCGCGAACGACCTGGTCTACCTGGACGACTCGCCGAACTACTGCCTCCCGAACGACACCCTGGGATCGCTAGGTAGCTTCATCTCTCTTCCGAGAATATTACATTTTCTTAGTATTTTTATTTAGAAAAAATAAAAAAGATACTTTTAAGATTTTTTTTTTTCAAAAGCGAAACTAAGAGACATTTTTTACGAACGCGATCGGTCGATTTTGTAAACAGGCACGCAGGGCAGATTATGCAATAGGACCTCGTCCGGCATGGACGGCTGCAATCTCCTTTGCTGCGGTAGGGGATACAATACGCAGAAGTCGACTATCAGGGAGAGATGCGAGTGCAAGTTTCACTGGTGTTGCTTCGTCGAGTGTAAGACCTGCGTGAAGAATATCGATGTACACACTTGCAAATAGCGCACTACTATTTATTTCTTTCTGTTCCATAATCTCTTCTCGGACATGTTCTCGCATTGTCGAGGGTATTATTATATATACGTACAGTTGACAGTTGTGTTTTGGTAACAGCGGCATTATTGTGTTTCACAGACGAATTTTAAATGATAATTTTTTTCTAACTTAAAATCTACTCGTTAAATTTTTATTACAGCCTCTTCTTTCCGCGAGTGTGCGTGTATGTGTGTACGTATGTGCATGGATGTTTTTATGCAATATTATTACTGCAATAAGTTATCAGCGTTAAAAGTTACGATTTATCAAAATATTAAGTAATCTATATTTTATCGAAAAAAAAATTATAGTTTGTCTTGTCGTAAATTATTTGTGGCCTACAAAAAAAACTTAAGCAAATCGAGAAATTTTTAATTGTATGTTCGTAGGAATTAAGTGCTTCGCAAACGATTGTTAAATTAATTTTTTTTTTTTTTAACGGAGACAAGTGGAATATAAACTTAAATCGGAATTAGTCTTTTGTGTTAAATCGTATTAAATTAATAACTGCATATAGCTAATTAAACAATTTTTTATAAACATTTTGATGACGCATCGAGACGTCTCGTGTTGCTTTATCCTACATCTTTTTGAAAAGGATTTATCAATCATCAAATTATTCTGTGTGATACGCACACAGATAAGTTATTATGATTCTATAATTATACCGCTCTTTACATAACTACAATAGATATACTTAATATATAAAAAAATAGTTGTAACGTAAATTATTTAAAGTGTTCATTGTGTATTTTTATTTATTTGCTCAGTGCAAGCGATTTAATTTTAGCAATCCGCAAAATAGCGCGCATAAAAGACAACATTGCGGATTACCTAGGAATTAAAAACTTAAGAGGGATACTTAAGAATATTGCGAGTATATTTATATATATATATATAAATACCAACTATCCGCGTTTAAAATATATCGTTATCACGCAAACGTTGATAATGAAAGAGGAAAAGAAACAATTCCAGGAAACTGAAAGAAATCCAAAATTATTTTTTTAATTTACATGTACAGAATGACACAGGAATATCTCTGCTAATTGTACAGGCTTGCATGTTGAGTTTATAAGCCCATAAGCTGGTATATCTATTTATACGTATAACCCACAATGACTGAACAAATTCACCAACTTTCAGAATCATTTCTGTATCAATCTGTACGTGTACGTATACTTAACTTGAATTTTCTATTACAGTCATTATAATAAGAAGCATTATAACATTCCATTTGCATCGCAGATCACATCTGACGGAATGTGCTTGCCTTAGGTAGTGACATAGCTTTTAAGTCACAGCGTTACATCTTTAGTAGACTAGACGTTTATTTAACAGCGATACAATTATTTATTTTTACTCCTAGGTACTGTAATGTACAAAACTCGGCATTTCACAGTGGACAGATGCTAAAATAAAATATCTTATATTGTCAATAAAACATCTTATTTCATCTTGGGTCTATTTGCGTTGTTTGCATTTTTTTTATACTCACAATCTTTGCCTTTTATCTCTCTCTTTTTCTCTCCAACGCCCGCGCGCGAATATATATTTTTGTTTTAAAAAACCTTGTTTTAATCGCGAAAATTTTTGAGGATTTCAAGCAATCAATAAATCTCTTATTTGGTTTTTACCGCGAAGAAGCCTATGTTACAGTTGTATTACACATATTGTTCGTATGAAATACACTTTGTTCTCTCACTTTGCACTTTATGATCTGTTCAAACATTACTATGAAACTAGAAACCAGACAAACTATTCGTGAATCTCCCATGGCTTTTCCGGCCGGTATCTGTCCCAAGACTGTGGATATTTGTATACTGGGGCTTCAGTTAGAACGATGTTACTATTCTCCAATTCTTTAATCAACAATTCGCATTTGTTTCCAATTAATGAGGCATCGACGTTCATTTCACAGATGCCAGCCTCCAGGCAACGCTGAGCCAACACTCGGCCTACGTTAATATAAGCTGAGCCATCATTGGTACTGAAACATTTACGTTACGTCAATAAGGTGAAAAAAAAATCAGAGATGAGAGCGTTAATGGATGGTCTGAATCTAACAATATCCCTACCGATATAATTGCTTCTTCAACGCCCATTCTGCACTGGAAGCCGTAACGACCGGTCCGTTCTCGAAGTGACGGACTTCCGCGATGATGTAGCGCGGCTTCTTAATCAGAAACAGCCTGTAAATTGACACAAGTCGTGGCATTACGATCGAACTCGACGTAAACGTAAAGGGGAATATACGTGTTATTTAATCGTAGCGGTGGGAATGTTTTAAATATCAAAGATAAACGAAAATATCTCTCATCGCCAGATGTGTTGTGAAACTCGAATGCGCTTACTTGTGCCAGTACGAACGCCTGGACTTGTCGAGAGCATAACCGCTGGGCTTCCTCGCTATCCTCAGCCGCTCCAAGTTTCGCGGGTTTCGGTTCACGATCTCCGTGCACGCCTCGACCGATTCCGCGTTGCCGTGCAACTCCCGGCACGCGCGGAGCACGCGAGCGATACCGGCGCGTGCGTTCACATGGGAATACATGATTTCTGATCGCCGCTTTATAGATCGTAACGCGAAAATACTGTTTATCTTGTCTCTCGAGTCACGGCTTCTGCGAATGTTGCTGTCGAACCTGTTGAATAATGTTTATACTCAGTTCAACTCAGAATAAGAATCCAGGGAAATCGTGGTTAGGTTTCCCTTCACCTATCGAGCATTGATCGAATATTCAATAGGAGGTTTACTGTACAGAAGAAAATAACAGTTACACACAAGATTATTTTGCGAGCGACAAATTGCGGACTGATCGCGACGTTGTTAATTATTTCTCGACAAGTTTTGAAATTACGCTAAAAGAAAACCTGCAGTATCTGAACTCTCAAATGCTTGAACGACGATTGTCGATATTGTTGCGCAGCTTTTCTTACAATTACCATATAAGATTAAAGGCTGCGATACCGACAATCGTCGTTAAGCGTTTGAGAATCCCGGTACAGGAGGTCGCCATAAGCACACACTTGTCCCGCGATATACGTGAGTTTGGTGACCCTACTTGCCGATGAAACGGGAGAGAGAGAGAAAGAAAGCGTCAGCGGGAGTGTGAGACCATGCGAGACACAGAGACAGTGAGACTAGTGCAGACTAGTGAGAGACTGCTAGCCGTGAGAGATGGAGATGGAGAGTGAACACTAAAATCGAGCGAGAGGGAACACGAAGGGAATAATTTTGATTGTTTTGAACGTTTGCTGCTGCACTTTCCAAATGAGTACCGTCGAGTATGGCTTTCCGATGATAGGCGGGTTAATGCCGGTAAGCGAAATAAACAAATCTTATATCACTAACGGAGTTTACGTGCGAACAAGAGATGGAAAAAAAGATCACGTATATTTAATACTGCAGTCTCCTTAATTCGCCTCTCTCCGAAAGATGATTACTTTGTATTAAAATTATATATATTTTTTATCAGCAAATACAAGCTCTTATAGCACCACCGATATCCGACGACTCGAAGGCGGCGAAAGCGAAGAAGGAGAAGGAGGAGAAGAAGCATCCGTACTTCAAGAGACGAGGTCGTGGCCACAATCGCGACTTCTGCGACGCCTGCAAAGATGGTGGAGAGCTCATATGCTGTGACAAATGTCCAGCCTCCTATCATCTGCAGTGCCAGTAAGTATAGAACAATCGCTATTTGCTTCAGACTGTATGTTCACACAAGTTGTTGAATTCTTATCTATGAAAAAAGCATGATTCTAAAGCTTTTACGTTACAGCTATCCGGCAGTGGACCCGACGGATATTCCTAATGGAGAATGGCTGTGCTACGCCTGCCGTTGCGCCTCTAAGAGGGAGGAACTCTTTGATGAAAAGGGGAACGAGAAGAAAAAGAGATCGGCTCTGGAAGTGCTAACGTTGGCGGCTTCTCTGGTAAATCCGAGAGAATTCGAATTGCCCAAGGAGTTACAGTTGCCTATAATGTTTCCTGGGAGCAATAAAGTAGACTATGTATCTGGTAGAAGAGGAAAACCACTGAGCTCGTCGTACAACAATGGTAAGCAAAATAAGATTCTTCATTTTCTCTTTTTGTCCCCTTTCTCTTGTATATAGATAAATAATAAATTTATACTTTGTAATATCAGTAATGTTGTAATATCAGTAATGTTGTAACTGCCTCAAATTAATTTAGACTTATACTAATTTAATTTACTAATTACTAAATGTAAATTATTACTAAATTTTTCTTTTCCAGTTGGAAAAAGTCATTGCTTGGATAGCAACTTAATGGTTCCGTTACCAGCTCGTTTATGCTACGAATGTGGACGTAGTTGCAGGAAGGCGCCACTAATCGCATGTGATTATTGCCCGTTGTATTTTCATCAGGATTGCTTGGACCCACCATTGACTGCCTTTCCTATCGGCAGATGGATGTGTCCAAATCATCCGAATCATTTCATAGATCAGAATCTGTTGACTTCTTGTAGAGTGACCGAACGCATAAAGCTCTGGGACAAGTACGCGAATCAACGAATAGATCAGCACGCGGTGAAACTGGATTTCCTGCGTAAAGCGCGCGCCGCCAATCCACTGTTTCGCACGAAGGTGAGATTGGAGGGTCGTCCAAAAATCAAAGTTCCTTGCAGCGTCAAGTTCCATTATAAGAACCGGCCGCACTTAGAGCCGGTACAGTCTTATCAAGATAGTCTTATACGGCCTGTAAACGATACTGCAGGCAAAGAAGAGCGACAGACAGACGTCGAGAAGGCAGATGGCAAAGATAATTGTACAGAAAATAAGAAAACTAAAGAGACCGATGAAACGAGAACGAAAGGAGAGAAATGTGATACTACCGCGGATGAGGGAGGCGATCGGCCGAAGGTATCGGACGCGAGTGAGCGCACAAGTAAAGTTGAGAGTGAAGTTGCGACGGACAATTCTAAGGAATGTAATGATCTCGAGTTTCATACGAGCAACTACGGTCGTAACATTAAGGAAGGCGTTCAGTTGTTAGAAAGACCAGTGTTGGAGGCACTGGCGCAGCAGAGACTGGAGCAGATATTGAATCCAGACGGGGAGAGTTATGAAACAATAAATTGTCATAGGAGAGCAAGAGCCGCATTATTTTCTTTAAGTCCCAAGCCTAATCCACCAGCATTCATGACTCGTAGAACCTTCGTTATTGGCAACGGCCCGAATTGCGATCTAGTACTGTCGAATTACGGTAGCTGCGGATTCACATCTTCCAAGCACGCAGTAATATTTTTTGACGAGGTGAGTAAAAAAAAAGTATCGCACGTTTTTCCTTTGGCAGAGAATTCAATTAATAGAGATTACAGATCGAAAAAGTCGAACTGCGGCATAAAAAGCCTCTCTTCTTTTCTCATCTAGTGTCCATCTTTGTGTTACAGGTGACCAGACGTTACGAGTTACTTAATTATAGTGAACACGGAACGATTGTGGATCACGTCCTGTACTCTTGCGACTGCACGCGTGTTTTGGAGGAACAAATGAAAGAGGAAAAGACTGATAAAGTTATGTACGTTACTAAGGAAGAAGAGACCTCTGACATAATAAAAACAATTCTACGTAAGGACGAAGCAGCTTACTTGGAAGAATACGCGCACACGGATGACATCTTGTGCAAGTGTAATATAAAGGGCGATGCGAGAATTAACGAGCATCTGGAGGAAGGGTGGGAGGGAAGTGCAATCATCGCGCACGGCTCGACCATTAGTTTTGGATGTCTCACGTTCATATTTAACACATTAGATATGTATGTCGACAGATGAAACGCGATAATATAAACTATTTCCATATTGTACAAAGAAAATTTTATAAAGCAATACAAAATAAAATTAACACAGTGTTCCTTGTGTTTCCAAAACTATCTCTCTTTTCTTTTCTTTTATCGCTTAAAAATATACGTATGTACACGATCAGAATGCAAAACAGCTTCCTACGTTTACAAAATGATTAAGGTTCATCATTCGGTTCGTCATCCTCACACGGTTCATCAAAATCTCTCATTTTGACATCCACATCTTCGCCATATTGTATGGTATTATCGATTGTTAACTTTATGTCCGCGATACTTTCCTCATTCTTAATGTTCAACGGCAAGAAATGCACTAAGCTGTAATCCGCTATAATTCTGCCCAGACTTTCTGTAAGACTGCGATACCTCTCGTTCCACGAATCTTCTTCTACATCCGCTAATAAACTGTACGGATCGGGATCGAGATAGTCGTCCAATTTTTTCCGCGCGCTCTTCGACAACAAGTCCATTTTGCTAAGAATACTGATATGCGGAATTTCTAAGTTTATCATTACACTAAGGGCGGCCAAGGTGCCTGACAGAAACTTAGACGCGTCTATCATGAATTGTACATCTATCAGAAATATTCCACATACACGGAAATTCAGTTTTTGCAGGGTATCTATCAACTGCCGTATCACAGTCATATGAGTATACAACTCAATTTGTCCGGGACAGTCGAATATTATATAGTCATCATCTGTGTCGCCTAATTTCTCTTCCAGCCAACTTGCATTTTCGACTAAGTACCTGTAAAAAAGGCATGATTTTGTTGTATAAAGCAATAAATATAAAAATAAAGAGATAATGCATGACTCTATATGAAAGTGATGGATTTGTAATTGATGGATTCTGGATTGATTTCTTTATCCCATAAATATTAGTTTCTTAAAAGATTGACTGAAAAATTGTAAAGGAATATGAAGTGACAATGTAATAGTGATAACCCATAATATTTAATAAGATATTAATGCATCTAATAGAGAGTGACTTACTCCATGCAGAATACAAGTCCACCATTGGGTCCGAAATTGAACTCATCATCTTCCATGGCATCATCTAATTGAATTAAATCTTTTATATCTGCTAAAGGCTGATAATCAAAATACTCTGCCGCAGGATCTAAATTCACAACATCTACTGTCCTCTTCGAGTCTGCAGCATGTCGTTGCATAATTGAACAATAAGTGGACTGTACAAAATAAAATCGAGATAAAAATCAAATATTAACAGAGCTGTTTCATTCTGATAGCTATTTATATTTAATTTACTTGAGCCTAACAGACAATTTAAATTCATTACCTTGCCGCTGCCGGCTGGACCCATTACTAGCTGGGCATATCTCATTTTGATAGAAAAAGTATGTATTTTTAAATGTACAATTAGTAAATAACACTCCTTATATCTCTACTATTTCTAATTCTTCATATTCTGTATTATTTCTAAAGAAAAATAACGCTACAGTTATTGAAAGCTAGTCTCACAATCGGACAGAATTCACACAGAATGTTATTCGTGAAAGAAACGAACTACAGATGGCATCAGAGAGAATCAGAGAAAGGACATGACGGTTTTTTTGCACCACAAAATGCCCTCGTGCACTAATGCCATCTGAGAAAGTGGATGTAAACTACATCGCAACATTCACTTAGCTGCACCGCGGGTATACAATTTGGTTCATTTCTTACGGCTTATAAGGCTATAAAATAGCCTTAAAAACTGTACGATCAATATATCTGCTGATATACGAAGAACAGAAAAGATCGCTTACACGCTGACAAGCGTATAACACGTGAAGAAGAAAGAGCACAAAAATTATCCGTGTTTTTTTTTTAGAGAGAAAAAATGATACACAGTTTTCAGTCTTTTCATTTTAAGGATAATATTAATTACTTCTATGTAAACAGAGTAACCGTAAAAGATACAAATCATGTTGACTTTATTCATCAATTTGTAAAAACTAGTCCCCAAAATAATGATAATTTTGGCACATCTGTTAACTCTAAGATAATGGAACCATCCTCTATCAAAGTTACAGAGTATACAGATTTCAAAAAGGTATTTATCATAATATATATTGCATGATATAAATATTTCTTATCTGTATTATTGTTATCGTTCTGTATGAATCACAGCCTAATTGTATGCAAGATTTTATAGTATTTCACTTTTTTTTACTTATTTTTGAATACAGAGAACTTACGGACCATTGCTCGACTACTACTCTGACTGTAACTGTGAGATTCCGAGAGAAATTGTAGAGTTCATACCACACAAAGAGAATAAACAAGAACAACAACAAGAATATATTAGTAAGTAATATTTGAATTGATAAATAAGATATTGTTGAAGATACACTTTTATTGAGAAAAGATTATAATTATATATTTTCTATATTGTAGATATCGAATTTTATGAAGCCTGTTATCCCATTGAGATGTCTCTGTTTGTTTGGCATAATTCCTTCAGCGGGAAGCACCTTAAAATTTGGGCACAAATATCTGATGATCAATGGTTTCTATTATCAAATAAGGGATCTTTTCAAAGTACCTCAGTATATTCTCAGATTTCTTTATGGCCGTGCGATTTTAAAACTAAAATGCTTAAATTAGAACTTAGTTATGACAGAAATGACACAATAAGCAGCTACACACGGCTTATAAAATCTGTAATGTTTATTGGTACATCAGAATTTATCATTCCTACAAAACCTAAACAGAGGTTACAGAGGCTAAATAACTTTGATTGGAACTTCTTTGAAGTCAGAAACTCTAATGATTATGATTCTAATAAACGTGCACGTGACCCAAATTTGGTTATACTTCTACTTCAAGAAAATTTTGACAAATATTGCATTATTTGTAAAAGGTACATTATATATGTTTGCCCACTAATATTTAATCTTTTTTTTATTCTTTTAAATATGAAAATAAATTTGTTCCAATGTTATTTGTAGAGATATAATGGAAAGTTTTCATAAAAGTAAGCTCGGACGCTACCAAGTATCTCAACAGACAACCGCCGAAGTACCATATTTTAGGCATTTGCAGATATACCGCTTTTTAAAAAGTTACTCGCAGAAGTGTGTGAAAGACGTCAAACCCTCTTTAGATGAATCCAAAGAGCTGTCATCTTGTAAAACTGCATCTCGCAAATCTTTGTCTGCGCTTCCCGTAAAGTATTTTAAGAAGTAGAATATTTCTTATAATAAATATTATGTTATCTCACGTAATAAAATTATATTTTGTTATTGCAGGATGAAATAGTACTAAAAATATTGAAAAACTTAGATGTGATGTCTTTAATCCGCCTGGGTAGAGTTAATAAACGTTTTAATAATTTGTCGCGGGATTCTTCGCTGTACAAATGTTTGAACTTACGTGACATACACTTCACAAATATGCACACAAGCCTCTGTCAGTTATTTGATTATTTTGCACCCAGGTGTGAACAGTTACAACAGCTGGATCTGGCATATTGCCACTTTTCTGTTTCGAAATTTAGGGAGTTTTTAAAAACTTGCTGTAAAAGTTTAACACACTTACAATTAAGTAACTGCAATATCATTGATTCTGTATTATGTGATATTTCAGAAATATGCATAAATTTGAAAGGTATATATATATAAGTGTGATTATAATTAGAATTACAGGTAAATTATATAATTGTATAACGCATATATTTTTTAGATTTGGATCTAAATTTTTGTCGTGGCATAACAAATGAAGGTATTTTACACCTTAAGAACTTAAAGTGTTTGGAACGTTTACATCTTGACGATATATCATTAGAAGCTAATACTTTATGTGAAATACTACACAAAAATCGACAGATGCGTGACTTAAATTTAAGAAGGACGAAAATTAAGGAGGATTTAAAAATAGATACAATTGCAATAGAATTAAAGAATTCATGTCAAAATTTGGAAAGATTAGATGTAAAAGGATGTATTCTTACATCGCAAGCTATTGATGCCCTTGCCGATTGTAAGAATCTGAAAGAAGTGTATTTTACTTAGTACGTATATGCGAGTGTTTCTTTTAAAATACATGTTACTGTATTCTTTATTGTAATTTATTTGCTCATCTTTTTTGTATGTTATAATCGTATTCGCTCTTATTTACAGCTGCAAGATAACCGAGTATAGTGTTAATGATGATATTCTCAGTAAACTGTTTTCCTCCTGTCAACGCCTGGAAATAATTGATTTAAGCAGATTTAAAGAAATCACCAAGCGTGATTGGATAACACTAGCGTTATGCAAGAACTTAAAATCCTTATATTTGGAATCGCAGGATTCCATTACTCCTGATATAATTTCCCAACTTTTAGAGAAGTGTCCTAAACTAAACGAAATTGATGTTAGCTCCTGCAGAAATATTAGTGAGAGCTTCGTTGATCAGTGGAATGAAACATATAACAATGTAATTGTATATAGAAATCCTAAATTTATCCTGGGATAAATAAGAAATTGCACCAATTCTATATTTTAAAAAATGTATACATTATTATGTAATTTTAATCGTATTTTCTTAATATTTAATAAAATATAATCAATCTGTATTTTGTTTTGCGTTATAATTTTTGCTGTCGATCATCCAATTGAATAATTTTACTTGTTTTATCGTAAGTAAAAACAAGTTAGTTGTGCCCATAATTCTTATAATCTGATTATATTTTTTCTTGTAAATAAATGAGAAACAGAGAGAGAGAGAGAGAGAGAGAGAGACACACACATACACAAAATAAATGCGTTGTATCTTTTATTCTTCTGTGTATACAATACACACATTACACACTAGTATACGACGTGTATGCTCGTATACTATACATTTGAGAATAAAAAGAATAATGCCGGATGCACAGAACGCGGCAACGCTTGCCACATAGAGAAAGTTGTGGCCAATCAATTTACTGATTTTCTTTTACTCTTACAGAAAAGCGATAAATTGATTGATTACAACGCGAAAATCCGCCACGCAGCAAGCGTTGCATACGCGCGTCCTGTGCGCATCGTGTATAAAGAACAAGAAATTTAATGTAAGGAATTAGATAAAAGTTAGAGGCGGACAATGAGATATTTCGTCTAACTCTGGGTGTGTTTCATTTAGTGATACAATAAGACATAAGTCGATAAGCATTCTGTCTTTTTTCAACATTCAATGGATAACAATGACAATGATGCTTGGGTCGATTTGCTAAATGAAAGATATTCTATGATATTACCTAATTTCTTATGTTCAATTTCTTGTTTCGTATTCCTTTTGTTGTATGATTGTGAATCCTCAAACGCTTTTGGAATTATTTATCTTATTTTTTATCAAAGTTAAACAAGAACAATGATGTTCACGACTGTGAGCGTGAGGCAGAGAACGTTAGCGCTTATATTTGGCACAAATAGAAAACTTGAATATATGAATACATTTAAGAATGCGCCTATTATGGCTAAAATACATCACTCCAAATTGACATGTGAGCTTTGAATTCTACTTTTTTTAAGGATATAATAAAGATAGAAGATAAGGATTTTTATGTTCTTGCAGAATCTTTTCGCACAGATAGTTGTAAAATTTATAAAAGATATTTAACGACAGTATCAATTTATACTATTAGAAACTAATTTTTTTAAGGCATTCGTAATAAATTTGTTTCTTTTTTATCAGTTCCATTTATTTTGGATTTTAAGTAGTACCAGATGTCACTGGTACCTATGTTTAAAGATGAAACGAACGTTACATCTTTAGTTAATTTAATTACAAGGAATATAGAATGATGAATCTATTGAAATTTAATTGTTTGGTCTATCATTTAAATATTTATCAAGACACTTCCAATGTTGTCGCTGTATCATTTATCCGTGTTTCTCGTGACATAACCATCTTCTCTAAATCATGTGGCAAGTTCACCCCAATTAAAGCAGACAGCGCGCTTCTCCTTGGTACACCAGCATCCTTCCGCTTTTTTCGATGCACCTCACTTATCTTCCTCTTCTTGGGTTCGTTATGACGTTGAATATGCTCTATCAATCTCTGCTTCGACGTAAGTCCCATGGAGCATATGTCGCAATAAAATTTTTCTCCGAGATGAAAAATCCTCATATGCGACTCCAAATTAGATTTGAAATGGTAGAACCGATGACAATTGTCGTACGGGCATGGCAGAACTAATCTGTCCTCAAGATGTATTTTACAGTGCTTTCTCAGTCCGTATTTGCTAAAGAACACCTTGTCGCAAGTGTCGCATGTATAATCTGAAATGAAAAAGTTCGCTTCGTTAGATCGTATCCTTTCGATATTTTATTTTTCTGTAATACATACTTCTTATATGTTGTGTTCTGTGCGTGCGTAGATGCGTAAACTTATCAAACTCCTTCGAGCATTCGGGACAGGAATAAGTCTTGTGTGCCTTTCGGTGCCGGGTGTATTTAAGGAAATCCAGGTAACTTCTATTACACTTGTTGCACTTGTAGACCACGTTTGCCGAATGTACAGTTGCCTGATGCTTGGCAAACTGATGTTTTTTGTTGAAAGTCTCGCCGCACTCCTTGCAGGTGATCTTCTTGTCGCCATGCATCCGCGTGTAATGACGTTTCATACCGTGGAAATTGCTAATTGTCAACGGACATTCTGTGCATCTGAAATTGACACAATGGCATATATATTAATACACTGTCTGTAGGTTTCGAATGAAATGTATGCTAACGTATATACAAACTTGTATACTTTCTTCACAGGATTATGCGTTTCCGCGTGCCTTTTCAAATGGGATGAATTCGTATACGATTTTGTACATCCCGGATGGCTACACTTGTAGGGTCTCTATCGCAGATTGATTGGTCGTTAAACAATTGAAATATATCGCATAACAAAATCCCTTTCGCGTTCACGATTGCTTTACCTCTCCTGTATGCGACCGCATATGCCTCTCCAATCTGGAAGGTCGTAAAAACACAGCATTGCAATCAGGATAACTGCATTTGTGCGTTTTCCGACTTGTCTTGTTTTGGATATCGACATCATGTCCTTTCTGAAGATCAAATGCAACGTTATCGCTATCCTGGTCTCCCATTCGTCCCATCCTGACGTGGCTCACTCCAGTGTTTCAATTAATTAATACCTTTTAAATCAAAATAGGTCTAATATTAACAACATATCATATATATAAGTATATAACATATATAATAAATGCAAGTCGACTGTTAAAATCTTCAAAATTTAGTCTTCCGAATTGGAGAAGCCACTTAACGAAATATTAATTCGCCGATTTTACTTGTGCCGAATTTACTTATTTATACATCCAACAATAGGATAACTTAAACTACATTTTACGTGTAGATTTACATCGGATAACCACGTGGGGAACGTTCCTTTACTGACCTTTGCGAAACTTGATTTACACAGCATGTGAATGAGAATTATTAAATAGGATGAAAATACAGAATAGGATAATTAAAGAAAACGTCGCTCCTATAATTTTCTCTTAATTAATTATCACTGCTAGTAAAATTGTCACTTTGACGAGGTTAGATAACTGAAACACATCGCGCGATGTCTGCTCACTGCTGATTGCACATAACCTCTTTCGGTCTGAGCACGCGGCATGCCCGTGCCGACTACTTGCGCATGCGCGCCCGACGATCGTGACGCACGTGATATTCAAACTTTTTCAAAGTGATCCTTCCTTCGATTCACCTCGTCACATTTTCAAAAAAGCCCGTCTACATAAGTTCGCAACACGCAAAACACAAACGTGGACGCAAGATGACGTTTCACCGATACGCGTTCACAATTCGGCGACACGCGACGAGTTTAATTCAACTCTATTTTCCGCGTTTGCGGCAACTGCGTCGACCAAGTTTGAAAAATAAAATTTTTAATTATATATTTAAAGCAGTATGAAATTTTATTTTTACACTAATTTATTATTTAAAATATTTAAATAATACTTGCTATCATATATATGCTTGACATTTTAAAGTAACTGCCTTTCGAAATTATACATGTAAAAGTTTTCTTATGTTATTTAAAAAATATTTAATTGACGATTGACGATTTGTTGTAACGTAACAGTTACACTGTTGAGTAGGAGATTAATGTTATTTGCCATTTTATGTTTAGCAGAAAATGATTTGCTCTCCTTTAACAGAAATTTCTTGAATTTTTCGTATTTTCTTTCCCTCTCTCTAACTGTAATTATATATATCTGTTTTTATTTTTTAAATACAGAAGTATAAAGTGCGAAACACATATAGTTATAAAGAACAGACCCGTTAATAATAAAAGCTCTCTTTGTAACAAACTTTTGGATGTCTCATATTGTTTCTTTTTTTCGATGTACAATTATAAACTTATTCTATTTTAAATATAGAAAGTGTGATGTATAGTCCTTTTTATATGTAGAAGTCCAATTTAATACTTCAAATTTACACTTTTATTTTGAATATTAAAAGCGCGCACTGTTGTTCAATACTTTTAATAAGTATTCAAAGTAAGTAATTAATCACTATTCCTAGAATTAAATTTTTAAGAGGTGCAGCGGTAATTAAAAAAAAACAAATTTAATGACATTGAAGAGAGCCGGGATTACAATTAACGTATATGAATCACTATTAAAAAAGAACACTATTAAAAGATAAATTAATCGCCTTAATTAAGTAAGTCAGATGTTCTAAAATATATGCAGGCCCAAGGAACACTTTGTTTCTTATTCGATCGAGATGACGGAGTTTGATTTTTCTCCGAAGTCGATAACGGGAAACGTCACGTCCGCTCTTCTCGGACACGTCGGTCGTAATAAATCGACACGACGCATGATATGTGCATTCGCGTTTAAACTAATTGGAATGCTACGTGCGCCCGTTGGAATTCAGGTCGCCGAAGACCATGCACAACTGTAATTGGGTCAAGCATGTGCCCTATGCTCCATCGATGTTTTGTAAAAGCACTTTTTCTTGGGGTTTGCACCATCAGTTATGATTCGATTACATTACACATTGGAGTCTTTTCTGAAGTATATATAATATGTATCTTTATCTTTCAACTGTGCATTATTTAAAACAAATTAAGTTTGGGAGGATGCTCGAATTTTTATTTCTCGCTCCATTTTTCAACTCACTGCATTTTTCAACGAAACATTTTTTGTGTGCTTGTAGAGGGTAGAAAGAGAGAGAGAGAGAGAGAGAGAGAGAGAGAAAGAGAGTGAGAGAGAGGGGGGAGGGAGGGAGGAAGGGAAGGACTTATTCTTCTTATTTTATCCCATACAGTGTATTACCGAAATGTCAGACTATTAAAAGATAAGACATCCTATATATTTGGTGAAAGGAATTTGCAGAATGACGTAACACACGCGTAATAAATGTAATGAATGAAATTTAAAGAATTGGATTTCGTCATCGCCAAGTCGGCGAAAAAGTTGGCGAGGTCAGTCATCTAAAAAAGGAAGATATTGATATTTATTGATCGAAGCATCTGTCGTTAATATCAAATCTTAATATAAAATATAAAATCAATTAATATAAAATCAAAAAGCACAGCACTGAGATGTAAGAAGACTAAATGTGAAATATTGTCGTGGAGATTAACGACTGCTTGGCGACTTATTTCAAGCGCGCTCTAAACAGGTCAGACAGAATTTTGCCACTTAATCGAATTTTAGAGATTGGCCCTTTTCGAGCTGTGTGTAGCGGTTTTTCTTTCTTCTCAGATGTGATAGGATGATTTTCGATTATTTTAACGTCGGCGTATGGACTGCAATTACTCTTGGGCTTCGCATCTCAATAGCTGGGATTAGGGATCATTATGAATTTACGAAGGGGGAAGGATGAAGAGAAGAACGGTTAGAGAGACAGAGAGAGAAAGAGAGAGAAAGAGAGGAAGAGAAGCCAGCTATTTTATCCCCACCTCGAAATCGTTGAGGGCTACGAGCTACGAGCCACGTGATCGACCAGCAGAATTCGCGGCGTCCGCCGAAAATCTAAATCCGTCCGAGCCGGGGAAGAAGAAGAGACCACCGTCTCGGCCTGCGCGACACGAAACAGCCGCCGCGAGATAGTTCATAATCGCCCGTGGTTCGCGACGGATCGATCGAGGGATCGCGCGCGCGAGTGTGAAAACTCCGCGCGAAACCTCCTTGCTCTCACAATTCTCATTTTCGCGTGCAAAAAAAGAGGATAAGGAGAAAAAGAAAGAGCAAGAGAGATAGAGAAAGAAACAGAGAAATCGCGGAGAGGAAGATCACTGTTTCCGCTCTCCTTCCTTCTGTTCCCCGGGAAGACGAGAGAACGTCGGCGAGACAACGGCGGCCGATTCGTCGTGAAATCACTCGAGGAACATGATCCGCGTGGACGAGTCAGATCCAGTAGGAGGTAAGAGAAGAGGATAAAAGGAGTGGGGAAACTCCTGAAAAACAAATATAAGAAGACGGGGAAGGGATACGTCTCGGTCAAGAAACGCGGGAAATGCGCTCGCGGGGAAACGCGAAACGTGCGCGCCTGTCAGCGCGCTCGGTGGGACGGCGCGACTTTCGGGAAATCGAAAGGGGCGATTATTTTATTGCTCAAGTAGCATCGATATAATTTATATATAATATTCGTTGTCGCGTTCCAATTTCATCATATTAAAACTGACGAATATTCACTTTTAGTGATACTGAAGAGACGTATCTCGTATGAATTTCCACGCCTTAAATAAACACAGAAGCGGAAATCGCGGTTATTTTTGCGTATTTACAGCATCGGAATTTGAACATCTCGAAACTGAAGTTTTCAACTTTTACTTACTGCGTCCCGCGTGAAATTGAAAGTGGCGGAAGATCCTTCTAGAAATGGAAATGTTGAGATGTCTAATAAATAGAGATAAATAAATAAAGATAATTATAATATTAAGAAGAGAGAGATAAAGATTAGTTTTTATTTCCCGTAGCTTTAAAGATGCTAAAGGGCTTCAGGGTAGAATCAGTAAAACTTTTGTAGGGAAAAAGAGAGACTAAGAAATTAAAAATAAAATATACAACATTAAGATATGCAACAGAATTTGCTAACGAGAAAAGATACAGAATTGTCGGCGAAGTCTTAATGAAAAGTTGGCGCCAAAACGAAGAGAACGGGGCGCGATTCTGAAAGTTGCCTTCTGCCTTTTTCCGCCTTCAAGATACCGGCGCGGCCGCGCGGCGCGGCCGCGCGGCGTCGTCGCTCGGCGATGAAATTGAATGCCAAACACCTACTCGCCCCCTCGCATTCCGTCCTTCTCACTCAGCGCCCGTCGCACGCCTGTTTTCAGAGATCGAGCCCAGCTTCCCCTATAGAGATGTAACGATACGCCGAGGTGTCGAGTTCAAGGACGATTATGACATCCAGTCGGAGCTCGGACGGTGAGTGATTAAATCCGTCGATCGGCGGATGCGTATAGATGCCTGTGGGTCGTGCCAACGGCGTGTCGATCACGCGCGATCGATGAGCTATTAATCTCGATACAACCGGGGAATCTAACAAAAGGGAAATTTCCAGGAAGTCGACACGCGCGCGGAAAGAACGATTTTGCTCGAAGGTAAAAAAAAAATGTAGATCTGAAAATGATTTTGTTAGACCATCAAAATAATTTTGTTGGAAACTCAAAAATGATAAGTGTTACTGTAAAACGTTTTGATATTCTAGCAATTAGCTGGACTTTGCAACAAAATTATTTTGATGGTCCAAGAATTATTTTCAGATCTGTATCCAGCAAAATCGTTCTTTCCGTGCGGGAACGAGGAGATTACGTCAACGCAATTAGTTTAATTTACTTTTAGAGTACTAGTTCTATGAAATCCTAACACACTCTCCTGATCTGGAAGTTCGTACAAAAAAGTAGGTACACAGATCATTTGAGACAAACGCGCTTACGCTCCTTCTTACTCCACATCCGCCTCACTTCCCTTCAGGTAGAACATAAAGTCAAATGATATCATAATAACGTTAATTCTTACTATATTTGTGACTTATAAATGGCAAATAATTAAAGTCATAATGACGTCCTTATTTATGAAATCATTTGACTTCATAATTGACTTCTGTATTCTACACCTGTACCTGGACCCGCTTTGGATGAAGTAATATCCATTGATGATTAACTCCTGATTAAACCGCGGTAGTCCGAATGCAAATATTTGACGTCCTCATCGTGTGGCCTTCACTCGATATATTCGGGTATCGAGTGTTTAATATTCTCCACGACAACGATACTAGAGCTCTGCTGTTGGCCCGCTTCCACAAAATCGTACGGTAGTGACCAGAATTACAGGAATGTGCTGTTGCCGTCAGGTGCACGTCTGTGGAATGCGGCGCGGAGCTGATAAGACGAACACGCGCGGGTCTCGATCGTTCGCGTCGGCAATCAAGGACCCGCGGCGATACGCGTCTATAAATAAATATCCGTTTCCCTCGACCCGTGAGTGAAACGTTACGCACGTCGAACGGCGGCGTTCCGACGTTGAGCTTGGGCGTGCCGGTGCTCTTGACACCGGTGGTGAACTCGGGCCCCGGTTCGCCAGCGCCGGAGAATGCGGCTTGACAATGAATAAAGAAAGCGTTTGCCCTACGCTCTACGATTTCAAAGTCGTACACAAACCTCTGCTGTAAGAGAGTGCGGGATTGCTCAAATAAATTGAGAATTTCGATTTTCCCCGCGAAATTGGACACTCGCGATTCTGTCGCCGATCGAGAGTTACTTACTTTCCATCTCCTTTCAAGATATCTGCGTGTCTCGCAGAAATTAAATGCCAAACACGAGTTTAATTTAATAATGCTAATAATAGAGCAAGAGCGAAGTAACAGTGTCTCCTGGTAGAAAATTTTATAAACATTCAGACGCGACTACCCTCACCTTTAAAAGAGGAGCAACCTAATTAGCAATGACTCCACGTTCTCGAATTTAAAGGCCGCTCTCTGTAACGCGATTAATTAATAAATTATTAATTTGAATGTACCGATAATTAATATGTAGTAATAGAATTTAATTAACGGCAATTACGTTCGACATCCGTCGACTTAGATACACTAAATTCAATGATTCACTCACTTGGCCTCGTGACAAGTATGTTGTATTCTGCCTTGTGCTGCCAGGGACATGCTGCGGATGTACAGCTTTGGCAGATCTTCCAGTGTGTTTATCACTTTTTACGCGTAATTTGTTATTACCTAAGAATCCGGTTCCAAGGCGCGATGTAGCGTGATTTTGTACACTGAACTTGCTACTCTAGTCAAAGGAAATTCTATTCAATTTTTACATAACTATTTTGTGTACAAGCCAATGAACTTTAATTACTTCGTTATATATGTAGATTTAAAGTTTAAACTGATTCACAGTCGCCTTCAATTGATCTGGTCCATTAATTTCAGGGGAAAATTTGGAATTGTTTACCGATGCAAGGAGAGAACGAGCGGTTTGATGCTCGCCGCGAAAGTGGTGAACGTCATGAAGAAAGAGGACAGACGCGCCGTGCAGAGAGAAGTGGACATCATGCGACGTTTACAGCATCCACGGTTGATTCAGCTGTACGACGCCATTGACGCGGGGAAACAGATATATGTCGTTCTAGAATTGTACGTTTTTTCTCGCGGACGAGGCAGCGACGTAGGGAGCGTAAAATTAGAGAGACGCGCGCGCTGCGGGATTACATTTAAATTTCCATCATTTAAGGATCGACGGCGGCGAGCTCTTTGAGAGAGTGATAGACGACGATTTTGTACTGACGGAACGCAGCTGCGCCGTCTTTATGCGGCAGATATGCGAGGGAATAGAATTCATGCATAGTCAAAAGATCTTGCATCTCGATCTAAAAGTGAGTCGTTGAATTGCGTTGATATACGTATATTATTTCAAATATTGTACAAGACAAGAAAAAAATTGGTATTTGAAAATTGAAGGGCTCCCTGGAAAAACATTGCAACCATCATTTTTATGAAAAGTGATATATATTTTAATGGAAAATATTATTGATTGCTAAACATATGCAGGAAAAATCTGTGATAAAATTTAAAAAATATTAGATAAAACGTTTTTCCAGGAAACTCTTTAATTATACTTTTTGCTTATTTATAACATGCTTATTTCTAAATTTTTACATTTCTTAAGATTTTTAAAAAACTGTTTATCAGGGAGGAATTTAACTACCTATGTAATCTCTCTTCTTTTTTTCTTTATGTTTGATTATTTGTAAATTATTTAAAATATCTGCTGTATAGCCAGAGAACATCTTGTGCCTGACGAAGGAAGGTAATAGAGTCAAAATCATCGATTTCGGTCTAGCGAGAGAATATGATCCGAGTAAGAAACTGCAAGTGTTGTTCGGAACACCTGAGTTTGTTGCCCCGGAAGTCGTAAACTTCGATCAAATTGGATTCGGCACTGACATATGGAGCATAGGTGTTATTTGTTACGTATTGTAAGTGTACGATCCTCTGCATATTAAGGTACCCACTCATAGGCGCGTCATTTAACGCACGCGTCATGCATTATAATTTATAACAATCTTTCTTTATCGGAAACAGTTATAATTTTAGGTCCTCACTAGGGCACGAACTTTTAAACACAACTGACAACAAATGCGATGACGCTTTTGCAGTTGGATAAATTCAACTGTAAACAGTCAAACGCAACAGTGCTAGAAGTCACTAGCACCATGGCAGAAATAATCGGTCCATAGATCTTGATTCGACGTTTCTAAATATTGATTCGATGTCTATAGACATCGAATCGACGTCTACGGACCGATTATTTGTGCCTCGGTATATAATCTAATTATTTCTCAAATGACGCGTGACGCGTGCGTCAAATGACGCGCCTATGAGTATGGTACCTTTACAGCTTTCCCCGTGAAAGATATATTATACATCGTAACCGATCGAGACCGCTCATGTAACTAATTATTGCAGATTGTCCGGTTTATCACCGTTCATGGGCGATACGGACATAGAGACAATGGCGAATGTCACTATTGCAAAATACGACTTTGATCACGAGGCGTTCGCCGAGATCTCGGAAGACGCGAAAGATTTCATAAGATGCCTTCTGGTGAAAGACAGAGAGTAAGTATAAATATTTCTGCCACGTTTATACATACATATGTACATGTATATATTACTCTTCTGTGTTTTCAATTTCTCTTTCCCTCCTATTACTCTTGTCCTCTTTTCAGTTTCTCCATTTCTTCTTTTTGTAATCTCGTCCCATGTGTCTATTGCTACTCTCTTTCTTCTAAAGAAGAAATTCCTTCTGTAACGCTGTTTAAATTTTCCTCTTTCACTCGTTGTGAGGGTGTGTGTATGGCTCACAAGCAATCCGCGCTTATCACGGCTAATCTGACTTCCATCATGTCTTATTCCGAAATGTTCTACTTTGGTGAACACATGTATCAATACCTATGAATTTTTCAGGCTATACCAATTAGAGAAAAGCGATTCCATCTTGTAATTAATTGCGTCCATTGCATTTCGTGATAACTCCAGCAAAATGTACATCGCTCCGGCGTTGTATAGCAATTAAATTTTTTGTTGCATTCAAGAAACAATTTTGTTAACTCGAGAGCGTTCAAGTATATCAAGCGAACATGTCGGGATATAAAACTACATCATTCGTCAGACAATTTATCGAGAATTTTGCTTTCGGATGTACATAACGCGACATACGCACATTTGTATCCGATATTCGAGCCTATATATATATGTCGTCATTGTACTCTTCGTCCATACATTTTCATCCCTAATCGTTCGCCCTCGGATCGCGGAATCTCACACGTGTCTCTCCACGCGACGAGGAAAAAAACGCACTATCGAGCCTGGGACACATAGAGCACGACCCTCCTCACGACGAGCCTTTCGAATCTTTCAGAAAGCGAATGACGGCGGCGCAGTGCCGGGAGCACCGCTGGCTGGCGCGAAAAACGAGCAGGCCCAAGAGCGAGAAGGAGATCGCGGGATTGGCGGCGGCCAAACGGATGGCCTTCATCGAGAACCGTCCCGTGCCCGTCGGTGTCGTCGACGATAACGGCAGAGAGGAGCTGGACGTCACCAAGGACAATCTCAGACTGTTCGTCGAGCGTTGGCGGGAGCATCCGGACAGCCCGTACACGATCGTCGACTCGTATCACTCGTTGCCGAGGAATCCGCTTCGCCATCGCGACGAATCCGTGTCCCTGCGGGGTCACAGCCCCTCTCCCTGCGACAGCCTTCGCAGCAGCAGCACGCAGTCGGAGATGGTGACGACGGACCCGACCGCGAGAGACAATTCCAGCCACCTGTTGTCCGTGCCGAGTCTCAGCTTGTCCTTGGAGAGGAGAGCTTCCGAAGGTACGGCCGCGCGAAACCGTCGTGATCCCGCCAGCCAGATCGCTCTGGCCGAGGAGATCATCAAGCTGTCCGAGCACCTGCGCTCGATCGCCATGGGATCTGCGCGGATGAACGAGGGAAATAACGGGGCCACGACGGAAGCTGCGCCGCGATCCATCCAGAGACCCGGCGACGTTGGGAACAATCGCGATATCTATAACTCGAAGAGCAACGTTAAAGTGACCGCGACGTCTCACGTCGACAGTGAGACCAACGAGATCACGGAGAAACTGTCCAATATTACTCGACAACGAAAGCTCAACGGGACGACCTTCCACAGTAGCCGTAATTTCGACAGATACAATCTCGATACGAATTTCGGTAACGTGTTTGTGGCCCTGAGGAGAACGAGCATCGGCGACAGCGAGACGTCCGACAGACGGAGGGATTCTCGAAAGTATTCCCACGAGCGAACGGCGATCGAGGAGAGGTTCAGCGGGGAGAGGATCGGCAAGAGGTTCTCCGCCGGCGCGGAGGATATGGACTTGACACCCCCGTGGCGGCGGTCGCGAGTGAAACGATCCTTCGGCGAGACCAGTAGGGACGTTCCGCGGATATCGAATTTGCGGGATCTGCACAAAAATCTGAATCTGGACGAGCCGGGCAGCGCCAAGGACCTGCTGTTGCACTTGCTAGGCGAATGGGATGAGGTCACCACGACGTCCTGCAGCGGCGGCGGCGGCGGCGGCGACGGCGGCGGCGGCGGCGGTGGCTGCGGCTGCGGCGGTGGCAGCGGCGGTGTTGGCGCCGGCAGGAAGTCCGTGAGCCTGGATTGGTGCGCGGCCGACACGATCGCCAGGAAGACGATGAACTCGTTGGCGGAGTACTTCCAGTCAAAGCAAAAGGAAACAAAATCTTCCAACGTCGCGTCATCCACGTCGCCGTCGATATATCGTTGAACGATACGTCCGTCTCGCGCTCGCTGGCACTTGCGAATTTCGTGGATCGGTCGCAGACGGATCAGGAAAATGCGCTGACATTAACAATCTCTCTTTGTTTCTTTCCGATCATGAACTTCATTTCGGAACAGTTAGGCGCTCAAGATAAAATACACGTCAAACGCCTGGGGCAATAATATATTTGGTAGATGAATTATAAAGATTAATCTATGAAAATGCGAACCTTCGATTTTTAAAGTTGGAAATTGATTTTATAATCATTCAACCTCTTCCAGTTTAATTAATTTATTCCTTAAAGTCTTGGAAGAGCGCTGTTACAAATGACAAACAAGTATATTTCTTATTTCTTATTTAAATAACTATAAATAAATTTTTAAGTAAATTTTTAAGAAGAGATTATACAAAGAAAAAATAATTTTTCAAATATATCAAGAAGGATGGATAATAAAAAAGTAGGTAATGTCGAGATATCTTACTGTCTGCTTGTTTATTGGTGACTGCTTGAATCTTGGATTCACATTTATTTCTGAAGATTTATTTTCGTATCGAAAACAAGACAGAATATCTTGTAATTTCGTGACATTTCATAAGTAATGTGTACATAAATCGCTACAAAAGTACAAGATTGTAGAGTATTAAACTTGAAATAAAATCAACTCTGATGGATATTTGTACACGGAGAGTTAAATATAAATAATGGAGAAGATGGCTTTACGTAAATGAAGACTCTGCGAGCGACAAACTTATGAATTGCTAATAAAGTCTACGGTTACACTTTATACTCTACTCTAACAATAAGCAAAATTCTCGATATAGCTGAGTACCATCGACACACCCTCCAATTAATATTTTTATATATTTACGTTAGGACGACATTTTTATCAAGATATTATCTGCCGTGTTGATTCGATAATCCCTTGAAAATTAATAAATCTATCGTGACGTTTTTAATAACAAGAATTCTTCGTTCCGAATTCGAAAATTTTTTTCTTACAATAATTTTTAAACGCGTTCCAAGGAAAAATATTTATATTTAATTATATTTAATGTACTATTATTTTTATTTATATCTAATACATTTAATATTGTACTATTATTTAATAATAGTAGTATTTAATTATATTTTTGTGTATTATAGCAATATTAATTGTGAGAGACGCAATAGATTAAGTCTAGATTTTTTACTAAATATGTTGCACAAAATTTACAAGAGAGCTAATTGAACTAATATATACATTCACGCACAATGTTTCTCGTTAAATAAGCACTGTTCATATATTTTATATCTAATATAAATCACAAAATACACTCCACGGGAAAGTTTCCACTTGCTTTGTCCACACACAACTTCCCCTCCGAATATAGCGAATAGATTAAGAAACTGATTAGTCTTCTTGCTGTAGGAAGAGACCGTCTGCGGGAAAGCTTATAGAGCACGACTGGCTGGAGGCTGCTCTGGAGAATCCGATACAGAAGCACCGATTGAAACGCTATGTCATTAAAAAGCGTTGGGTTAAGGCCGTTAACACTATCTTGGCATTGAAACGGATGGGCGCGCGTCTAGACTTCGACTCAATCTAGTATCGGAAACGACATTGTCCGTAACTTTCCAAGCAGGACAACACAGGAACAGATCACAAAATAACGTCAAAATGGTGTTAAGTTGAATGATCGTGAATGATCGACAATTGATTTTTAATAATTTAAAATAATTTTTAAAATTTTGATTCTATTTTGACGTCATTTTTACGTCATAATGACTTTTTGTTCTGCTTGGGCTGACGATGACGATGTCACTCTAAATTCGTTGAAGTGAGATTTCATTAGCGCAAATTTCATTATAGCGCATAGTCAAAATGCGACCACCCTCTTTGAAATGAGATTTCACTTTAACTTAAAGTAAACTTGAGTCACTGCAGTTAACAGAGACTTTTTAACTGCTAGTAAAGTGACTTTTTTACTCTAATGAATTTTAAATAGAATATAGGCTTCAAGAAATAATCAAATATAGTGAAGTAATTGCCTATGAGGAGGGGAATCTTATAAATGCATATTAGCATCGAAAGATATTAAATTGTTCGTCAATTTAATTTGTTACAAGTCTCCAGCTTCATGCAAAGAACTGTGTTTCTGCACAAGATCGACAAACCGTGCGGCATGCAGATCGTGTGTGGTTGGATATTGTAACGATAAGAATTTCACGCACCGTACATCCGTGTCGGCTCTCACTAGGCAATTACTTCACTACATTTTTTACTTTAGTAAAGTTACTTTTCATTGTTAATATAATGAATTATTTTCTACCGTGTCAAAAAATGTTCACTGCTTCTACTGCAGTTAAGTAATCACTTTTCTTGCGGTGGATCCTGCAACCTAAAATCCGACATACGCGTTTGAACGAACAATTATACTGCAGAAATAACGCAAAGCATACGCAAAAATATACATATGTATAGCATATATCGCACAGACGATAAATGTTTATTTCGTACAACCACTCTAAATTCGTTGCAGTGAAAATTGTCACTTTATCATACAGTGAAAAGTCGAATTTAGGGTTTTCACTACTATACAATGATTTTCACTGTACGTAAAAGTGAGTTTGCCACTGCAACCATGTCACTGTTATCATGGCAGCTGTGACATTTTTCACTGTTTAATAAATGTCTAATAAAGTGAAAATTTCACTTTAACAAAAGTTAAAACTCACTTTTACGTACAGTGAAAATCATTGTATAGTAGTGAAAACCCTAAATTCGACTTTTCACTGTATGATAAAGTGACAATTTTCACTGCAACGAATTTAGAGTGGTTGTACGAAATAAACATTTATCGTCTGTGCGATATATGCTATACATATGTATATTTTTGCGAATGCTTTGCGTTATTTCTGCAGTATAATTGTTCGTTCAAACGCGTATGTCGGATTTTAGGTTGCAGGATCCGTGACAGATAATGGACAAAAGGGAGAGAACGGAGATAGCGGATTTATTCAAAACGAAACAACGGAGGCGCACAATTCCGCGGCGTAATCACTTGCGCGATTGTGGTTGAAAACGAGGTCGTATTCCCTATTGTCACGCGAAACGATGACTGCTGAATGAAAAACATCCGTTTATTCCGTACAGTTAGACGGATAATTTGTCAGCGAGATAAATTGCAGCGAGTACATTCTTTATCATTATATAGTGTGATTGAAATTCAATGAAATTGGATTTTTTTTCGCAGGCTGCTTTACGTGGGTATAATTTGAATTCACCTGAAATATTATATCCGCATATATAAATATATATATATGTGTGTGTGTGTGTGTGTGTGTATATATGTATATATTATCCATTGTGTATATATATATTATATGTGTACTGTGTATATATTTTTTGAAAATACCACATTATATGTAAACGCGCGCGAGTATGAGATAATATGTATCGATATCTTAATTATACAAGTTTAAAAAAAGTGTTTTTTTAAATTACTTTAAACCAAACTACATGTTTCTTGTAGATTTTTGATTACTGAAAACAATGCCGCAATTGAATTAAAATTTTCTAGCACGTCTAAAAAACATAGGTTCTAAGATAATTGAGATTTAATGTCAATATATTAATGAGTATACTTATATAACATCATTATAAGCGAAAAATTTGTTATCTTAGAAAAATCCTGTATTTAAATTTTTTATAACATGGCTAAAAGTAAACAATTAAAATGAAAACAAAAATGCATTTTATAGGGATGAACAATTAATAAATTAATTCTCATTACTTCTGATCAAAATTTCAAAATAGCTTTAATCTTCTTTGCAAAAAAATATAAAATATTGCCGAAAAAACTATTTGTTGGACATTAAATCTTATCAATTATCTTGGAAACTTGCCGTGATAAAATTTTTTGGCTTGCGGCATCGTTTTCAGCATTCAAAAATCTAATAAGAAACACCTAGGTCAGTTCAAAGTAGTTTTTTGCTGTAAACTAGTGTTATTTTTAAACAGATCAGTCTTCAACAATACTACAAAATGAACGAGCATATATAGTATATATGCTTATGCAAAATTAAAGTCATGCAAACGAATCGCGCGGCGTATCTCTTCCGCGAAAAAAGAAATCGAACAATCGCGATTTATAAGCTTCCTAGAAGGAGAATACGATCCGTTCGAATTGCGTGAGTCACTCATTTGTATATTTAGCTAATAGCTATATACCTCCACCCTTCCTCTAGATCTAGATTCGACGTAGATACGACACGATTCTTGTTTGCGTTATATCATTTGCACAGAACAAGATTTGCGATTGCAATAGTAATTATCACAACGCTATTAACCTATTTAACAAACAAATTAATATACATATGTATACGTAATTAAATTAAAGTAAAATTATGGAATTAAATAATATATATATGATAAAATCGCGAGGGCATTTATTGTTAACCGAGATTATTGTGTAATTTTAGCAACTTTTTAACTGTATAAGTTATATTAATTTTGCAAATTAAACTAACAATTTTAATATATTATCATGTATTAAATATATAATATATACATATAATATATTTTAAAAACGTATTTAAAATATTAAATAAGCCATATATAATTAGAAGAAGTTATTTAGAATAATAAATATTAAATAACTATTTTACTTGTTTTTATTTAAGATACATATAAATACGTATTTTAAATAATATTATTTTAAATATTATTGTCGATCAAATTATAGCATGAGAACGTGATTCGTGCATCTGTGCTAATCGTGTATTATATATGCCACATTCTTCATCTGAAATTTGTGGATGTAGTCCAGACAAGAATTGAAAAATTGGAATACCATTTCATCAGCAATGTCGCAAAATAAATGAGATCTATTTGTTCACAATTTGTGCACGTAGCACGATTAGCACGGTCACGAACCACATCCACGTTCTCGTACTATGATTTGATCGACAATGTTATAAGATAGACGTGGTACGTAGTTCCTTTTTTGAAAACATGGACGTGGGACGCTAGTGTACAGGGATGATCGTCGGTCCCATTCAAAAAGCCGGCGTGGCCCGCATGGCCTTTCTCACGCTTCTGTCTGGTCGAGCAAATATGTGATCTGTTTACTAAATGTTTCAATGCGCTTTTGACGCCATAAAATATATTTAACATGGTAAATGTTTTTTTTTCTTTGTCAATAGATCAGAATAAATTGCGGTTGACGTTAAACTGAACTATACATATACAGGGTAATGTCAACGCAAATGACATTTCTAGGTTATACGACACTTCTGTGGTATCTTAATTCTGAATATGCAAACTGCGTTTAATAGCAATTAATATTTAAACTAAAAATATATTAGGTGATTAGTATAATTTATGAATTTTGTTTTGAATAAAAATGATAGTGTGGTTGATTCGTTTATGTTTTAGGGCGAGGATGTGTTGCAAAATTGGAGTCCTTACGCCAAAGAATACAACCCTTTAAAGGCAGGCAGTATCGATGGAACAGACACGCAGCCTCACGACAAGGCTGTCAGCCGGGCGATGCTGATGCACTACGAGCCACCGCACAATCTGGAATCTAAGGTGGAAAGGACTATTTTTGTAGCTAGGCTTGGTCCCAAAATCACTAATTATGATCTGAAAGAGGTAGACCTGTCTTTATAAAACGATAAACTTTTGACAATTTTATACGTATTATATGTGTAATTGATGTAAACTTTAAAATGTTATTTAGTTTTTTGGCAAATATGGAGATGTCATTTCTGCGAAGGTGATAGTGAACGTGGTGACTGGACTCTCTCAAGGGTACGGTTTTGTGGAAATGAAAAGCGAGGAGGAAGCTAGAAGAGTTTTGAGACGAACTACCGATGCCACATTAAAGGGATACAAAATATTTATCGATTACGAATGCGGTCGCAGCATGAAGGGATGGAAGCCGAGGAGGCTTGGTGTGTAATCAGCAATTAAATGTATGTACTAGATGGACAAATGTCAAATGTTTTCAATATCTATAATTTTTCCAGGAGGTGGTTTCGGTGGCAAAAAGGAGTCGGGGCAATTGAGATTCGGAGGGAAGGACAGACCGTTCAAACGACCGATTGTACCTAATGTTTTAAAGCCGAAAAGATAAACGGCCTCTACTGTGACATTTACGACACCACCGTTTCCATCCACCGTATCTATCTTTTTATTCCTACCTCTTCATTTATTATTTCGACACGTTAATAAAGCAACATACAGAACGCGTACGTTCTGTCATTCTTCGGCAACTTGAATAGCGTTTACGTCGATTAGTTTCTACCACACTGCTCTCGCGCTCTGTTTTAACGCCGCAAACTTCGATAGGTCCAGTATAGAAATTTTACAGAATATTTGATGTAACTCGCGCAACGAATCGCGTCGTCGAATCGTACAAGCCGCGCGCGCGTCGTGTTTCATCTCTCGTCGTAAATCGCGCGTTAAATCTTCGAGCGGTGGTCTCAGAGACACTCACCGCAAGATCGTATTCGCGTTCGCCGGCAACTTTATACCGCATCACCGCGGTCTCCCACATCACCGCCGCGCTCTCCATATAAGGAGGCACCTCACGATTCGACACAGCACCGAGCTTGAGCTTCCAATATCGACGTCAACGACGGTGATGCTGATAAGGCAGCCTTCTTCCTTCCGCGATTTAGGCGACCCCCGCCACCCTTCAACAAGGTCTCAGTTCGTGTCAAGCCCACGGTCGTTCATCGCGGCTCCTATTTTGTCGCTCAGACCCTGCCCCGATTTCGCCCCGACGGATTGCACGCCTGCAATGCATTTTTTTCTTCGCGGCGAGTATTGAGTCGCAAAGGGCATGTATCGACAGCATAACTGATACGTTTTGACGCTCGTCGAAAATAAAAGTTACAGATGTACAACATTTTTTTACCTCGATTTTTTTTAATGTACAATTGTAATTATGATGAAAATCGATTCGATTTGTTTAGATTCAGAAAAGCATTATCTTGGATGTAACGTATTATAAATATATTGATACGCAATCGCAATAGAGGATAAATTTTTTTTTATAAGTTTACGAAACTTGATTAATTACATTGTTATAGAAAAGATCTTTTATCATACGATTTCTTTCAGGAGAAACGCTAATGAAGTATCCGTATTCATTACTGTAAGTTCCTACAGAGATCTTTAACAAAAAATTAAAGCGTAATCATACGCACATTAATACTTAAGACTGATAAATTGCACACAATTACTCGTGTAATTATACGCGAGCTAGAAGAATGGAATCTCGCGCTAATATTTTTCATACCCTGCAATTTAAAAGACCAAATTCTCAGCAGTCGAGTGGCTTCTCATCGTTGGTCTCGCGGACCAGCCGGTTCACCATTGTCAACAGCCATCGGGAGGTGGGGGCGTGACACCGTAACAGGCCTACTTTTGGAGCAATCGTCCGTCGAATTCCGGCGGAAGAGAGCTGAAGAGCCAGCCGGAGGAGAGTCACCGCCGCAGGAGGAGTTGGAAGCGCGGCGCGGCGTGCCGACTCTCCGCCGGCGAAAGACACGAAAATAGTATCAACCAGGATCGTATCACTCCCGGTAGCCCGCGTACGCGGATCACCGCTCTATTAATAGAAAGGGGGAGAGAAAGAGAAAGAGGAAGAAGAGCGAGGGAAGAAATGAGAGCCGCTCTAAACCGGAGCGGGCACGACGCCCGAAGCACCGCCGACGTCCGGCCGCGACGACTTCGCGGACCTCAGAGCGGCTCAGGCTGTCGCGGACTCCACATTCCACCGGGACAAGCTCCTCCTGTGCGTGTGCGTGTCTCTCTCTCTCTCTTTCTCTCTCTTTCTCCCCCGTCTCCTCCTGCAAAGTGTGCGGGACCCTGTTTCTCTCTTTCTCTCTCTCTTCTCCGTCACGATTTCACCTAGTTGGGCTACCGTGAAAACTATTTACACGCGCGCATATACGTCCACGTACACACGCTCGCGCACGCACACATACGCGCGTGCAAGCACGCCCGTACTTGTCCACACGCACTGACACCACCCCGAGTGTAAGTTCAACATTTTTCATTCTGTGCTCGATAATCTCGACTATCTCTCTCTCTCTCTCTTTTTTCTTTTTCTCTCCTGTCGTCTCTTATCAAGGGCGCGGCGCACCCCCTCGCCTCTTCTGGTTAGCTCTTGTTCCGGAGAACATTCGCGATGGGCCGCGTGTCTATATATGCTCTTCCGGGGTGACTGCTGTGGACGTGAAAGCGACGTGGTATACGATACGAAATAATTAACTCGCGAAATCTCCGGCGGAAGTTCTCCGCTTCAACAATGTTTACATTGCCGAAGAAGTCGCGATTGCGTCGCAGCGGAAACGACTTGGCAGAGTCGCTTCAGCGAAATTCTGAGGAGATACCGAGAAGAATCAATAGACCACGTGAAATTACTCGCTAAGAGCATCTTTCCTTTTTAATGTTAGGGACTCTCGGAACGTGAAAAGTGAACGACATTCTTCCGCGGACTGCGCGACGGCGATCAGCCAGTGAAGATCTCGTGAATACGATAGCCGTGTCCGCTCGAAGCGCGACTCTATCTACTCGCTCGCAGTGGAAAGAATCGGGCGCGCATCAGTGGAAAATTTTTCACCTTCGGTGGCGGCGGACGGTGCACGTGAACAATTACGTGGAAAAGTTTGATTGATATAAGAACGCGTTTGGATATTTTGCTACCTTTACGGCGTGGATTAATTAATGATTCTCGGAAACTTCATCCGTGGATTCCTCGCGTGATCCAAAAGATTATACACCCTTTCCAAATTCTATCTCTTTGCATCTTTGTTTTCTTTCTTTGTACTTTCTTTATTTCACTATTTTCTTTGCTGTGTAATATTCCTTTTTGTTATATTACGTAATTCGCACTGTCGAAGTTTCGGGTGAAAATCCTGTGGCGAAAAAAGAACGACCAAGGCCTCATAAAATCTATAGTAAAACTTGTGATATCGGACGATAACGACCGGTTTGAGGTAAAAGACGTGTTATTTTTTATCCGATTGAGAAGGTTGAAATTTAACAGAGATTTAATTTTGAGCTTTGACTTCAAAATCTTTTTCGCGATCGCGACAAATAACAATTGGTATGATTAAATTGCAGAATTGTCAATCGCGTTTTGGAAATATTCCGATGGGGGTTGGAGGGTGGGGGGCGTAATTAAGAAACGTCTGACGGATATCTCGTGGATCTTCTTTATAACGTTCCAAGGTATTTTGTTTCCCGATCGTCGTCGTCTAGTATTACGAACCGCCGCGCGATTTCGACGTTCTCCGTTTGCGCGAAACGGTACGGCAGAAACGGCATGCAGAACACGGGGAACCGACGAGGAAAGGAGAGCGGAGCGAGGGAACGAGCGTGTTGTACCACTAAAATTAGAGCGACGTGACAGAGAAGGGGACGGGCTCCTTATAGAGCTTGTGCACGACGCCGGGAGCTTGCGGCCAGGGTTAGCAAACTGGCATTTTCTCTTTCTCGCCTCGAAGTATCGGATTACTTCGGGAACGTCGGTGCGCGCCGTCCGGCCCATTCAGCTTCGACTTTCCTCCGGATACCCCTTTTCCACGCAAGGTTCGGCCAAGCGCGAGCAATTTTTGTACATCCGCGGGTCCCATCCGTTTGCGCCTCTCGTGCCTCTTTCCCCGCGGGCGCTCTCTCCCTGCCGCCCCTTTTGCCGCCACCTCTCTCGCCCGGCCCTTCCGACTTCTTCCTCGTCCACACGACCTGTAATCGGTGAGATTTTCGATTTTCCATCCCTCGATCCTTGATCCTCGCCCGTTTATCTCTCGAATTTATCATCGCGTCGTTAACGAGTGGTCCGACCGAGATTGTTCATGCGGAATTGATCGTGACGTGCTTATCATCTCGAAAGCTGGTACCAGTACCAAGTTACACGCCTAGTTGAGTTATAAAAGCTGTGACAGCCGTGTTAAACGCAGAATTCATTTTCCGATTTTACTGCAAGAATATCAAAAGTGTTACGCGACGCGATATAATCTGAATTACGCAACCCTTTTCCCGCGCAGTGTGCCGCTTTCGTCGGAACAGTGTGATCTAATTAGCGATACTTAACGTGAAAACATATCCGATTATTTAATCGCTCTGCTTTAAAAATCTCTCTGTATCTCTCTCTCTCTCTCTCTCTCTCTCTTTCTTTCTATCTCTCTCGCCGTCTGCAAATCAACCTCTGGTAATCAACATCTCGTTTTTGTGTTGCAGCGCTTTAAACAGCCACCAACATGTCTGACGACGAGGAACAATACTCGTAAGTAGTCCACCGATTGTTTACACTCTCGAGCCAACGCCGATCAATATAAATTATTGTCCATTATTCACGCGTCCGCAGTTCTCAATCGCTTATTTTGAAAACTGATGCAATTCCAATTTTCAAACAAAGTTCACACTGAGAAAAATTTTTCGATTGCACGAACAAGTAGTATACACGCATACAAAATGCATTCTGATCATACCAATTAGAATTTCTCTTACGATAATTGCATTTCTGGTTATCTCCATTGGAATGTTCCGTCTCGTCTGGAATTTAATTTAACTATAAATGTATAGTTTCGATTTGTTCCCTTTGTCGAATCTACTAGATTTCCAATTAATCTACTAGATTCCAATACAAGCAGATATTTTTTACAGTGTATACGAATTCTGACGAGTGCGCGAAAAACGCGTATACCAAAGACTCGTCTATCTTTATCTTGTTTTTTTTTCTTTAGAAAATAGATTTGCATAATTTTCAAGATAAACGACTTGTAATAAAAAAAGTGATATATCGCCGCTCTCCGAGATGAATTAGTAGATCGTAATACGAGGGAGAAGAAGTGCCGAGATATGCGCCAGAGTGACTTCCAGACCCTCCGTGAAATCGGATCTTTGGCGAAGCCGAAGTGCGATAGGCAAGATCGTGGCACACGATCGCTGATCGTTGATCACATTGATCCGTGAACCGAAACCGAAAATCCGTGCGAAGTTTAAATATCGCCCACGTAAGGTTGAAAACCATGCGCCCCGTGATCTGTACGCCTCGTCGTGTTCTAATGTTTCATACATTTGTCTAACTTTGCCGTCTCGATGCCCGCCCCTGCGTGCGTCACGTCCCAATCGCACCCACGCACGAATCCCCTAATAAGCACTCGAAGCGAGACTCGGCTGCTCCGGCCGACTCCTAATTGTCACTCGATGACACTTTTACGAGCTTGCATAATTATTTTTTTTTTCTTTTTACATGCCTTTTCTCTCTTGCATTGCCGCCTCAAATTTTCCAGAGCAATTTTCCGTCGCGTAAAATTTAAATGCATATTTTCTCATTAAATTATATAATTTAATTATTTGTTTTTATGAACGTTTATGAACGTTTTTGAGAAAATTTGCTTTCAGATCGGAATAAAGAAGAGACGAGATAAAATTCAATAAATTCCCACATATAGCAAATGAGAGTAAAACCCTGAAGTCAATTATTTGCATTTATCAAAGGCGCAATCAAATTGCAAATTCTTTGTCAAGTTTATATTTTAGGGTAAAAGTAAAGTACAAAAGTTTGCGCAATAATACGACGATATACTAACGAAAATAAATCTTTTTTTGTCTGTGTGAGAAAAAAAGCGAAAGCTTTAAACAAAACCCTGTAAGAGTCTAAGCCCCTAACTCTCAAAAAGCGATACCGCCATGAATCTCTCCCCTTTCACCCCGCCCCCCTTTTTTGTTACACGTTCAAACGCCCCGATCGCCCATACTGTTTCCGCCCTGACTAAACTGTACTTTTTTTCCGTTTTCTCTTTTGCAGCGAGGAGGAGGAAGTCGAGGAAGTGTAAGTGTTCACTTTCGTCAAATGTTTTCCCGATTAAATGCTTCCCGGTATCTTTCTAACGTACGACTTGTCTCGTTTTTCTCATTTCAGGAAGTAAGTTTCGGAGGCTTGTAACGAGCGCTGTATAGCTACTGCGAAGACGCGATCGCGGCGAAAATCTCCGGTTTCGACCGCGCGATATTACAAAGTTTTTCAAGTAGTTCGCCTCTAGCTCAAAAGTTTAAATCAAGCCCAGACAAATCCGATTAATTTTTTTTCTCTCTTTTTCTCTGCGAAGATAGGAACGCGCGTTTGTAAAGTATGGCGGTTTTACGTTTACGGGCGGAATTCGGCGTTTTGTCGAGAAAGATTTTATCGAGATCCGAAAAGCGAAACCAGAGTTGCTCTTCTCTCTTTCTTGGAAATGTCGCGTTGAAAATATCGTCAGTCCGAGGTGCTCCTCCTTTTCGTAGAACCAGAGCTAATCGAGTTACATTAACGAACGCGCAACGATACGCACGATGAATCGATAGTGACAGAGGAGCGTGTAGAATAATCGCTTGATGAAGAATAATCACTTTCCGAAATCTCGTTTTGCGCCGCGCGCAGCACGCCAGATATTTCTCTCTCTTTCCGACTGTGATTTATGATCTCCGTTCTTCTTCTTTCTTTTTTTTGTTTATTCACTCCCTGTCTCTCTCTCTGTCTGTGTGTATCTCCACATACAACACACAAAACCAACCAACCAACCAACCAATCAACCAACCAACCAACCAATCAACCAATCAACCAATCAATCAAACCGACCGTCACTCGTCATCGACCAATCGGCTCGAATCGGCCCGCGCGGTACGATACAAAAAATGTCAAAATCGAAGGCAGCCGGAGAAGAAGACCGAGTAAGTTTTGCACACGACAAATATGAACGTCTCTCTCTATCTCTTTTTTTTACGGCCAATAAATGGTGTACGTTCACGCGCTGTCGTCAGTGTCGTTTCTTTTTTTTTTCTTCCCCGCTGTCTAATCGCTGTTCTTGTCTTTGTTGTCTCGGTGTAGTCTTTAATTGTTCGTCCATTTCTCTGTTTCTCTTTCTCTCTCTCTCTCTGTCTCTCTTTACTTTATTCTCATCATCTCACACGCGTTGTGCCGCCGCAGTCGTTTACTTTTGCATAGAATTTTTTTGTAGCGATACACTTGCTGGCTCTATCTCTATCTATCTATCTGTCTATCTGTTTTCGCTTCCCTTTCCTCCCACATCTCTGTCTCTCCCCGTCTCTTTTTTCTTTTTATTTTATTCTACCTCTCTCGTCGAATTGTTGTTACACATGGAAGAAGAACATCGCTCTACAAAACGCTCTCATCCGAGTCTATCGGATTTTTGTTTGCGCCACAGTACACGAAAGAGCACTTTTTATTGACGTTCTTCTTTCTCGTGTAACATTATCTCAAAAAGAATTGACGCGCTGATGTATCCCCCCTCCCTCTCCGCCTCTCTTTCTCTCTCTTTCTCTCTGTTTCTATTTCAACTTTAAGTAAAGTACAATACATTCTGTACCGCCGGTATATATTCGCTGTCTTCTCAACGTCTGTCTTGTGTCGCTGTTCTGCGTCGATGGATTAAAACAAAAAGAAAAAAGAAAAATAAATAAAAACTGAAAATAAATAAAAAAAGAAACAGCAATGCTATCGCGCTTTTTTATGTATATACACAGACGACGTACACGCATCTCACACGTACACATTATCTCACGTATATGAGAGACCACACGTGACGTACAGTACGTTATCATAAAGACCCTTCACGGAAGCACTTTCGACACCGAGGGTTACCGAAGATGCAGTTGCAAAAAAAAAGTACAGACACACATTTCACACCCCGCACTTTATTTCTCCACATGCCTTTATCTTTGTCCTCGTCGTGTCTGCCAACGTCGTATCTGTCGCCTAATATATCAGCCTCTGTTACCCGCATTATGGCAAATGGGCAACAAAACGTTTCTTTTTTTCTTTTTCTTTTTTTTTGGCAAAAAGCGCTACGAGATTCCCCCGTTGAAGAGAAAATAACGACGAGCCGCTTAATTGTTGAAAGCAAGCGATGCATTACGTATATATATATATATATATATAT